GAGAGGACATGTATAGCCTGTTGTATATATTTAGGGAGAGGACATGTATAGCCTGTTGTATAAATTAAGGGAGAGGACATGTATAGCCTTTTGTAAAATAAGGGAGAGGACATGTATAGCCTGTGGTATATATTAAGGGAGAGGACATGTATAGCCTGTTGTATATATTTAGGGAGAGGACATGTATAGCCTGTTGTATCAATTAAGGGAGAGGACATGTATAGCCTGTTGTATCAATTAAGGGAGAGGACATGTATAGCCTGTTGTATCAATTAAGGGAGAGGACATGTATAGCCTGTTGTATATATTAAGGGAGAGGACATGTATAGCCTGTTGTATATATTAAGGGAGAGGACATGTATAGCCTGTTGTATAAGGGAGAGGACATGTATAGCCTGTTGTATTAAGGGAGAGGACATGTATAGCCTGTTGTATCAATTAAGGGAGAGGACATGTATAGCCTGTTGTATATATTTAGGGAGAGGACATGTATAGCCTGTTGTATATATTTAGGGAGAGGACATGTATAGCCTGTTGTATATATTTAGGGAGAGGACATGTATAGCCTGTTGTATATATTTAGGGAGAGGACATGTATAGCCTGTTGTATATATTAAGGGAGAGGACATGTATAGCCTGTGGTATATATTTAGGGAGAGGACATGTATAGCCTGTTGTATATATTTAGGGAGAGGACATGTATAGCCTGTTGTATATATTTAGGGAGAGGACATGTATAGCCTGTTGTATATATTTAGGGAGAGGACATGTATAGCCTGTTGTATATATTTAGGGAGAGGACATGTATAGCCTGTTGTATATATTTAGGGAGAGGACATGTATAGTCTGTTGTATATATTTAGGGAGAGGACATGTATAGCCTGTTGTATATATTTAGGGAGAGGACATGTATAGCCTGTTGTATATATTTAGGGAGAGGACATGTATAGCCTGTTGTATATATTTAGGGAGAGGACATGTATAGCCTGTTGTATCAATTAAGGGAGAGGACATGTATAGCCTGTTGTATCAATTAAGGGAGAGGACATGTATAGCCTGTTGTATCAATTAAGGGAGAGGACATGTATAGCCTGTGGTATATATTTAGGGAGAGGACATGTATAGCCTGTGGTATATATTTAGGGAGAGGACATGTATAGCCTGTTGTATATATTTAGGGAGAGGACATGTATAGCCTGTGGTATATATTTAGGGAGAGGACATGTATAGCCTGTTGTATATATTTAGGGAGAGGACATGTATAGCCTGTTGTATCAATTAAGGGAGAGGACATGTATAGCCTGTTGTATCAATTAAGGGAGAGGACATGTATAGCCTGTTGTATCAATTAAGGGAGAGGACATGTATAGCCTGTTGTATATATTTAGGGAGAGGACATGTATAGCCTGTGGTATATATTTAGGGAGAGGACATGTATAGCCTGTGGTATATATTTAGGGAGAGGACATGTATAGTCTGTTGTATATATTTAGGGAGAGGACATGTATAGCCTGTTGTATCAATTAAGGGAGAGGACATGTATAGCCTGTTGTATCAATTAAGGGAGAGGACATGTATAGCCTGTTGTATCAATTAAGGGAGAGGACATGTATAGCCTGTGGTATATATTTAGGGAGAGGACATGTATAGCCTGTTGTATATATTTAGGGAGAGGACATGTATAGCCTGTTGTATCAATTAAGGGAGAGGACATGTATAGCCTGTGGTATATATTTAGGGAGAGGACATGTATAGCCTGTGGTATATATTTAGGGAGAGGACATGTATAGCCTGTGGTATATATTTAGGGAGAGGACATGTATAACCTGTTGTATATATTTAGGGAGAGGACATGTATAGTCTGTTGTATATATTTAGGGAGAGGACATGTATAGCCTGTTGTATCAATTAAGGGAGAGGACATGTATAGCCTGTTGTATATATTTAGGGAGAGGACATGTATAGCCTGTTGTATATATTTAGGGAGAGGACATGTATAGCCTGTGGTATATATTTAGGGAGAGGACATGTATAACCTGTTGTATATATTTAGGGAGAGGACATGTATAGTCTGTTGTATATATTTAGGGAGAGGACATGTAAAGTCTGTTCTATATATTTAGGGAGAGGACATGTATAGCCTGTTATATATATTTAGGGAGAGGACATGTATAGCCTGTTGTATATATTGAGAGAGAGGACATTTATAGTCTGTTGTATATATTTAGGGAGAGGACATGTATAGCCTGTTGTATTAATTTAGGGAGAGGACATGTATAGCCTGTTATATATATTTAGGGAGATGACATGTATAGCTTGTTGTATATATTTAGGGAGAGGACATTTACAGGTCTAGTCTGTTGTATATCATAAGACCCACCTCGGTTGATGATCACAAATAATGTACTTTGAAAAAATCAAGAAGACACCAACATGGCAACATAATCATAATTCAAATACAAATAGGGCAAAAGGTGACCAAAACAAATTACACGGAGACTCCTGCAAAAGCAAAAGGAGAATAAGACCAGGTGTTCCGGAAGAGTAAGCGTCTTCTACTTCATCGACGACACCCGCCATACCCATATTGTTATATCGCCGTTCACCTTTCGTGGAGAAGAAAGCTCTGAAAACAAGAGAACGAAGGCGTTCCTTCAGTGTAGAATGGGGTATGGTGGTGTACAGGGTAGAAAAATAAAATGTTCTTATAAAAGAAATGTTTTAAAGAGGATAGTGATGGTTTGTCAAAAGCTTTTTGAAGTTCTTCAAAATCCAGATACTTTTAATTATAAAAACAGTATCACAATAAGACTGTAACCCAGATTTGATAGTAGGTGGTTAGCAGTTAAGACAAAGGATTAGTTGAACAGTTAGACGAGCTAGCTATAAAACATTGTTTATATGCATTCTTGTGAATTTTAGGAAACCAGTATAAAAGGGGGAGGTCCGTTATCATAGCATTAATGAGAAATCTAAATGATAGTGATATCGATGCATGATTAGCCAGTATTTCGTCTTTCGAATGATCGCATAATGTATAGGTGGGGTTTCATCCGTTATCAAGCCAGCCCAGTTCTTTTTGTATGCAGGAAATGTAATCATGTGTGCAGACAAGGATTAATTATTTGACTCCTTATCTAGAAACACAACAACATACCTGTCATGTAAATCATGAAGTGTGAATTCCAATTTCAAGCTGCTAATTCCTTTACGAATGAAGGGCCGAATGGACTCCGAGAATGAATCCGACGCAGCATGTTCTCGTTTCGCCCATTCTTTGGCATAGTTTTCATCAGAACATATAAGCATCCTGAAATTCACGTTCCAAATGATGGGCAGGGTTTCACGATATTTAGGACCTTGCATGAAAAACTCTCGTAGCTTTACATTTTGAATAATGCCGAAATCACCCGTTACTATGTACCTAGTTGGCCATATTTATAAGTAGAGGTAGCTGGCAAGCCGACAGAGGACTAGTTCTAATGTCATCTATATTCAGTTGATACAGCGTTTGTTTGTTTGTTTGTTTGTTATGCGCTTAGAGTAACTACAGAGAACTACAGGAAAATACAGGGGCTTTACTACTTTGAAAGTATGGTGGATTGTTAGCCTGAACAGACTTCTGCTGTGAAATATTGCTGATGTTTATAGCATCAACTCCCTTATTTACAAAATCAACATAAATTGGCGAGTTGTTGGATGATCGCGACCATCTGTACAGACAGGTTTAAAAAGTATGATTTGTGCCACATCAGTATTAGCTGAAACCAGTTGAAGTTTTCCTAGCGCGGAGAGAGGAAACCAATATAACTGATGGTTTCTGTAAAGTATCCATTAGATTTTCTAACGTGACCGTATATCCGCTAGGTTTATTGTAATGCCTTTGTCCGTGGCTACGATTACATCTAGTTCGAGGTCATTGCAGCCATATGGCGCAACAGTACCAAGTAGTGTATTCTAGTGTTCCTCACTTTGTCTACGGAAGGGGTGTACTCAGTGTGAGGTCATTTGTACGGTGGTATTTTTTTCCCAGTATCTCCACGGTTCACTGTTGAAAGATGACCATTCATATGTTGTCTGAACTGTCCTTTCGTTTCACCTACATATATTACTCCACACAGAGTTCACTTGATACCGTAAACAATGTTGGTAGTTTTACAAAATCGTTTACACTTACATGCGAGCGTGGTAGTAACATGACATGCAATAGAAACACTAATCCAAGGATGTGATTCCATTGGCGATGTTTTACCCTTTCGCTAAAATTAGCAAAAACCTCCTAATCCAGAGGTGTGACCTCCTCTAAGATCCGGTCTAGGGGATTGGTCTACCCGATTAACTACCCAGTGCCTTTTCCCCAAAGATAAAGATCCAGAACACTAGACAACCTTCCATTTACCTTCTCCGGTGCAGTGTCCGAAGACAGAGACCGTTCAGGTCACTCTCCGATAACACTCGATCTCAACTAAGAGAATCCAACGCACACGTCCATAAGACGCGCTACTGGAGGTCTGACTCTCGTTAACATGGAGCTAGCTCGATGCCGTCGTGATGTCTCCTCAAAGCGTACCTAGCCTCCGCCAAAGGCCGCGCATTTTCTTGGAGAATTGCACTCCCGAAGGGCTGGAACGGTTGGCGCGCCGGCTGACAACCTTCCGAGCGGAGATGCCGTACCGACTGAGTTTCGTTTACAACGAATGAGCCGCTGGCACGGGCCGATCCTCAAGCTAACGATACATCAAGGCTCGTACAGCCATTCGCCTGGCCGGGGCGTAAACCCACCATAAACGGATTGCCTGAGCCAACAGCTATAGACTGCTCTTTTGTACCACTGGGAAGCCATCGTATCACACGGACATCAGGCACTACCGTAAGTGAGTCTAAGTGAGCTAAAATTAGCAGTAGCATAGAAAACAGTATTGACTGCAGATTAAATTACCAGTATGTTTAAATTTAAGCCGGAGGTGAAAACTGGGTCCTTCCCAGTGAGAGTTTTATCAAAGTGATAGAGATGCTACTGTTACTGCCGCTACCGTCTTTATATCATAATCAGTGTAAAGGAAATGAAGTTATTGAAACAGGAAGTGAAAAAGCCCTACCGACATGTTTACTTAGTCTCTCATGTAAGTATGTGTTATGAACGTGTGCCTTAATTATGTATATCGAAGGTTTTTTTTTTTTTATTTGTTAACGGTGAATTATCATTTTGATATACTGAATTATGAGATGAATCTTAGATGCCCTATTACGCAACTATTCCCACAAACATAGGTATAGTTGTACCACCTACAGATGGCACAACTCCATCCTACAAATACAACATACTTTTAGTTGCACAACTTCATCCTTGCGTTTAATCCGCAGGAAAAATATCGTTTATTTCTGAAGTGGTTTATTACAAGGACAATTACTGGCATCTCACATTTAACGTAGATTTAGATATGGTTGTTATCACAAGTTACACCACGTCATTTTGTAGGTCAAACAATCAGCACTGCGCTCCCTACTTCAGACTTACACACGATACTTGTATGATTTTGTCACAAACAATTTGTACCGTGCACTATCTAGCTTCAAATTATCGCTTCTAAGACACCACAACACTATCTAATAAGTGTTTACTTAAAATCTGAATAAGAAAATAGAATATCCGGTGGACATGACAACGAGACTGTAACATGACCGTCTAAAACACATTTACCGTGTATTGTAAGTTAACGATAGGTGGTTTAAAAAGACGGTATTTGTTAACAGTGCAATCCATTGAGAAAAGACCTTGGTTTACTTAACTACAGTAATTTGAATAACAAAGAGAAGATATTTGTATTCTGTGCTATGGAGTAAAAAAGAGAAAATATGACACATGTAGTAATAATCAAATTTCCTTTTTATCGGATAGAAGTTTGTTGATGTTACGACCTAAATCCGAGCATGAAACATAAATTTGCATGTGTTGTTCAATATGTTGCTTGGACATATCTAACATGTACCATGTGAAGAACTCTAAGAAAGTCAGTATGACTCTCCAACGTATTCAACCACTGGTGATTTCCTCGTTACTTACAAATGACATTTGTGCATTAATGAAACATTTATCAATAATCTTAATCTTCCAAATTCATTGCTTTCTTCATTAGATACGGTACTTAGAGATATACGCGATAAGCTCTCGATATTGAAGACAATACCTGATGACTAGACACTATGGCGTGTGAGGAGGAACTAAACCGGATACTCCTCCGTGTAGGAGAGGATCTACTCTCAGGTAACTTGATTTTACCTCAATCATAAAAGCTCGAGATGATCTACTTGAATGAAACTAAACTTACCTCAGTCCTAAAGGTTATAGAAGATCTTAAGGAAGGTAACTAAATCTTACCTCAGTCCTAAAGATTATAGAAGATCTGCAGGAAGGTAACTAAATCTAATCTCAGTCCTAAAGGTTATAGAAGATCTGCAGGAAGGTAACTAAATCTTACCTCAGTCCTAAAGGTTATAGAAGATCTGCAGGAAGGTAACTAAATCTTACATCAGTCCTAAAGGTTATAGAAGATCTGCAGGAAGGTAACTAAATCTTACCTCAGTCCTAAAGGTTATAGAAGATCTTAAGGAAGGTAACTAAATCTTACCTCAGTCCTAAAGGTTATAGAAGATCTGCAGAAAAGTAACTAAACCTTTTCTCAGTTCTAAAGGTTATAGAAGATCTGCAGGAAGGTAACTAAATCTTATCTCAGTCCTAAAGGTTATAGAAGATCTTAAGGAAGGTAACTAAATCTTACCTCAGTCCTAAAGGTTATAGAAGATCTTAAGGAAGGTAACTAAATCTTATCTCAGTCCTAAAGGTTATAGAAGATCTGCAGGAAGGTAACTAAATCTTACCTCAGTCCTAAAGGTTATAGAAGATCTTAAGGAAGGTAACTTAATCTTACCTCAGTCCTAAAGGTTATAGAAGATCTTAAGGAAGGTAACTAAATCTTACCTTAGTCCTAAAGGTCATAGAAGATCTGCAGGAAGGTAACTAAATCCTACCTCAGTCCTGAAGGTTATAGAAGATCTGAAGGAAGGTAACTAAATCTTACCTCAGTCCTAAAGGTTATAGAAGATCTGCAGGAAGGTAACTAAATCTTACCTCTGTCCTGAAGGTTATAGAAGATCTGCTGGAAGGTAACTAAATCTTACCTTAGTCTTAAAGGTTATAGGAAGGTAACTAAATCTTACCTCAGTCCTAAAGGTTATAGAAGGAAGGTAACTAAATCTTACCTCAGTCCTAAAGGTTATAGAAGATCTGCAGGAAGGTAACTAAATCTTACCTCAGTCCTAAAGGTTATAGAAGATCTGCAGGAAGGTAACTTAATCTTACCTCAGTCCTAAAGGTTATAGAAGATCTGCAGGAAGGTAACTAAATCTTACCTCAGTCCTAAAGGTTATAGAAGATCTGCAGGAAGGTAACTAAATCTTACCTCAGTCCTAAAGGTTATAGAAGATCTGCAGGAAGGTAACTAAATCTTACCTCAGTCCTAAAGGTTATAGAAGATCTGCAGGAAGGTAACTAAATCTTATCTCAGTCCTAAAGGTTATAGAAGATCTGCAGGAAGGTAACTAAATCTTACCTCAGTCCTAAAGGTTATAGAAGATCTGCAGGAAGGTAACTAAATCTTACCTCAGTCCTGAAGGTTATAGAAGATCTGAAGGAAGGTAACTAAATCTTACCTCAGTCCTAAAGGTTATAGAAGATCTGCAGGAAGGTAACTAAATCTTACCTCAGTCCTAAAGGTTATAGAAGATCTGCAGGAAGGTAACTAAATCTTATCTCAGTCCTAAAGGTTATAGAAGATCTGCAGGAAGGTAACTAAATCTTACCTCAGTCCTAAAGGTTATAGAAGATCTGCAGGAAGGTAACTAAATCTTACCTCAGTCCTAAAGGTTATAGAAGATCTGCAGGAAGGTAACTAAATCTTATCTCAGTCCTAAAGGTTATAGAAGATCTGCAGGAAGGTAACTAAATCTTATCTCAGTCCTAAAGGTTATAGAAGATCTGCAGGAAGGTAACTAAATCTTACCTCAGTCCTAAAGGTTATAGAAGATCTGCAGGAAGGTAACTAAATCTTATCTCAGTCCTAAAGGTTATAGAAGATCTGCAGGAAGGTAACTAAATCTTACCTCAGTCCTAAAGGTTATAGAAGATCTGCAGGAAGGTAACTAAATCTTACCTCAGTCCTAAAGGTTATAGAAGATCTGCAGGAAGGTAACTAAATCTTACCTCAGTCCTAAAGGTTATAGAAGATCTTAAGGAAGGTAACTAAATCTTACCTCAGTCCTAAAGGTTATAGAAGATCTGCAGGAAGGTAACTAAATCTTATCTCAGTCCTAAAGGTTATAGAAGATCTGCAGGAAGGTAACTAAATCTTACCTCAGTCCTAAAGGTTATAGAAGATCTGCAGGAAGGTAACTAAATCTTACCTCAGTCCTAAAGGTTATAGAAGATCTGCAGGAAGGTAACTAAATCTTATCTCAGTCCTAAAGGTTATAGAAGATCTGCAGGAAGGTAACTAAATCTTACCTCAGTCCTAAAGGTTATAGAAGATCTGCAGGAAGGTAACTAAATCTTACCTCAGTCCTAAAGGTTATAGAAGATCTGCAGGAAGGTAACTAAATCTTATCTCAGTCCTAAAGGTATATAGGAAGTAACTAAATCTTATCTCAGTCCTAAAGGTTATAGAAGATCTGCAGGAAGGTAACTAAATCTTACCTCAGTCCTAAAGGTTATAGAAGATCTGCAGGAAGGTAACTAAATCTCACCTCAGTCCTAAAGGTTATAGAAGATCTGCAGGAAGGTAACTAAATCTTACCGCAGTCCTGAAGGTTATAGAAGATCTTAAGGAAGTGACTAAATCTTACCTCAGTCCTAAAGGTTTTAGAAGATCTTAAGGAAGGTAACTAAATCTTTAGTCCTAAAGGTTATAGAAGATCTTAAGGAAGGTAACTAAATCTTACCTCTGTCCTCAGTCAGTCCTAAAGGTTATAGAAGATCTGTAGGAAGGTAACTTAATCTTACCTCAGTCCTAAAGGTTATAGAAGATCTGTAGGAAGGTAACTTAATCTTACCTCAGTCCTAAAGGTTATAGAAGGTCTAAAGGTTATAAGGAAGGTAACTAAATCTTACCTCAGTCCTAAAGGTTATAGAAGATCTGCTAAGGAAGGTAACTAAATCTTACCTCAGTCCTAAAGGTTATATCTGCAGGAAGGTAACTTAAGGAAGGTAACTTAAATCTTACCTCAGTCCTAAAGGTTATAGAAGATCTTAAGGAAGGTAACTAAATCTTACCTCAGTCCTAAAGGTTATAGAAGATCTTAAGGAAGGTAACTAAATCTTACCTCAGTCCTAAAGGTTATAGAAGATCTGCAGGAAGGTAACTAAATCTTACCTCAGTCCTAAAGGTTATAGAAGATCTTAAGGAAGGTAACTAAATCTTACCTTAGTCCTGAAGGTTTTAGGAAGGTAACTAAATCTTACCTCAGTCCTAAAGGTTTTAGAAGATCTGCAGGAAGGTAACTAAATCTTACCTCTGTCCTAAAAGGTTATAGAAGATCTGCTGGAAGGTAACTAAATCTTACCTCAGTCCTAAAGGTTATAGAAGATCTTAAGGAAGGTAACTAAATCTTACCTCAGTCCTAAAGGTTATAGAAGATCTGCAGGAAGGTAACTAAATCTTACCGCAGTCCTGAAGGTTATAGAAGATCTTAAGGAAGTGACTAAATCTTACCTCAGTCCTAAAGGTTATAGAAGATCTGCAGGAAGGTAACTAAATCTTACCTCAGTCCTAAAGGTTATAGAAGATCTGCAGGAAGGTAACTAAATCTTACCTCAGTCCTAAAGGTTATAGAAGATCTGCAGGAAGGTAACTAAATCTTACCTCAGTCCTAAAGGTTATAGAAGATCTGCAGGAAGGTAACTAAATATTACCTCAGTCCTAAAGGTTATAGAAGATCTGCATGAAGGTAACTAAATCTTACCTCAGTCCTAAAGGTTATAGAAGATCTGCTGGAAGGTTACTAAATCTTATCTCAGTCCTAAAGGTTATAGAAGATCTGCAGGAAGGTAACTTAATCTTACCTCAGTCCTAAAGGATATAGAAGATCTTAAGGAAGGTTATAGAAGATCTTAAGGAAGGTAACTAAATCTTACCTCAGTCCTAAAGGTTATAGAAGATCTTAAGGAAGGTAACTAAATCTTACCTCAGTCCTAAAGGTTATAGAAGATCTTAAGGAAGGTAACTTAATCTTACCTCAGTCCTAAAGGTTATAGAAGATCTGCAGGAAGGTAACTAAATCTTACCTCAGTCCTAAAGGTTATAGAAGATCTGCAGGAAGGTAACTAAATCTTACCTCAGTCCTAAAGGTTATAGAAGATCTGCAGGAAGGTAACTAAATCTTACCTCAGTCCTAAAGGTTATAGAAGATCTGCAGGAAGGTAACTAAATATTACCTCAGTGCTAAAGGTTATAGAAGATCTGCTGGAAGGTAACAAAAGGTTATAGAAGATCTGCAGGAAGGTAACTAAATCTTACCTCAGTCCTAAAGGTTATAGAAGATCTGCAGGAAGGTAACTAAATCTTACCTCAGTCCTAAAGGTTATAGAAGATCTGCAGGAAGGTAACTAAATCTTACCTCAGTCCTGAAGGTTATAGAAGATCTTAAGGAAGTGACTAAATCTTACCTCAGCCCTAAAGGTTATAGAAGGTCTCTAGGAAGGTAACTAAATCTTATCTCAGTCCTAAAGGTTATAGAAGATCTGCAGGAAGGTAACTAAATCTTATCTCAGTCCTAAAGGTTATAGAAGATCTGCAGGAAGGTAACTAAATCTTATCTTAGTCCTAAAGGTTATAGAAGATCTGCAGGAAGGTAACTAAATCTTACCTCAGTCCTAAAGGTTATAGAAGATCTTAAGGAAGGTAACTTAATCTTACCTTAGTCCTGAAGGTTATAGAAGATCTTAAGGAAGGTAACTAAATCTTACCTCAGTCCTAAAGGTTATAGATAATCTTAAGGAAGGTAACTTGATCTTACCTCAGTCCTAAAGGTTATAGAAGATCTGCAGGAAGGTAACTAAATCCTACCTCAGTCCTAAAGGTTATAGAAGATCTGCAGGAAGGTAACTAAATCTTATCTCAGTCCTAAAGGTCATAGAAGATCTGCAGGAAAGTAACTAAATCTTACCTTAGTCCTAAAGGTATATAACACCCCTGTCTGTTATATTTACAGATGATGTGAAAAACATCCTTTTCTTGCTGGGAGACGACATAGCAATGTCTGAAAAGGACAGGATTTCTACTGGAGTGGATTTGATGTCAGTTCTTAAAGATAGGAACATTTTAGGCCGCAATAACCTCGAAAGACTCAAAACTTTTTTATCGGAAATTAGAAGAAAAGATCTTAAAGACCGACTGGAAACTTACGAGCAGAAAGTCAGAAACATCAATACAGGTAACACAAGTTAGTAAAGAAATATGTGTCTGTATACAATAAACAATACATTTGAAATGACACTGACATTTGCATGCTATTATAGCTATGCTTATTTGAGTTACCTCCAGAACATCAAATGTTTGAGGCAATTTACATTCTAGACGTCAAAGAATTTTTAAATGAGGGTTCCATGGTTACAGCAATAAATACGTGTACTTTTATAGTCGCAAACTCTCGGGTGGGGGTGGAGGAAACAAAGGTAGTGGTTGCCATTATGGGAAAAAACTTATCTCCATCACTATGGAAATTGATTGGTCAGCATATGTTGTCGGATGACATATGACTGGATTACAGTAATCAGCTAAAGGTATAAGTATTAGTAGGATAGGATAAATATCACAACACTATCTTTTTCATGCTCTGTTACGTATCTTGTAGTGTTGTCCTTTTGTTTTCTTTAGCAAGGGCAAATGCAAATCTCACTTGTGTACCAAACTTTGTGGAGACAAAACAATGTAAGGAGGTAGAAACGTCTATGCAGGGGAACAAGCTCGTCATCTTGAGGGGTAATTCATTACAGTTGTGATCATGGTTTAAATAAATAACTATTGTATTGATTTAATATATTTAATATATCATACGTTTCATGATCGATTCCATTTCTTTAAAAACAGTTCAGAATGTGTTTACACATGTTTTTCCTATCTATCTGTAATTCAGCTTTTTTATAACGTAGCAATTTGAATTGTCAGATAACTTATAAGCGAGCTTTGAAAGATTTAAGATATACGCGTCTTTTTACATTCTGTTCATTATTGGAACTTTCACAGGAATATCTGGGTCGGGGAAAACACAGTTGACTCTGAAGTGTGTGAAGCGATATGTAGAAAAAACAGGATCGAACGTCTGGAAACTGACTTGTCAGGATGAAAATGATTTGATTCAGTCACTGAGCGAAATATTGGAATTCTTCCAAATGAAGTTTGAATGCCAGACAGTCGAAAAAAACAAATACATTATGGAAATGGTTAGTGTTATAAGCAACAAAGTCGCATCTGAAGAATGGCGGGCCCAATCATTCCTTTTCATTTTTGACGACATTTGCAAAGGATGCTACACAGCAGTTGCGGGGATATTTTGTGAGATGCGCGAAGCACCAAACGTTAAGATAATTGCTTCAACAGAGAGTTCCACATTTTACCAACAATTCATATTAGAAAAAAATGAAGTCTTTGTGTCTGTAATGGGTGTATCAAAAGATGATGTTATGAATTTTTTTCTAAATTCCGAGCATTTCAAAGGAAAAGATGATGACCTAAATCATTTAGCTAAATACTTGGGATACCTACCATATGCTCTTGTGTTGGCAAGGTCATTTATGGAATCTACCGGAATGAAAGTAAAAGAGTATTTAAAAAGGCTGAATGATCCAAAATTTCTTCAATCCATGGAAATTCCTTTAGACATGCAGAGGTACAACAAAGGTCTAGTCGGGGCTCAGATTTTGACACTAGAGAAGGTTGAAAAAAGCATATCTGAGCTTGGAAAGAGTTTATTACATTTAATGCCTTTTTTAGATTTCGAGAATGTCCCTTATACATTATTGCAGGAATTAGCAAACGATCTCGATGACGGATTAGAAATCAGGAAATTGATACGCGAACTTAAATCGTATTCAATTGGAAAGATCACTACCTCAGAAGAAGAAACAATTATTTCACTTCACGCTGTAACAAAAATGGTCATCTTACATCGCCTTTCGCAGGAAGAACGCGTGAGTATCATACAAAAATTGCTATGGTTTTTCAGTTGTCATCTTAGAATTGATTGTAGACTAAGGTCATCGCTGGCATCCAATCTCATTCTGCAAAATCATGCTGAATGCGTTATTATAGAAGCAGAGAGGAATGCATTTGATCTGAATAAGAAGGGCATGCGTTTTTTGTTGTGCATCATACAGACAGCTATAGGGGTTTGCTTACGCGTGTCTGGGTCACAACACTTGCTAGCAGATGAATACCTGACAAAAGCAAAAACACAAATGTTTGGGTTGATCGAAGAGTCCCCCGAAAAATTCAAATTAAGGCTGGATGACAAAGATACAATGGAAACAACAACAAGGTCAACAGGGCCAGGATTTATTCTCATGAAACTAAGACGCACGTTTTCCTCCAGCGAACGTACGGAAGACACGTCCTTTGAAAAATCTGAACAAGAAAGTACCAACTTCTCAAAGGTGCAGCGACTTTATACAAAACTGGAAGATGCCACGAAAGATTTGCCACTTCAGTTTATAACTGATTTTGTGTTGAAATTGAACCGAAGTGAGATGGATATGAAACATTTGCAAACTGTTGCACGTATGGGTAGTATGGACACCAATAAACTGTGCTTAACAATAGCACTGTACGAAAAACTGAAGTCAGCGAAAGCAGCTATGTCCATCGAACAAATCAGAGATATTTTTGCTGTGGAGCTGATGATTATCATTTTGTACAACAATGGCCGACACTACTATCAGTGGAAGCTGGGAGAAAAGTCATCCGATGAATTCTGTTGTAATGAATTATTGACCGCAGCCATGCTCGGAAAACTCTTAAAGAGGAACTTTCCAGATTTTGTGTCAGTGCAGTATCTAATCACCCACAGGAATGGAATGTTCTATCATGACGAAACTGGCAAAAGGTACACGCAGGACAAAGAACTGGTCCTCGCAAAAAATGATCTCGAAGAGACAATATGCCGTTTAGAGAGAATGTCTGATCCAAAACTTCAATATTTCGAATTTGGTATCTTGAAAGTGAGTGAACATCATCGGTTGCATCAGGAGGGAATGTGTTTAGAGCTAATGCTACAATGCTACATACAACTTTATTGCCTTTGCAACAACAAGGAAGAAGAAAGGGAACACCAATATACTAGAGCAAAAATTTGTGCAGAAAAGCTGCATACATTAACGAGGGAAATGCCGACTTGGAGGGCAGTGCCAGGATTTCACGTACAGTTGGCAAGATTCTATAACCTGAAGCAGAACCAAACTCTTTTAGGAGAAGCTGTCAAACATTTCAAGATAGCAGACGAATTGGAAACAGAAAATAACGTGAAAGGACTGTCGCACTTTCAGCTGCAGGCACGGTTTGGGCTTGTGGAATGTTACAAACTTCTCGGTGACCATGACTCGCTGGCAGAAGCGCAAGGTATTTGTCAATGTCTCGTTACACGATTGCATGAAACTAATTTATACGGAATTCAAGGAAAAGCACGGAAGTATCTAGAAGAAATTCAACAACTGATGGAATCTTCAGTTAGTGGTACTTAACTTGAAAATGTATTAGAAAGACCTGATGAAGCTTCAATGATGCCTATGTTATACTTATTAAAAACAAAAAATGCTTCTGCTGATCTTCATGAAATAATCGATCAACTATTGCCCTTATTTCGACTCTTCCAGTCTGCACAAATAAATAGAGGAAACGTCATAATGTAGTGAAGATGTAAACCCTCAACAAATATTGGAGGAGGAACCGGACGATCAAGAGGCAAAGTTTGTAATCTTGAAGAAAAAATCGAGGACTGCATTAAGAAAGGAAAATAACACATTTTTTATTGACCAGAAGGTAATAGCATTAAGAAGATGACATAATTCAGACAAATTACGATTATATAAAGATCACATTACGTTTGCGTCAATGCGTGATCTCCAATAAAGGTATAGAGAAAAGCAACTGAACAAATCATCGCCGAATGAAGCATTAAAACTGTCTTTAAAACGAAAAGTTGATGTCTAAAACATATACAAATATTTTCGGCGTGAAATTGTTGTTATCGTTTAGGTTGTGTGTTTGATGAACGTAAGTATTTATATATAATTAACAGTTTGTGAAACATCACTGTATCGTAAGTGTCAGTTGTATAGTAATTTTGAATAGTATCATAATGTTCATTTTATCATGTTTACAGTTATGTCGTAAAAGGTACGTAAGATGTATTATAAAGATCAGTGGGAACTAACTTACTGTGCCCCTCTGTTGGCCATCTTATTTTTGTTTTATTACGATGCTGAATTTATTGATGACGTCTTGTCTTTAAGTAACGTGTATGTCTATCAGAATAGGAACTCAAAGACAATACAGACTCATCTACATTAGTCACTTGTCTCTATCTTTTACAACAACGAAACCAACATGGACAGATGTCCATACAGTGTATGATAAACGCGATTACTTAAAATTTTCCAGTTTCATTTTCTAGGTGGCATTTTTGTAACCCAAACCTATGGTATTTACTTATAGGTTGGCGAAAAGTATAGAGAAATTTTACGTTCGTCATGGTGATGTCATATTCTATTTGTGTGATATGAAGATGGACGTGTTTGATGCTCGTTAGTTTGTATGTTGGTTCCGTTGTTCCATACATCGTTCTTTTTTTTGAGAACATGACATTACATACATGAATTGATCAAGGTTTACATGGCGGGTGTCGTCGATGAAGTCTCTGTGTAAGTCTTTCTTTTGTTCATATTTTCTTTAGTTTTATTGAAAACGATTTTGGATTATGATTCTGTTGACATTTTTTGTATCGTAAAGATAAGCTGTATAGATATATTCAGCCTATGGTGAAGTTCAGTTGTGTGGTAAAGGTAATTTGTACGGTGGTTGTCATTTTTTACGTACTGCATACTTGTATCATGATGTACCGTGATATTGTATCGCATCTTTTGCTTTTAATATTTTCATTGTACTTGACTGTTGTACTGCAATGTTTTGTACTAAACTGTGATATAGAAATTTGTACAAAAAACAAGAGTAGCTTTAACTACAATAAAAGAGTGAGATACAGTAGAGTCAAACAACGAATTAAACTACATCATATAATTGTTTCGTCCTTATAGGCCTCGTAGGTGATTTTTAAGACTTAAAGTTTGAAGGCATATGTATTGTATCCTGCTTTTGTATTCACAGTACAATCGAATTTTACAGTGCGTTTGTATTATACTTTTCTTTGTCGTGTATTTCACATTTGTCTAATATTGTATTGTGCATTTGTGTTGAGCTATACCAGCCACTTGTCTGTACATCATGAATTACAATTTTAATGATATTGAAAAATCTTTTTATTCATCTTTACATTTTCATATGACCTGTAAATAAGTAGTGCAAATTAATCAAACGATTTATATCTATAGCTTATCTGCAATAATGCCAGTACAGAAAAACATCTCGAATCTATATAATAGTTCCACAAATATCAAATATGAATACAAAAACACATATCAAAATGAAAACAAATCAGCGTGTTGATTTTCTTAATCTTGTAAATCCGACTCGTTTCATATAACACGTTAGTCACTTAATTGCTAGGTATCCAGTAATCATACTAAGAATGCATGTGGAGAGAAGACAGGACGAGATCGCTTGATAAAATACTTACAAAAAATAATTGTTGAGACATACAGAAAATATCTCCTTGAGTATGGACTTATGTATATATCATGTATTGTAATTGAGCATTGGTGAGGGCGAGAAATAATTAGCAATGTTCGTATGAATTATATTTCTACGACATGAAATATACAACACCTGTTAAGCATTTTTTATGATAAAAATTAAGAAAATAAAATTGTTTCATACCTTTATGTACGTATCTTAGTTGTCAACTATTTAACTAATGATAAAAATTAAGAAAATAAAATTGTTTCATACCTTTATGTACGTATCTTAGTTGTCAACTATTTAACTAATGATAAAAATTAAGAAAATAAAATTGTTTCATACCTTTATGTAAGTATCTTAGTTGTCAACTATTTAACTAATGATAAAAATTAAGAAAATAAAATTGTTTCATACCTTTATGTACGTATCTTAGTTGTCAACTATTTAACTAATGATAAAAATTAAGAAAATAAAATTGTTTCATACCTTTATGTACGTATCTTAGTTGTCAACTATTTAACTAATGATAAAAATTAAGAAAATAAAATTGTTTCATACCTTTATGTACGTATCTTAGTTGTCAACTATTTAACCATAGCAAAATGAAAATTAACTTACGACATCGAGGACACTATGGTTTAGATACAAAATTTCTCATTTGGTAAGTGTTATGGTTCAGTTTCTAAGAATGTGTAATAATTGCACACCAGACCATAGTGGTATAGCACCTTATAATACAAATTCGGTTATAGGAAATGCACACTGTGTAAACCAAGTTTTCAATCAATGTTTCGTACTCCAACGAGTATTCTGTGTTGCTAGACTCAAACAGCGGGTTCAAAGTAAATCGTAACCGGACTCAACAAATATGATATTATTATTAAATTCTTAACGGCCCGTCAACAGATAAAAGGCCATTAGGGCCATCAAGCATGTGATACTATAGTAGGAAAAACACAGAAGCAATGAAATAGTATAGATACCCTGTTTTTATCTTCTTATACAAACACTTCACGTTTGTTGTTCCTTTTGGTCGTCGATACGAAAAGAACATCGACTATAAACAATGTATAAAATAATAAAAATGGTATCATTAATTAAAGTCTGGTCAAAAGACATAACACATTGAAAAAGTTATTAGAGCGCAGCATATAGATATATGTATCAAAATAGTTATTCTAGCGCAGCATATAGATATATGTATCAAAAAAGTTATTTGACTTAAGAAGAAAACTTCTTTATTCTTTTTTAGATTTTTTTGTTCTGTGTGCATAAACAGTACAAATGTACACGTGTCGTTTTCCTGTCCATACTCATATGAACTATGGGTCGATTACAGTCTTAAACATAAACAATAAAGATAGCATATCTTAGCATATCTCAACATATCAGTATATAACTGTGTAAGTCACGTGATAAGATATCATGCATAAGAATACAGTAACAATAGCAACTAACTGATACATTGAATCATGAACATATTATCAAAATTTAATTTCGATTTAAAAATTGACGCATAACTTAAAAAAAATATTAACCGTAAAACAAGTTAAAAAATAAGTAACAAAACTTAAAGACCACTAGTTTCAAATTCTCGTAGAATACATGAACCATGAAACGTGTGAAAATATATTCTATTGCGAATGGTGATAACTATAACACATGTGGAGCAAAAAATGGCTCCGGTTTAATAACAATAAACAAAAAAAGCAAACCATCTACGCTATACAGATTGCCATTTACACGATACTGTGGTATATTCCTGTCATCTGGTGTGATCACTCCATCTTTACAAATTCGTCTGAAAAAGAATTGATCTTCGTTACTTCTCAAAATAGTTGTGGGAAAGTTTAAAGCTGACAACATACAGACAGCACAAAAACAATATGCTCCCGATCTTTCGATGCGGGGGGCATGGAAATCGGTTGGTAAACTTTAACCGCAAGCAATGATATATCTTTAAGGTGATCACATACCTCCTGATAAAATATATGCGAAGTTTCAATTTTTTCCACATGAATAGGCATTGCTCTCAAGAGTGTCCGGCTCGTCTATGAAATTACTTTTCTAAAAATAACACGATTTCAAGCTTTACTTAAAATGCATATTGAAAACGAGGCTACGTCTGAAAAAATAAAGTGCGCCAAAATTTGTGACAATGGTGACAGAGTGATTGAATTTTATCGTAAAGATCTTTCATCTTTTTTTCCGCACGCGTTTGTAATATGACATATGCTAAACGCGCAGGATTATGGGCATCGAAGTCTAAATGTTGTTGCATAGTCTACACCCTGTCTTGTCAGTCTTACAAGATCCGTTAAATAAGAATTCTCTTCATTGTTAATGTCATTAGGCAATAATTTAGAATCAGTGGAATATGGTATTCAATTATCGATAAAGACAAACTAGATTTTATTCTTTGTTCAACGGGAACTGGACATTTTCTTCATTTTTTTTTTTTTTTTTTTTTTTTGTTTTGTTTTTGTTTTTGTTAAAACACAAGATTTTACCCCTTTCAGTTCTTTGTTGTCAGGTGTGGTGTTCTGTTGTTCCTTAAAACGGTATGCAAATCGGGCTATTATCGCCAGCAGGAATGTCTCTATGACAAGCATGAAGTTGTGAATACCTGAAAGGTAACACCAGTTATTAACAATAATGATGAAATTGTGAATAACATTACAATAGAGATATAACAAACATAATTAATCTCAATATAGTGGTGATAACAAAAATGACGTCATGGATCATGATAAGATATTGACAAGGAAGGTGTTGCGGATTACAGTAAAACAATGATAACAAAGGTGTACAGGTGTATGATTGTTTCTAAAACAATAGCAACAGTGAGGTTCCGTCAATACTGATAACCTTCCCAAAGTAAACACATTTCAAACTAATTAATTTGAAACAGAACTTTCTATACATTGACATACTTACTAGATGCCCTTACAAATGAACCCCGGCTACCCTCACACGAAATCCGATCAAAGTTAGCAAGGAGGAAAAGGACGGACAGCTGAATGTCAAACACGATAAGTGTGATTTTGAGAGCGCCGGCTTTCAACATGAACCTTGGGGTAGTTAGCTTCCGTCGTGCTGCGAAGACAGTCACAAGAAGTCCGTATATGGCGAATATTGTAGAAATCACGGTGAGAATTTTCAGCCACAAAAAGGTTTCTGTTGGATCCGACTAAAACAAGAAAGGGAAACTTTTCTCATATTTCAAAAAATTTGAACCGAGGATGAAAGAGGTATTCTATTTGGTTTTCGTTACTGCGCCATACATCCATTTTGTACTAATGATACGTGAAAATTCTTAATTCTAAATGCTGGGAAGCCTAAATTTTGAAGCCTGGAAGGCGACTGAGAAAATGCAAAATGATCTAAGAAAAGTGAAAATCAAGATGGGCAGTCCTATGATTAAATAAATTTCGTAATTTTCATGCAAGAGACAATTTTAAAACAGTGTCAAATAAATATTATTGTTTCTTTTGTATATTCTGAACCGTGTCACTCTTCGCATAAAATAAAATGTCACATTCTATAACCTTTAAAACAAATACGTCCACTAGTATAGAAATATATACTCCGGCACTTACTGTATATAAACCTTGTATCAAAATATGAGGCCCTATATTATAGATAAGTGTAAAGTTTAACAGTTGCTTACACTTTGGTCCAGGTGATACCGGCCATCACTGTGTAGAATACTCAACACATACAAGAAACCTGGACGTATGAAAGATAGCTGCATTACCATGATCTTGATAATCTTCAACGTTTTGCTGTAACAAACAATTTGCTGTAGAATCCAGGTCAGGTCATAGGTCATACTTTAGATTAAGTAATCTGATTATTGCAGTTCAGATTAAAGCAAGATCTTTGTGAGAAATACGTTTCTTCTTCAACTGAATTAAGTCACATTACACGTAAGCTGAAGATAGAAGAAAAGTAGAAAAAATGTGGACGAACTTATAAGAAAAAATTGGAGGACAGTAATTATGTATCAGTTTAATAAATTCGAACCTCTGGGTATATTACCGCTAGTTACCAGGTTTACTCCAGCATTCTTACCGTGTAAGTTTAACATGGGTTAGACAAAAGCAGCAACAGCAACACGGAGGTGTCCTAAAGGATACTGTATCTTCCTCGAAAGCATGGAGCATGGCTTTGGTACCGCCAAAATAATCAACAACAAGATTAATAAACTGCAGGATACAAAAGGCCAGGAATCTACAGGAAAAGAATGATATCATAACAATATTAGTTACTGAACTCTTGGTGAAAATAATTGACTGCAAATCTATATTTCCAAATTGATCATGGTTATGTATCACAAAGGTAGCCTGTTCCTCAAGGAGTAGTGTGACAACAAAAATTATCCATGCAAGTTTTAAATTCTATCAATTAAATCATATTATTAATCATATCGTGGAATATTACATCATTGTAGTCATTTTAAAAATCAACATGGTATGGCCAAGGACTGTAATTTTTGACGCAGAGACTTAAACTAAAACAGACACAAGGCTTGCATGGATTTTTATCAGTTAAAACTTATCAATATGTAATCATATAATCATACGAAGTTCGTGGAGACTTTACATCAGACAAACAAGTGAACAACACCTTTCAATATAAATTTATATCAGAAACAAAAGACCCAAACAATGAATTCAATTGCATCCTACAGCAGTTTTGTTCTTCTAGGACTCTTCAATGATGCTGAGGGCCTAAATTTTAAACCTAGGAAACGAATGAAGAAAATAAAGATTGATCAAAAGAAATTTCAAAACCTAAATAAGTTTTGGGAAATTTTCATTGTTGAGAGATTCTAGTGAGCTGAACTGCCAGTTATTAAACTTAATATTAAACTTATTAAGGATAAGGTTTATTAATAATTCTGGATTTCTGTGTATATATTCCCGATGGCAAAACATGAAATCTAGAACCTCAATAATTCAGCTTCTTTCGCTCTACTAAGTTTGAATGCCATAACTGAAAGAAATTCACACTACAACCAATCACATCCGATGGATGATATTCATTGTTAAATCATACCATTTCATGGGATTTCATTTTTACCCGAATTATTTCAACATTGTAATATGAATTTGTTGATTAAGAGAAGCCAAGAAAATGACCAAAATAAAATTAATTCTTCGAAACCTTTACATGTAAATTTCAACATAATCAGGTGATATCTAAATTTCGACCTATCAGAAACCTTAATTATGTTTCCATAGCAACGGTTCTAGAAACAGACAGACAAGTTGTTTCCAGTGTTTCCTCTAACTTTGTTTGCGAGGGAGGAGTGTTTTTTGTATGTACTTACAATGCACTAAGGAATTCTGCAATGGGCGTTGCCTTTGGTACCATAATGCTTAACAGTGAATTGCAAGAGATGATCTGAAAGCAGGACGTTTGTGATAAATAAACACATTATCTTTTTTTTCTTGTTAGAAGAAAATAACAACATGGCAACATAATCATATTTCAAACTCAAATTCCTTAAAGCAAAATATAAACAAAAGAAATGTTTGCATGGAGACTCCTGAAAAAGTATAAGGAGAATAAGATCATGTGTTTGTTCCGGAAGAATAAGCGTCTTCGGCTCGATATACGACAACCGCCATGTAAACCTTGGTCAATCCAGGTAAGTAAAGTCACGTTCTTAAATGAGAGCAAGATTTACAACAACCGAACCCACAGGCAAACGAAGGTAGCAGTACACAGTTTCTTGGTGTGGCCATGGGTGATTTTTTTGTTTATTAGATTATCCCATTATAAAGGTTTTAATTAAAATTGAAAAAAAAATCCTTGCTAAAATTGGTCTTGTCATGTTAAAGTGGACAATGTGGGGTTTCATTTTTTCAGAATAATATTTTAGCTTTGTGTTGGAGATTACTATTTGGGCAGTCTATTATTTTATCTCTCTACTGTTAATGTAATTGTTTATAAATATATATACATGTAATGATGTATTTTTCATAACCAATCTGCTATACCTGTATATCTCAAACATGACGAATAATTTTTAGGAAAAATGCAAATTCACCGTTTTTCTCATTTTGATAATGATGGTGACCATTAAGCGTCACTATAAATTTTCATCGACCTACATCTTTTGAACCCTTGTGTTTCGAGTTTATCAGTCAGCTGACGACTTCTTGCACGAAAATCGTGATAATGGGAACAGACCCTTGAATATCGAATCAACCGTAAATACCATAGGTTGGAGATGTAGGGATACAGTACAACTTGCTATATCAGTACATAACAATACTTAAAAGAATATCTGAATATTTACCCAAGACATTGTCAGTTCATGCGTCTGATGCACTTTTAAATATGTAAGATTGTACAAAATACAAAAAATAGATATCAGAACTGAATCAAATTGCATAATACAGCTGTTTCGTCCTTTCATGATTCGTCAGCTAAATACCTAATTTTATACCTTTTAGGTGACTGAGGAAAATCGAAAGTGACAGAAATTTCAAAAATTAGATACTAGTTCAATAAACTAGAAATGTTTATGCACAAGACAACTGCACAAGAGCGGTTTGTATAATACTGTCTCTAGGCGACGGATAAGGTGGGTTATATGCATCTCATTAAGTTTACTGTAGGATATTTATGCTATATTATTTATTGATTATTATAAAATTCTAAAAATACAGTAATCGCGTTTCGTCAGCTTTAATAAGTAAATCAATATTCCCAAATGATTCACCTGGCACTTTTGTGAACCTGTTTTAATTGACATGCTCCCGTGTCCTTCAGTGTTTACACAACTAGAGTTTGTTCAACAGAGAACTGACGCCGGCTTTATTCTAACTGCTAGAAAATGTGTTCCTGATTAATTATGTTTTCAATAACTTTGTTGACTTACGATTATCAGTCTTCTACTTCTATATACAGACAAGACCCAATGTTAAATGCTGTCAATAGGTACATGTTATATCATATAATACAGTGCTAGATATGTGTAATACATGCAAAACCCGTACAGAAGTTCAGATGTTCAGACTGTAAGTGCAGGACTCGGCGGGTTGAATGGGTTGTACATTGCATGCCATGTTTAAATTTAAAAGAATGGTGGTACACTTCTGAATAAAGACATGTATTTGGTAGTACGTGTCAAGTTTCAATTAAAGTAAAAATTCAAAATCGAAAAAAATGCGGGCAAAATTTGAACAAATTAAAAAAATTACAATGAGATTTTTTAAGAGAAAATTAGATCAGGTGTTCCGGAAGGGTAGGGGTCTTTTGTTTTATCGACAACCATGTAAATCTTGAATCATGGCTTAGAGCAACGCAACCGCATAATAAAGTATTGAACAGGGCCAACTTCCTATTACAGAAAGGAATATCATTATTCCCCAATGAGAATGACGTTGACAGTATTTAACTGTGATTAATATTACTTATATTTCCGCTTATTCTTAATAGGTACCATTTAACAGGGTTGGAGATATTTGCATGTAGACTTCATCACTGATGTATATGGATATGTGACACGACCTCCTTGATCCTCATTTTCTATGTTACTTCTCTGATTGTCCTTGTTATACGAAATTCACAAAAAAAATAAATTTAGATAAAAGATTAGATTTATATGATGAAATAAGAGGGAAAACTCTTAAATTAACGTCTTTGTACACACGTAAATTCAAATTTTCCATATATATATTTAATGACTGAAAACAATATATGTCGTATGATCTTAACAACAAATGTGTTCAGCATTGTTTAATATGTCATAATGCGATAAAAATAACTTGAAATAATGACATATTCTTAAAAGGAGAAGTAATTCAAGACTGAAAAACTACATGAGCTTGTGTAAACGATGACTGCCTCTCGAAAGATAAATAGCTTCCAAGACGTATTTTACCTTTCATCTACCTCCTTAAAATTACAGAAACTGAGTTTCTCCTTTTCCATATGTGATTATCGAGGAAATTCAATGATGGTACTATTTATATAGACCAAATCACAATTACATTATTCCATATTGAAAATGTGTAGAATTTTTCACTATCGATTTATGTTTTTCAACGAGGTATGTGATTAGCATTAGAATTCTCTCTCTCTTTACAAAGGACATGGATGAAGCATTCTTCTCAAAAGAAAAACTTGTTCGTTACAAAATTAAAATACATATCACAGCAAACCATATGCAATATATGTTTTCCACCTATATATGACTCACACTGATATTACAGTGTAATTAATCAATCGCTACCTGACAAGCGATACACAGTCATGTATACATACATACCGGATAAACAGCCAACAGGCAAAGGATCTTGGGTCGGGTTTTTTTATCGTCATGATGCTTGTAAAAGAACCAGACTTCTTCCAGGAAAATCAGAAGAGTGAATAAAGAAAGAATGCATGCTATCACAGTTATAACTATTGTGCCGCTCTCTCCATTCAGCTCTGTAAAGACAAAAACGAGGATATTTGACTCTTCATAATTTATGTTACCTTACGCAGATATACTTTCTGAAATTGTTACCTGTTGTTGACCAGGTAAAGGTGTAGTTTTCATTCCATGCGATTGAAATTGATTATTCCATTTGTTGGATATTACGTTAGGAATATTGCCATCTTGTATTTTATTTTGTAAAATTGAACATTGATATATGATAATAATTATATTTGAAATTTGTTGTAATATATGAAAAAAACGTTAATCGTTATAAGATATGAATATCTTACCAGAATATAACACGGACGTGTAAGGATAATCCTGCAAACAACTCATGACGCTACTCGTCCTGATTAGCAGTGCTCTTGAAAAGATAAGAATATAAATTGAAGTGACGAAGAAAAATAATCCGCATTTGCTTAAAAACGCCGTCTTGAAATAAACGCATGGGGAATGCGTGTAGTTAAAACACGCAAAAGAGTGCAAACACGGGCATATTAACAGCATCTTCAAAAAACTTCAGTTTCTTCAAACACGAATAAGAACAACATAAACATTTGTGCCGGAAAAATACGAGAATACCAAGACCATGTGATCCGGAAGAGCAATCGTCTCCTTCCTCAATCCAATAAAACAAGGCCTTTATTAAAATCAAAATTTTCTTAAATGTCAGGATTTATTCTTAATTAGCGATGCTTTATTGCAATGTACGAAACAAAATAAAACGATACTACAGCGTAATCTATTTTTGTAATCATGTACCCAGCATTTGACAACAATTTGGTCCTACATAAGTATCCCTTCCATATCAAATCTGACGAGATAAAATGTAAATATGTGACTATTTTCAACATTCTTATTTAAATGGAAACGACTTTAAGATAATTTCCTTATATGATCAATTCATGCTTACATTGTAGAAATCTACTAGTAGTATTACTGTTTTTTCTCTCCACATTTTATGGTAGTTTAGGTCCTTAACGTCGTTTGCGTTTTTCTAACTGGAGATGGATTTGTAAAACTTGTTTTTTTATATTCAATTTCAATCACGTGTTTGATGTTACTACTGATGCTATGTAAAGAGAAATGAAGTTTTTATTAAAATTGCTTTTCCATCCATCCCTATACCATAATGGCCGTTTATCGTAAGTTTGTTAGGCACAATAAGGCATCAAGAGGTCCATACACAAAGAACACCATAGGGTGCATTCACTAACTGACACAGCACGTGTTACTGTAAAACTTGTAGACAAAATTCGAATGGGACGAAAAATTAATTTTTTTTTTAATTTATCAATTCACATTCAGTGAAATGTTCCGAAAAAAGACCGTCTGTTGTTATTTCCAAATTATTTTTATCAATAACTTTTAACAAAAGAGAAATGTACTTACATATCCAATATGATATATTTACATGAAGTATGAGAGGTGAAAACCGGTACGAGACCAGGTATTGTAGGTATTGTGTTACTGTATAGACAGTCCTATACAACAAAGGAACGTTCTCACGATTCGTTCAACGCCCATCGATATTACGCAATTAGGCCAACTTTAAGTTACGTTGACACTGCCAGTATCTATAATTATTCTTAAACTCTTAAATCTAAACGGTTCTATCATTTTATTTCTTTCATATCAGGTATGAGATCATTTATTGTCTACACATATTTTGTACAGTGTATTAATTCTGTGCTAAGTTCATATCAATTATGAGATATTTTTGTGTTTACAGATTTCGTACACTGTATGACATGTGAGTTCAATTTATATCAGTTATGAGATATTTTTTGTGTTTACAGATTTTGTACACTGTATAACTTTTGTGGTAATTTTTAGTGTCTGTAGTTTAATTTGACAATTCTGTGTTTCAAGACAAAATCTTACAATACCTGACAAGTCTTTAGTCTCGTTTTTAATATTTCTACAATATTTACAAAAATTGTCTAGTTCCAGGATACCTTGTCCATCAACAAGAACTGTGTTTGTTATGGTGGCTGATTCGGGACATCGTAATATCGCTTCGTTTAATGGGAAGCGAGATTGCGATACTACGATAGCACGATGCGATATCGTGGTATCGCATCGTGATATCGCATCGTGGTATCGTGATATCGCAATCTCGCTTCCTATTAAACGAAGCGATATTACGATGTCCCGAATCAGCAACCATAGTTTGTAATGAGAATCTCTCTCTTACTGTTTAGATCCAACCATTTTTGGACTGATACTTCAATAATGTACACCTCTATGGCAAAAGTTATAATATTAACGATAATACCAATAGCAGGCTTTATACACGGTGGATTAAATCACATGTAGTTCAGCGCTGATATAAAGATTAGCACATGTTTGTGTATGAATTTCTTTATCTGATCAACCTTGGTATAAGAACACGTTTTCATGAGATGCCAGACAAATTGCATCTACTGTTCTGATTAGATAGAAATATAACCCCTGGTCAAACATTTAAATATATAATATGATGAAATGTTAATATTAGAATAAAGAATATTGTATAAATATTCTTCCGTTACCAGTGGCATCGTAAAAATATAGATAATATTCTTACCTTTAACGGTCAGCGGTGATGTCGACACAGCTGTACTCACGGTGTCTGACTGGCTCACGTTGGGGTGTACATTTGTACTTAAAAATATACACACAACACACGCGGGGTTAATATATAGGACGTGTCGCGTAGCAATTCAGAATCAATCAAGCGGAACATGTCATTACGTTCACATGTTATCATTGGACGCCATTTTAGTATTTATATAGATACATGATATCACTAATTCGAATTATTGATATCATTAATATATTTATTGATAATATCAATCCAAAAATATTAATATAATTTAATGAATAAGTGATATCAGTGACAAATAAGCTTTGTCATTTTTTTTCGCAGTTATGTCAATAATTTGAATCAATAACATGTTTTGCATCATAAAGGCAACGACTTAAATGTGCTGATTTATTTTTATCGGTTTTGTAAAATGTGATGTTTCATACGACTGAATCCTTGATGTGCTACAACTCAACTAGAAACTATTAATTCGCTGGGAAATATTCGAAGCTTTGATGTTTATTCAGTATACAAGACGACAGCTACTTCAACAGACAATGCTTAGAATATAAATACGAGTCTCGTACAAGTTCTCAGGTATATACTGAAGGTGCATTGGTGTTTATCGTACAAAAGACAAAATTTATCACATGTCAATAGAAATTTAGAATTAGATACAGTATAGTTGATACTGAGCACACCCTTTAAGCAATTTTTAGATTGGTCGAAATAAAACCCAAAGGCCAGTTGAAGGGGTGCACCCCTTTCCCCGCCCCCTGGTCCAATAAATTACTTTATTTTCCATATGGAATTGTTTAATGAAGAAAGTATATGGTTCTTCACTGTAGCAGAGACCTAAATGTATGTGGATTTTATTTCAACAAATTTCATTGAACAAAAATGCACGATAGTATTAGACAAGAGGCATAGTCAATACTAGTATTTTCCTGGGGTCCGGCAACAATGTATTATGTTTGATGAAATATGATAAAACAAACAATGAATATATCAATTGCACTATCTGGTACTTACACACAATCACACATTCTTGCATGACACACATACGAGGGATGACTTATAAGTTGTGAGTCTTGTAATTGAAGAAGTTATGAAGGAATGTCCTTTTTCAGCTCTACTATTGCCTGACTATTTAAGGCTGTGTACCCGAAGATTGGTGTTTGGTCAGTTTACGTCTTGGGGTTAGCACTCAAAAATAAACAAGTGACTTTTGCAAAATGGACAAAATCGCTGAAAGACAGTGAGTCAATATTTGGATTGGAAAGATCTAGCGCCTAAGGATCACCATATGGTAGCAACACCAGAGAATGGTGTCCCTTCATATGCTACAGTGAAAAGGTGGGCGGCGGAATTTAAGCGTGGCAGGTATAGCCTTGGGGATGACGCCCGTCCAAGAAGGCCCGTCACCGTTGCAGTCCCATCTGATGCATCACTTCTTAGGTAGTTGATTGAAAATATTAAACTCGGGCTCCGCGGAAAACTCCGTAAAAGTGTGTTGTTCCACCAGGATAATACCCCTATTCACAAGACTGTCATTGTCATGGCTGCCATTAACGACTGTGGTTTTGAATTGATCGAGCATCTGCCTAATTCGCCTGATCTCGCTCCATGACACTTTCGTCTATTTCCAAAATTGAAAAGGCCGTTGCCGGTACTCACCTTCGGTTCGATGATGACGTCATACACGCAAAGGAGGACTTTCTGAACGGTTAAGAAAATTACTTCTTTTAAGTAGGCATCGAGGCCCCTTAAACATCGCTGGCAAAAGTGTATAGATACTGAAGGGGATCAAGTTGAAAAATAATGAAATATGTCCGCTAAAATTTAAACCCTTAAATACCTCGTACAAACGTATTCACACAACTCTTTAACCAAAGGAAGGATTATATACATAGAACACTCGCACGTGTATACAACTCTAGCTTTTATACACTAGTGACTCATAAAAAGACAATAATGTTAAAATAAAGTCATTTGGTATTCTATCAAATTTTAACTTGTTAGTAAATGAAATGTACTCATGGACTTTATGTAAAAGATATTCATTATCATAAGGTAATAAATAAAAATTCCCAGAACGAAATATTTGAATTTCCAATATGATCAGAAGTATCTTTTATGTAGTGTCTAAAGGCAGTATAAAGGGACATAGATTGAAAAAAAAAATCATCATTTTCAAAAGGCATTCAACAGGAATAAGCTGGGTTAAGGGTCACATGATCATTGAATTTATCATTATTCAGGTCACTCATCGCGTAAGTGATAAGATAACATATCTAAACTGGTAAGATAAATCAGAAAATGTTTAGCGATATTTATTGAAAGTATTTGTATGGTTGTTCAGTTTTCGAAAGTACTGAGAGTAGCTGAAGAAATGATAGAGCGATCAAGATTGTTCCACAGGTGCGTGACATCGGGAAAGAAACTAGGATCATAAATAACAAGGAGGAATGATAAAGCATATGTTATTCTGTAGACGAGGGTTGTCTCGTTTATCAGTAAAGGGTTCAGTGATGTAACATAAGTAGTCTGGAGTTATGTGGGTAATTATTATAAATGTCAAAACTAACTTGTTTATGACTTTATTATTTTTTTTCAAAAGCAATTTATTTGTATAATTCAAATTGAGGAGAAGTTCTACTTCTACAGTTATAATTTCAATAGCTTTTTCTACAAATTTTGATAAATTTCCTTCCCTATTGTTACAATTATCCCAAACAAATTAGATGATGCAAATTCCAGCTTAGGTCTGATAAAGATAAAAATATAACATTTCTAAAGACTTTCTGTGAAATCTAAGTTTTATTATGCGTAAAATATTCACGTGCATATTTTGTCAAATCATCATTTATATGATCACTCCAAGTTTCCTTAGCGTTTAGGTATTAAGCCTAAACGTTTATGGAAATTGCTTTCACTTATTACTTGCTTGTCAAAAATGAGCAGTGGGCGGCTTCTATTTTCTAGAACAGTTAGAACAATAGTTTTCTGTGGATTTGAATTATTCCTATATATAGTGTATGTAAATCTCTGATTTCTGATATAAATCTACATGCCATCTAAATTGGCAGTCTTGCTCCATATCCATTTCTTTGGTGACGTCACGATGTAGGTTTAATATGTGTTAGCTTTAAGTACCGTGATTTCTTGACGAGTTTCCAAAAGGTACATTCTCAATTTCATAAGTTAACAAACCCGTTTGTTGCAGGTTCCTAAAACCCTGTTGATGAAGGCGTGTGATCCTCTTAGTTCCCGTTTGATAGGTGTGTTGTAAAGCTCTGTTAAAACCTGTGTCATACAGGCGTGTCATAATAATCGCTTAACACCCGTTTGACAGGTGTGTTGTAAAGCTCTATTAAAACCGGTGTCATACAGGCGTGTCATAATAATCGCTTAACACCCGTTTGACAAGTGTGTTGTAAAGCTCTATTAAAACCTGTGTCATACAGGCGTGTCATAATCATCGCATAACACCCGTTTGTCAGGTGTGTTGTAAAGCTCTCTTAAAACCTGTGTGATACAGGCGTGTTATGAATCTCTCTTGAAATCCGTGTGATACAGGCGTGTTATAAACCTATCTTGAATCCTGTGTGATACAGGCGTGTTAGAAAACTCTCTTGAAATCCGTGTGATACAGGCGTGTTAGAAAACTCTCTTGAAACCCGTGTGATACAGGCGTGTTAAAAAATGTGTCTTGAAACCTGTGTGATACAGGCGTATTATAATACTATCTTGAAACCCGTGTTATACAGGCATGTTAAAAAATGTCTCTTGAAACCTGTGTGATACAGGAGTGTTATAATACTATCTTGAAACCTGTGTGATACAGGCGTGTTATAATACTATCTTGAAACCTGTGTGATACAGGCGTGTTATAATACTATCTTGAAACCTGTGTGATACAGGCGTGTTATAATACTATCTTGAAACCTGTGTGATACAGGCGTGTTATAATACTATCTTGAAACCTGTGTGATACAAGCGTGTTATAAAACTCTCTTGAAACCGGTGTGATACAGGCGTGTTATAATACTATCTTGAAACCTGTGTGGTACAGGCGTGTTATAATACTATCTTGAAACCTGTGTGACACAGGCGTATTATTAAACTCTCTTGAAACCCGTGTGATACAGGCGTGTTAAAAAATGTCTCTTGAAACCTGTGTGATACAGACATGTTATAAAACTCTCTTGAAACCGGTGTGATACAGGCGTGTTATGAAACTCTCTTGAAACCTGTGTGATACAGGCGTATTATAAAACTCTCTTGAAACCCGTGTGATACAGGCGTGTTAAAAAATGTCTATTGAAACCTGTGTGATACAAGCATGTTAAAAATATCTCTTGAAACCTGTGTGATACAGACATGTTATAAAACTATCTTGAAACCTGTGTGATACAGGCGTGTTATGAATCTCTCTTGAAATCCGTGTGATACAGGCGTGTTATAAAACTATCTTGAAACCTGTGTGATACAGACATGTTATAAAACTCTCTTGAAACCTGTGTGATACAGGCATGTTATAACTCTCTTGAAACCTGTGTCATACAGGCGTGTTATAAAACTCTCTTGAAACCGGTGTGATACAGGCGTGTTATGAAACTCTCTTGAAACCGGTGTGATACAGGCGTGTTATTAAACTCTCTTGAAACCTGTGTGATACAGACATGTTATAAAACTCTCTTGAAACCTGTGTGATACAGGCGTGTTATGAATCTCTCTTGAAATCCGTGTGATACAGGCGTGTTAGAAAACTCTCTTGAAATCCGTGTGATACAGGCGTGTTAGAAAACTCTCTTGAAACCCGTGTGATACAGGCGTGTTAAAAAATGTCTATTGAAACCTGTGTGATACAAGCATGTTAAAAATATCTCTTGAAACCTGTGTGAGACAGGCGTGTTATAAAACTATCTTGAAACCCGTGATACAGGCGTGTTATAAAACTATCTTGAAACCCGTGTGATACAGGCGTGTTATAAAACTATCTTGAAACCTGTGTGATACAGACATGTTATAAAACTCTCTTGAAACCTGTGTGATACAGGCATGTTATAACTCTCTTGAAACCTGTGTCATACAGGCGTGTTATAAAACTCTCTTGAAACCGGTGTGATACAGGCGTGTTATGAAACTCTCTTAAAGCTGGTGTGATACAGGCGTGTTATAAAACTCTCTTAAAGCTGGTGTGATAATCATGATATACAACAGTCTTGAAATTTGTGTGATACAGGTGTGTTATACCTCCCTCCATAAAATCCTCTTAAAAGGTTTATTACAGGTGTTCTAGAAATCCCGAAGACGCGTGTGATGCAGGAGTGTTATAACACTCTTAAAACCCATGATACAGGTGTGTAATAAAACCTTCCAGAAACATGTTTGACATGTTAAACCCCCCTTTTGAAACCATGGGAAAATGGGCTGTAAAAGCCCTTTTAAATCTGTTTGAAATAGGCGTGTTATAAATCTCTTAAAGCAGTCGTTCTGATGTATGGATATTCTTGGATCTACAATATCATGATACAATGATTTTGACAGCTCCTCTGCTGTAAGGATATTCTTGGATCTACTATACAATGATAAAATGACGTTGATGACCTCTCGGAAGTTAGAATTAGGTACATATATCTTGATCATTATTATGAATATCAACTCAGCAATTTCTTTAATGAGAACCAACATTCCTTTTTTTCCATTAGCATTCTATCTCCTCCCTCCTCCTTGTCGGTCTACTTAACAACCACTGTTGAATTGAAGGAAACAAAAATTAAAAGTTAAAAAACAAAGGAGTGACTTTTTTTAAAGAATTTTATTTCAGCAAGTGTTACAAACTATCACTGGAGCTATCTGTGTTGTCTGAATCACTGTAAGTACACACAAGACCGAGCCCTATTGTATTGGCAGAAACAGGACCAGGAGAGCTGGTGCTGTCATTGTTCAATACATCATTGTCACATGACTTGTCAACTGTCTTCGAAAAGTCACTGGAACTTGAGTCTTCAATATTGTTATTATCACAGTTGTTTTTTCCTCTCTGATCATTACCACTAGTAGTTACATCTGCAACTGAGCCATGCATAGCTGACGTTCCAGGGGAGTTAACTCTTTCTTGTTCAGGTGTAGACAATCGTTTGCGAACTCCCAAGGACTGCTTCAAATGCTGCTTTTCTGTTTTGGACATTATAGCAGGGGAATTAAACACATTGATTCTATTTGTACTTATTTTGCCTGCAAACTTTTGTTTGATTAATTCCTTTGTTTTGTCTTTAGTTGATGTTGGTTTGGATTCATTTGTCACAGACACACCTTGGAATATTGGTTTCTGTTCTATTTCTTTTCTTTTCTGTTGCTGCTTTTCATCGAACGCTGAAATGAAACAAAAATGTTTTAAATGACAAACTTTTTATAAAAAATGATCATGAAATATTTTTCTTCTATAAGGTCAAACAATAAACTTTCATCTTTCATCACATTTTCTAACAAATCAAATCTTTCAGTAAAACAATATACATCTTTCGTTACTGACTATAATTGTGATGCCAAACAACTTACATTCGGTGGCAGTATATTTCAGAAGTCCAGCCAGTCGTACATCTGCTTCATCCTCCTCGACCAGTTGTATATCTAGAGAAGACTTTTCCAGAAGTTTGTCATCCAAAGCCTGTGCTTCTTTGATATGCTTTTTCTCCATCTAATAGAAAATATGGAAACTGTAAATTTTATTTTTAATCTTTAATTTACATTTTTCTTACAACTGTGGATACTTTCTTTGTCTCTGACACAAGAAACACTGAATGGATTCAAATATTGTGACTGTATTAAATTTTCACTTAACCAATCCTCTTTAAATTCATATAATTCCAATTACTCATACATACTGCAAATGAACATTCACACAGATACTCAGTAGTTCACAATAAGGGGTGAAGCATGGAGGAGAGGAAAGACATACCCTAAATTTTTCCCTTGCCAATTTGTTGATCATATAGTCATCCTTCCACTGCCCCCTTTGGCCTTCTATCTGGCCTAGGTTCATCACCCGAGATTTACCGGCGTCCTTGTCATCTGATCCATGCTCTAGTTTATACATGGCATCAGTAGCCAGCTTCTTCTGTGTAGCTTTATCTGCATGGAAAAGTCAAAATTTATTACATTGACATACTATCCTATCTTAATTTTACCACTGGGATATATAAGGTTACAATATATAAAATTAAAAGAATTTTTAATGGTTTCAAATAACTCTTTTTATCTAAATTTCAAATTAAACTGCCATCAAACAATAGGAGTATGTTAATAGGAATGAAAAATTAGTAATATTGTGAAGTTACAATAACCCTGATGATTTTTATTGTTACATCACCATTCAGAATTTATTGTCAAACCACTTAATTAGATATACCATTTGTCTGTGAGACTTGCATAAAGACTGAAATGCATTTGGTTATGCTTTTAAATGGTATTTCGTTTCCCCCATTAGCAAAATGTTGGTGCAATACACATCTATAGATCCTTAATAATTTGTTTAAATGGAACAGCACTGAATAAGTTTAGAAACATTGATATTGATCAACCTTACTGTGATGTCACTCTTTCCAGCGCCCTTTAATCCATTTCATTTAACATAATGCTCTCCCTTTATCCAGTTTTGGAGTTAACATTTCACTTACTTTAATTCCTTATTTGATTTAACCTGTATCTAATACCTACCTTGTATTCAAAAGTCATGTTCACATGTATGTCTTTATTGCAATACTTGTGAAGGTAAAACTTACATTTAACATAAATATCAAAATTACTTTTAATGTACTTCTAATACTTTAAATAAAAAGTTATTACAGGCACTAAAAATAGTATATCATTGTTTTCCAGATTTTAAATAAATTTTAAATGAATCTTACATTATTACCTATATTTATTGCAAGTGTAGCTAACTAAATAAAAAAAAAACTCTCATAGATAATGTTTAATTCAAATAATGCTCATTTTTTTATAGAACATAATCAGGTCTAACCTTCAGGTACGATTTGTTCATTGTCTTTAGGATCCCATCTTTGTTCTTTCCGACGCGCTCCATTTAAGATCACATAGTCATGGTTCTTGGAAAAAGGAATACAAATCCTTGAGTGCTCTATGTAATAAATATTACCTGGTACCATTATCTTCATGATTTTATACAATAGTAGTATTGGTTATATTTAATTATCTTTATATACTTATTTCTTTTGATGAAAATTTTGGTAACATAATGTTAAATTATTGAGATTTGCTTAAATTTAAGTGGATTTAAGAAAACTCAAATTTGACAAAATTAAATGAAGATTAAAACAATAAATACAAGAAGTAGCAATATCCATATTTTTCTAAATAAAAGTTTATTTTTGTTTTCGCTTGTAATTTGATGATATATACCACATTCACTCATTCATTTTAGTGTGAACCTGTTGGTTACCTTAGGGTCTGTCTGTATTTCAAAGTGGTTATCACACAAGTGACACTTCATTCGAAACTTGTAAATAGGCGTTGTATAGTAGTTGCCCACTTTGGACTTCTCAGCATTGTACCTCACTCCCATCGCTACAGGCTTATTACAACCTCCACACCAGATGTTGTAGGGCAACTCAAACCTATCAAAAACACACATACAGCAAATATTGGCTAAAAGATAGAAGTAAAGTATTCAACTCTACAAAATTGTTGGAATTTTCCCAGTTGTAAAGTATGTTACTGAATTTATAGGCAATTTTTTTTCCCCCAACACTAACAACTGAATGTGTACTGTAAATAACAGTACTTGCTTAAATCCAATGACAACAAAGATTTGGCAACATTTTCTTTTCTACAAATTGTCAGTTTGAAATATCAACTTATGACTGAAACATCACTTCATATGCCAAAACCTGATGTTTGATAGCACAATACATACACTCATACATTTAAAAAAATCAATCTGGATCAATTTTCACATACATATTTTTCTACACAAAAACTTTTCCTATAAAATCCTTAAAGAATAACAACAATATTAATTGTTATATTTGTATTTTTGAGAATGGCCTCCTATCTAATCTACATATATGTTGTTAAATAAAATAAATACAATCTTACAACTGTGTAACACTTAAATAACATCAACTTCAGAAGCGTTGAAAAGAAGCAACATTCTGTCCATTGTTTAGCTAAGGAAAGGAACACATCATGGTCTTTCTACTTTCACCAAAGATTTAAAAAATATCAACTTTTTTAACTTAATTACCTCCCTTTTCTCATATTCCAAACTGGAGCATATAGAGCTATATCAACTGCAAAATGGGACAAAACTAATTCAATTAAGCAACATTTCTTTCAGGCAGAGAAAGTTCAGAAATATATTTCTTGTCCATTTTACAGTTAATTTAGGTTTTAATTATGAAACAGTCTGCCTTTCAATATGTCCATTGTGCATATTGTCATTTCAAAAACTTTTAAAAAAAAAGTTTTTATATGAGATGCCCTGAATCAGGAAACGTATACAAAGTCTACATTAAAGAGTATGCATTTGTATAATCATATTTTACCTAATGACAAGAATCCCCTGTTTGAGTTTCCGAGCTCTGTCCCTTAGTGGGTGCTGACCGAAGTGCTTGTTGACAGACCCTTTGCTTGGGTCCCAATCAGGAGGGTAATATTTGTTCACAGATTTTCTTTCAGCCTATGAAAAGAATTGTAATTCTGATTAATGAATGAATGAAAAATCAACTCTTCCATCTTTCATAAACCAATGTCTATTTTTTTTAATTTTCGTGTAAGTCATTCTTAACATACTTGTGCTTTAATTTCATCACTTCCAAATGATTTTCAAAATGTAGATCACAAGACATCTTTATATACAATTAACATTCATATACTGGTGAAAATAAATATAAATGCATAACTGGGTGATAATGTCAAAACCAAAAGAAAACTTGGAAAATATTTCACACAAGTATATGTAGCTGGAGGAATTCAGCACTATACACATATGTTGATCCCTGAATCTTCAAGTGTGCTATGTATACACACCATCGATCTACCTCACTTACCCAGAAAAAGGATAATAATGAATATTACTGAAAATTGACAATTTTTTCATGCATGATATGAATGTTGTTTTCACTTCAACACAAGAAAACTTTACAGTGTTGATGATCGATTGTGAAAACCATCATTCATCATTGGATCAGAGAGGGTAAACAATTAGATAATCGAGTATATCTGATCACTGTCTCATCTCTACTATCAACTGAGCTAACCGGAACTTAACTCTCATACCAAATATTTTTAAAAGCCTTTGGAATATTTATCATAAAAAATCGAGCAATGAAGAGAATGTGGCATAAAAAATTTCCTTTTGGCTAGCTTTAACAACTGCCATCAGAGTTACTTTCAATACACCAGACGTAATCCCCTATGCATCAACATGTCAACGTGATTATCTTTAAGTAACAGTCTTAGTAGGCACAGTACACAACTGTTGTATGCCTAACAGAGAGTGAGAAAGACTGTCACTGTTTCGTAGCCTATTCGGAGGCGTCTCAAACAAACAAAAATTATATGAAAACTTCGAAACAAGTTGAGTCGCCTACCATGCTGAATGTGAGTGGTGAGGACTACCAAGACAACGTGATTAGTTCCCCTTGCAGACACGTACGTCTGACGTTGTATGGATTATTCAGGTTGTAAACTTTAGCGCGGAGCTAGCTTTTATTTCATGTGTATTTAATATTCTTTGTAAATACTTATACATCAGTGTAGTTGTTTCAAAAGTCAACAATATTCTTTACGATTGAAAATAGCAGGAAAATTCATGGTAGAATATTTATAAATAGTATCTATAGTCTCAAGGTCACTGCTACTTTCGTATTTTTGAAGTTGACCTTGAAAGGTTACGAAGTGCCCGGGTTCCTTCAATTTTGATATCTGTCAACTGTCAGTAAGCTGAAATTCGCTGATGACAGTGCCTCTCTATGAAGAATAAGTAATTGTGCAGGTAAGTGTTTATGTGAGAACACTTGTGTTTGGTAATAAATATGCGTAGAAAACTTTCCATGATAGCAACAAATATTCGTTTCCAAACGGGATCGAAATGTTGATCTGTCGGTGCAGTGATAGGGGCCGGTAACAGGAAGACTAATCGCTTGGACGTTACGTACTGTCCATGCAAAGTCAAATATACACTCATTTGATACTAATTGCGAACATTATACAAGTGGGCAACTATTAAAAGACATATTAGTCAATCTTATTACGACTCAAATACATATACATTTTATTACATATCATTATGCTGGGCGTTTCACCCCAAACTAGTTTCATATCTACCTGTTTGAGACAATTTGCTCCATTGAGTTTTGAAAGGTTAAATCTTAGAAACGTTGCCGACTCAATTAAAAAATATCGATTCTCCAGTGTAAATTCAGATTTGAAGACAACACCATATTGATTTCATAGAATGTTAAAAGCTACGCAAAGAAACTCACAAGAATGCCGCTTTACAATATATATATATATATGTATCATGCAATAACACATCAGGTATAGCGGTGGGCTACCACAGACAGTTAAAGATCTGACTCTTGAGGTGTGTGGTTACATCAATATGTCCTTTAATTTTGCTGATGCTAGCTATGGCAATGCCCAGGATACTTCTTTATGTAAGAAATATGATGTTCAAAGTGGTAGCACAAGGTACTACCACGTGGCTGTTGGCTGATTGTAGCAGAAGTCATTTCCAATAGGATTTGAACCCAGGACCCAGGACTTGCATGTCTGATGCTTAACCAACTGAGCAGATTAAAGAGAAGTTCTGTTGAGCCCAGCAGTATATTGCAGCTAGTATTTACCCCTCCAGGAAAGAACTTGTTCAAAAGTTTCCAGGGGTTACAGCTATGCGTATGAAAATCAGTGCCAAGTATTATCTAGAGTCCCTATATATACTTGGGCCCCATTGTTACAGAGGTCATTACAGAGGTACATTGTTTGAAAAAATGCCTCAACATGTACATAGTGAATAAAATAATGCTAATAAAGACTTTTAAAAAGTTTAGAATATGTGTGATTTAGTTTCCATTAAAATGATATTCAGCACAATTTCACCAATAAATGGTTGTACATTTTAAGAACTATTACTTTTTCTAACAACTTTTAAGACTATTTCCAGCATCAAAATATATTTCCTATGGTCAGTTTGGACAGTTGAAATTGATTGAAATAGCCTGTGCCAGTATAAGATTAGTCTGTCTAAATATAGCACAATAAGGAAACCTGTATTAAGTCATTCAATTGATCATAGTTGTATGTGAAGTATTTGGTATGTACACAGGTATGTATGCTGTTCACTGATAATATCTGCTGGAATCAGAATTCCATTGCTTTGTTTGGCTTACTTATCCTTGATTTTAAAATAAACACCAATATTTTACATTATTAAGTGAATAAAAGCAAACCTGTTATGGTTCAGTCATGATCAAGCTTACATTTATAAATCAGTCTAGCTAGATTTGTATAGAATTTCCATGACTTAAGTATAATATTTTTGTTTATAGGGCGAATTGAGGCATAAAATATCTGTAAGAATATCACATTTTAGGTTGATCCAAAGAAAATGTGGCTAGAAAAATAAATTTTTTGCATGTTTGCCAATTCTAATTGCTAATTTTTAAGAATGTAGCAGAGGTATTTTTCCCCTTATTTCCTATTTTGATATTGAGGGTGATCACAAGACTAAAACATCTTTATTTATGATTTTTTTTAGTTTTGTCTGATTGCTAGAAGAATATTATGACTTTGAACTTTTCTTCAAACTATTTCTCCAGAAGGATAAAATTGGTGCAGGGACGTGATATTGGTGAAAAGTTTCAGGGAATGAAATCTGATTAAGTTTACATAGGGAATTGACCTTGATCCATATTTGTGGTCACAATTTGTTAAAATACTCAAACAACTTCAAACCAGAAGACTTACAATCATGATATCTAGTAGTAGATTCCTGGAATGAGAACTGACAAAGTTTGTGAAATGAATAGACCTATGTGATATTTAGATCACAAGAGTCGAATGTGTCAAAAAGATAAAGTTTTCTACCGATTAGAACAAGAAAAATAGTGCTTTTGCCATTCTGACCATCTCTTTGTAAAATTTTTTGCAAATATTGAAGGTCAAAAATCTTCATACCTATTCAGATTAGATTGTGTCAGGAATGAAACAGCAAGAAATACTTCTAACACATATCCAAGGTTACCTGATAAGCTCAGATGAATATACTGTTAAAAGGAAAGATCTAGATAGATGGACTGGAAATGCAGTAAAAATTATCCATTTTTTTTGTATAATTTTTAGCGTGGAGTTTTAACATGAAGATTTTGATGTTTGGATAAATGAAATTAATTTCGACCCATTAAAAGGTAAAATTTGCTTGATTTACTTTCTGAAACCATTAATATCATTGGGCCCCATGTAAAGCTTTCTTTAAAAGATTCCTGTTAAGATGCCATGGAATATATTCATGGAAATTCTAGATCTAGCTGGAGAAATTAATAAGATATGGAAATGGAGTGTAATATTCTGCTCACATTCTGCTTACATGTAGTTTTTTTGTGTTTATCTGAATACAAATGTTGTATTTGATTTATACTGTGATTATCTTTTAAAAATAGATTGGTTTATTATTAATTCATTAGAAAAAACATTTCAATATAACAGTCCAGAAATGATATACTTGAAAATGTTACTGTTAAAATAGGTAAAAATGAGGTACAGTTTATTTTCTAGAAAACATTGCTTGAACAATACTTATTCTTAAGAATCATAATTTTAAACTGTTTTTAAAATGAGATTACATGTCTGGTTTTGGGAGATAGCATTCCACTCAGCTATAAAAGCTGTTCCTGGAGTGTCATTACACATGCTTAATGTAATTTAGATCTGAGGGTAGGCTAATTCATTTGTTGAATAGTCTCTTGGTCTAGATATATACTAATTTGTTATCCTTGCTCTATGTGATGTAGCATTACTATCCATCTTAGCTCTAGAGATCTAAGATTTATCACAATAAATCTGGGCTATAAGGGTACGTACCATTGTAAAAGACCTAGAGGTCAATCTTTACACAAAGACTTCTATACCTCCCAACACCATCACTGAAGCTCTGCCACAGTATGTGTATCATGATCAGGGCTTGGTAAAAACGCTTGTCCACCCATCCTGATGACTTGCCATTCATGCATTCCTTTTGCAAAAATCCACTATAATAAATTGTAAAAACTCAGCAGGTGAGTTTTTGCCATTTCAAGTATAAAACAAGATCACATGACAAAACAAGTGTTTCATCGACCATGATTGCCGTATGTGCTGCTGTGGTAACGCTCGAACATTTTGGGATACATGTAAGCATGAATAAAAAACGGCTCATAGAAAATGGGATTGATTTTTTACTGGTCAGTCTAAGAAAATTCAAGACAGTTGTCTTGACACATTTAAATCAAATGATAACGGTAACCAAAATGATCTTAAGCTTATACATGGATTCATTCACAAAAAGGTGACAATTGTAGTTAAAGAAAGGCTATTTTAGCAATGTTTACATTAGCATATTTGAACATTATATCTTGCCAAGTATGTAATATATGTAGATCGGATTAGATGTAACTCCTTGTGGTGTTGGAAACAGTCCAAGTTCACAGAATCTTTGAAATGACTGATTAAATGTAACAACTAAATTGTGATCTGAAACACTGATCAGCAGACTTTGATGTGTTGAATAATGTTTATATGTTTATGAATGAAATTAGATGAAATAATTCAACCAACAATTATGTTATGTAATAACAATAACACACAAATTTCAACTTGCACAAACATACATGTCAGTTTTCCGGTTATGTGAGTTGTTAATCCGAATGAGTATTTTTTACCCCTAGTGAGTGCTTTTGAAAGTTTTTGCCAGACCTAAGCATATAGAAGTTATCCACAACATTACCCGCCTGGAACCTCTCCCTAAGTTTCCTCGGTACCATATTCAAAAGTGCCTGTAAGTGAAGTTGGCACAGAATCTAGACTCCTTAGTAAGAATAAATAGCTCCCATTCCTAAAGGGACCCAATTGCTGTTAGCTTGGACCCAATCTAAACAGTTGCTGACATGGTGGGCAGTGAGGCGAACTCATATTGCTGGTTTACTTGACCTTAGACCAACACCATGTACACAGTTCCTAACTGTCTGAGTGGCTACCTAGTAGTTGTGGCATTCTTGAATCTGTAATGCCATACTGCATGAGCTAAAATCAGACTTGGCACTTTGTTTTAGCTCCTGAATGATCACCAGCAATATGTCTGGCAGGGTTTCTGTTCATTAGGAAATGATTCCACATTCTTGATACCTTAAAACCGCACTATGAACCACCTAAAGTCTGCAGCTACCTGATATTTGGGACATTGTAGCAATCTGATTCTGTCATGTAACTATTGTCTGGTTTGTCTATGCGCAATACAAAAAAACATGCAAAGAATATACATGTATATAAAATTGAATTTCCTCAGCATGAAACAATGTCTTACTTAGCATAGCTCCGTTTTTGAAGGAGGTGTACCTATGGAAAAGCATGATGTAGAATTGATATAAAATCTATGCTTTCTCCTTTTCTCTTCTTTTCTTTCTATCCTATCATCTCATCTTTTCCTCTTTTTGACAAAATGATTTAAACTTACATGTGTACGTCTACGAATTACTTATCTTCATATTTATAGTATAAATATGTGTCACATGCAATATATTAATTATTTGTAATTTCATTTATGGAGAAAAGTTCATAAGTAGCTAGAACTTGTCTCTGATCCATTTATCTAATACTAATAATTAAATATGTTTAAATCAAAATCATAGAAAAGCACGCATGTGGTGTAATGGTTGACTTATCACACCCGCACAGGACAGTTTGGAAGGCTAATATATTCATTTAAAATGAAACAAAAAGAAAATTTAATATCCTTTTAATGATAACACCCAAATTTCTTTTTCAAAATGTAAGTGACTCTTAGCAAAATGTGAATTGTACATTTGTATGTGTAATACTAAATGTTAAATGTGAGAAATGTATGTACAGTGTAAGAAAATAAAAAAATTGCCTGACTTTTTATGGAAATTTAATTGGATTAATTATAAACCGGTGGATTGAAGATCTTCTAGATATAGGATGTCAGATTGGGCTGTAATACATAATTATTTCACATAGTAAAGACATGCAAGACAGCGTAACTAACTTTGCTGTAATTAGATAATCAAATGTAATTATTTACAATTTAACTGAATCCCGTTTATCTGCATTTGTAAACACACATTTAAACAAATAAATCCTTAAATTAGAATATTTATTGTAACAATGTAAACATTAAATAATTAAAATGATTTTGAATAATCATAATATTATGTTAAAACTTTCTTTTTATTATCAGATGAAATTTATTTCAAGACCCTAATTAAGTGGTTTAAAACGACCGTAGTATGGCTCCTCCATTTAAAGGGTAGGATCTGATACATGTATAAACTTACAGAATTGTGATATGGTGTGAGTAAGTGTGAAAATATTGATATAAAGTATTAACCCCATTAAAACTCATTAAAGATGAAGAGTGTTTAATGGTATATACTTGTACCTGTTACTGTCATTTAAAGGTTTTCCTCTTTAGTATAGGACCTTACAGTGTTTATATGTGTAATGAATATTAAGAGATCTAGAGCTGTGTATATGTATATAAATGTTCAGAACTGATTGATGTGAAACATCCTACTGAATTGAATACTGGTGCAGATCACTTCCTTCCTAAGCAAGGAAGGAGTGTGTACAGCATATATGATGTGGTAACAAATCTGTTCAGATTTATACTGCAGGTTGTGTATACAGCAGAAGTGCATACAGTTGTTTACAATCAGTAGGAACTATGTAAAAATCTGCATGAAGAACTTACCAACAAGTGTCATACCTGGTTTTTGTACTTTTTAGTGGGAGTTTGTCTCCTAGGTTCCAGACCTTAGTTTGTGTGCGAGCTTGTGGTGCAGACATGCCTATCCAGCAGGTTCGAGTACTGACATTAAATGGAGGGGAGGATTTGTCCCGCACTCTCTTCAGGCTGGAAAAAGGTAAGAACTATCAGGAGAATTACATAGAAAATTGAACTGAGATATTGAACAGGTCTTTTTAACCTGGTTTCATAGATATAGGTAAGAATGAGCTAGTCTAAAATTTTATTGTGATGTTGTAGGGTGGGTGCTTAGGTTTGTGATGGGCCCATCTCTCCATGCCAGTCCTGTGCGTGTGTTCTGTAACCATCCACCTTCCAAAGATGTGGCCTATGATAGGGAGGTGTACTATGAATTAAAATGGCGGTCACCGTCGGGTTCACGGATAGACAGACACGATGTGTACACAGAAGTCAACATCCATATAGCTGGCTCCTTCAATTACTACTTCACAGTTGATGAGAGGTATGTTCTTGTAAACTATACATACAGTTTAAGGAATTTCTGATTGTGTTAATTCCAACACAGTTTGAATTTTTTGAAAAATTTAATTTGCTAGTGAATTTCTATTGAGTATTGACCTCATAAAGGATTGATGACAAACGTCTTTAAAAAATAATATTAATGTTCTTACCAATTTTGTTAAATTGTATCTGTTTTCTCAAAAAATAATTTCTTTTCCTAATGATCACTTCTCTAAAATGTGCATAGCTACCTTGTAGTGGTGTCCTTCTTACTGAGGCAATTTTATTTAACCATGTTCAAGTTCACCCATGATAAAGGGTTTAATGTTTGTATTTCCTGGCCTCAATCTTAATTTTGGCAAGTAGCACACAGCTGAATTATCAATGCATTTTTATACCTGTATATAAGGGACTTTTTCCTAATCCTTCACAAAAGGTCAAAGTCACATACAAAAGTCAAAGGTCATATGTTTCCATTACCTTTTCCCCTGCTCATTTTCTGTATAATTGTGTTCAATACATGTATTGAAGTTGAACAAACAAGTTAGCAATTAATTTGCATTACTGCGGGAGAGTAAGTCTGTATCGCTTTCACATTCTTCCCAAAAGGTCCAGTTCGCTGTTGAATGTCATTTATTAACTATCCTCATTATGATACAGTTAACCTTCTTTAGTGCAAACTGATCTACAATTATAAAACTCAGCACAATCTACAGCTTTAAAACTCAGCACAATCTACAGTTATAAAACTCAGCACAATCTACGGTTATAAAACTCAGCACAATCTACAGTTATAAAACTCAGCACAATCAGCAGTTATAAAACTCAGCACAATCAGCAGTTATAAAACTCGGCACAATCAGCAGTTATAAAACTCAGCACAATCTACAGTTATAAATCTCAGCACAACTACAGTTATAAAACTCAGCACAATCAGCAGTTATAAAACTCAGCACAATCTACAGTTATAAAACTCAGCACAATCAACAGTTATAAATCTCAGTAGAATCTACAGTTATAAAACTAGCACAATCATCAGTTATAAAACTCAGCACAAACTCAGCACAATTTACAATTACAAAACTCAGCACAACTACAGTTATGAAACTCAGCACAATTTACAGTTATAAAACTCAGCACAATCAGCAGTTATAAAACTCAGCACAGTTATCAGCACAGTTTATAAAACTCAGCACAACTACAGTTATGAAACTCAGCACAATCAACAGTTATAAATCTCAGTAGAATCTACAGTTATAAAACTAGCACAATCATCAGTTATGAAACTCAGCACAAGCTCAGCACAATTTACAATTACAAAACTCAGCACAACTACAGTTATGAAACTCAGCACAATTTACAGTTATAAAACTCAGCACAATCAGCAGTTATAAAACTCAGCACAATCTACAGTTATAAAACTCAGCACAGTTTACAATTACAAAACTCAGCACAACTACAGTTATGAAACTCAGCACAATTTACAGTTATAAAACTCAGCACAATCAGCAGTTATAAAACTCAGCACAATCAGCAGTTATAAAACTCAGCACAATCAGCAGTTATAAAACTCAGCACAATCTACAGTTATAAATCTCAGTATAATCTACAGTTATAAAACTCAGCACAATCAGCAGTTATAAAACTCAGCACAATCTACAGTTATAAAACTCAGCACAATCTACAGTTATAAAACTCAGCACAACTACAGTTATGAAACTCAGCACAATTTACAGTTATAAAACTCAGCACAATCAGCAGTTATAAAACTCAGCACAGTTTACAATTACAAAACTCAGCACAACTACAGTTATGAAACTCAGCACGATTTACAGTTATAAAACTCAGCACAATCAGCAGTTATAAAACTCAGCACAATCTACAGTTATAAAACTCAGCACAATCAGCAGTTATAAAACTCAGCACAATCTACAGTTATAAAACTCAGCACAGTATACAATTACAAAACTCAGCACAACTACAGTTATGAAACTCAGCACGATTTACAGTTATAAAACTCAGCACAATCAGCAGTTATAAAACTCAGCACAATCAGCAGTTATAAAACTCAGCACAATCAGCAGTTATAAAACTCAGCACAGTTTACAATTACAAAACTCAGCACAATCAGCAGTTATAAAACTCAGCACAATCTACAGTTATAAAACTCAGCACAGTATACAATTACAAAACTCAGCACAACTACAGTTATGAAACTCAGCACGATTTACAGTTATAAAACTCAGCACAATCAGCAGTTATAAAACTCAGCACAATCAGCAGTTATAAAACTCAGCACAATCTACAGCTTTAAAACTCAGCACAATCTACAGTTAGAAATCTCAGCACAATCAGCAGTTATAAAACTCAGCACAATCTACAGTTATAAAACTCAGCACAGATGTGTATTTCACTTGACTTGTTGATTGATGAGATTGAAACATGTTTTATAAAATGTAATGATGTTTAGCAGTTTTTCTTAATGTAGACATGACTATGTAGAAGATAATTGGTGTGAAAATATTCTGATATACAGCTCGTCTCCGGACAAGCCCAGTGGTAAAGGTTACTTCCTGGTGGATCCCACGCTATCCTTTGACGACGATGATGATATTGACAGTGAAGTTACACTTGACTGTGTACAGTGTCTGACTGTTCTATCCAAATGTCTTGGTTCTTTCGATGAGTGGGAGAGCAGACTCCGTGTTGCCAAGGAAACCGGTTATAACATGATACACTTCACTCCTATACAGGAATTAGGCCAGTCTAACTCTGCCTACTCAATTCGCAACCACCAGGTGTTTAGTCCTGTGTACAGCCCTCCAGGTGTCAAGTATACTTATAACGATGTGGAGAAACTTGTCACCAAAATGTGGAAGGAATGGAAGGTGTTTTCTCTGACTGATCTTGTCCTAAATCACTCAGCCAATGACTCAAAGTGGCTTCAGGAACACCCAGAATGTGCATATAATCTAGTAAACTCCCCTCATCTGAAGCCAGCTTACTTGGTAGACAGAATCCTGCGTCACTTCAGCAATGAAGTAGCAAAGGGCAAGTGGGAGGACAAAGGTGTTCCAGCCAAGATTTCAGAACATTACCACTTAGAGGTAAATTGCCAAAGTTTTTACTGATAAGACAAATCAAAATAGTATCCTGGTTATGGTTGTACCATGGCGCTCATATATGCTGTAATTGCAAAATTGTGGAGGGGAAAATGTAAAAATTGATTACTAACTGTAGAGACACTTTTTAACATGTCTGAGAGTGATGTTAGGTACTAGTATTGAAACGAGAAGTTACGGAACTTTTACTGTCAACAGCTAAAATAAAGATTTGTGGGGGAAATTTAACAGCATCATCAAGAAATTTTGTGTGTGGATTGCATTATTTTTTATGGTTCATTGTAAAAAATAAGGCTTTTGTATGTATTTGTTTCAGGCTGTTCGACATCTGATGATGACCGAAATTATTCCTCCCCATAAATTATACGAGTTCTACACAGTGGATGTGGAAGATTACCTAAAAAAGTTTAGGAAAGCTACAGAAGGTAAGTGTGACAATAAATAAAATTGTGTAAGAAAACTACAGATGGTTTCGTTGACAAAAAAAAAAAGGTTGAAGGAAGCTGTAAGAGATGTGCTTGATAATTACTTAAAGATGTTTAGGCAAGCTGTAGAAGGTTGGGTTGACCATTACCTAAAACAAGGTTGAAGGAAACTGTAAGAGATAAGTTTGATAATTACTTAAAGATGTTTAGGCAAGCTGTAGAAGGTTGGGTTGATCATTACCTCGAAAAAAAAGCAGGTAAACTACAGAAGGTAAGTTTGACAATTATCTATAAAAGTTTAGGAAACATATCTATAAATGGTAAATTTGACACTAGTTGACATTGTAAACAAATGCTGGGAACCAATATTCTGTTTCATGATATTTGCTGTATAACTTTTTTTACTTGCCATTGCCTCTGTATTTTTCAATACAAAATGAACGTTTGGGATCCTTCTATTTTTCTTATTTTGAAAAACAAATTTTCTTTATTTTGTCCGGTATGTAAATGGTTTACTTCATTTGCCTTTGTAGAAGGAAAGGAGGTGGTGACATTTAAGCCTAAGCTGGAGATTATTCAGGACCCTGAGTTTCGTCGACTTGGCTCTACAGTAGATATGAACACTGCCTTAAGACTTTACCACATTGGCAGGTAAGTAAAGCATAGTACATTTATAAACTACTCACAAGTGTTGTCCTGTATTTTGTAACATTAAACTCCATACCTTGGTAGTCTGTTGTTAAATAAACTTCATTATAGTACAGATCATTGTATCATAATGTAAGTTTTATGTTTGACATCTATTGTAGTTAAGTGTAACCCTAGTGTAATTGTGTGTATCAAAAGCCTGATTTCTTAAGATACATACATTATTACCAAGACAAATACATTATTACCTAGATACATACATTGTTACCAAGATACATATATTGTTACCAAGATACGTACATTGTTACCAAGATACATACATTATTACCAAGATACATACATTGTTACCTAGATACATACATTATTACCAAGACACATACATTATGACCAAGATACATACATTATTACCTAGATACATACATTATTATCAAGCTACATACATTGTTACCAAGATACATACATTATTACCAAGATACATACATTATGACCAAGATACATACATTATTACCAAGACACATACATTATTACCAAGATACATACATTATTACCAAGCTACATACATTGTTACCAAGATACATACATTATTACCAAGCTACATACATTATTACCAAGATACATACATTATGACCCAGATACATACATTATGACCCAGATGCATACATTATGACCAAGATGCATACATTATGACCCAGATGCATACATTTTGACCCAGATACATACATTATGACCCAGATGCATACATTATGACCAAGATGCATACATTATGACCCAGATGCATACATTATGACCCAGATACATACATTATGACCAAGATTTTATTGTATTGATCAGTAAGGTGCTTTATGGTGTAGATTATTGAAAACATTTTCAGGTATGATGATGTCAGTCCCAATGAGAGAATTAACGCTTGTTGTGCTGCACTGGAAAAGAAATTACATGAACTCAATAGTGGGAAGATTAAAGAAATGGAAGACCATATTCATGCTATTGTAAACAACTTCATAGCCAACACAAGATGGAGGTTTCTAACTGGGGATGGGCCAAAGCTGGGAACAGTTACAGTGAAGACGCCAATGATGCACAAGTAAGCTTCATATGGTAGTGTAATGGAATCAGACAAACAATATGTAAAGAAGATAGGGCAGGGAAGAGCACTTACTTATCCTAATATGGTATATAACCTCTTCAGTGCTCATGGCTCAATAAGGGCGCCCCTGCCTATTTTCAGGAAAATTTCTTGGCTGAGTGTCAAGTTGCGTTCAGAAATGATTAAAAAAAATTACTACCCCTACCTTTTTATTCAGAATATATAAATATATATACATAAAAATATCACATTTCTATTTACTCTCAGTTGAACTGGAAGCTGTCTGCTACATACATATGACCTATAGTCTGTTTCATAAAAATCCTGAATTTTAAGTCTTATAAAGGGTGCCCTTCAATTACATGCACCTTATTAGGTCATATATGGGAAGTGGAATTTTTAGTCAGCAGGTTATGTCTGTTGAGATTCTACTGCATATATCAATATATACTAACATGAATTCTAGGTTCTAGCTAAAAATTATAATAATGGTGACATATTACATAATTAAAAAGGGTGTCTTGATCATGTTTGTCAGCCAAATGCAAGATTGTCGTAAAAGGATTAAAAAGTGAGGTTTTTAATTTTTGTTTTAATACTATTTTTCAGAGGAAATCTCTTGTTTTTGTTGTATGTTACATTACTTTTTATCATAATTTTGACTATTTTTACAGTTATTTTATTCAGCCTGATTCCTACATAGCATCCCTGGATACAGAGAAGGCCAGGATAGATACAGATGCTGCCAAGCACATAATGGCTTCTAATGGCTGGGTTATAGGTGATGACCCACTGAGAAACTTTGCTGAGCCAGGTAACAAGACATTCCACATCAAGTTCTTTTGTTGAAGATTTTTACTTGCAGATTTTTCTAGAATCTTGATAAAAAGCCTTGTAAGGTATCAATTTTCATCTCCTTTGCAACTAGCCTGTCTTAACTTACCTGAAATATTTAAAAAAAAAAAAAAATAGAAAAATACAATTAGTTCAAAGCTTTTCAAAACAATTCAAGGTTGTACGAAATAAACACACCACACACTCAGGTAAATTATGTCTTTACACTCAGGTAAATTATGTCTTTAAATGAATTTAGTAATTGATACAGTATAGTATGCCAAATGAAGATTGAAAATAAAGGTATTTACTAGTATGGCAATGTGATGTTATAAGATGAGTGAAACAAACAACTTGCTGTATTCAGTTCTGATATTTCCTTTAGGGTTATAGCAATTAACTGGTTAAAACTAATGAAATTAAGCTCATTTTGACCTAAGGACCAGTGAACCTAGGCTGTGATGCAGTGTCTGTTGTCCCAAGGAGTTAGTGGATTGGGACCCAGTAGTGGAAATAGAGGTCAATTTTTAAATTCCTCCTGTTAAGACAAAAGAAATTTGGCTTAACAGGAGTTGGCCTCCTTGAGTTAGGTCTAGAGAGGGAAGGCTCTTTACTTGAAACTGGGGTGACACTCTATGTATTTCAGAGTAGTGTATTTGCTCTGAGAGGCGTATACTAAAATGGGAAATGTTCTATAATATCCAGTAAAGTAAAGCAAATTTTGGTTTTCTTGATTGCTAAAATCAGATGATTGATAAAGGCCCTACATTCTTACTTATAATTCTTTAAATGCTAAAACTGCTTCTGGTGTTTTGTAATACAGGTGACCATTGGGAGGTGCAGAAAGGTTAGATATGTCCTGTAAACATGTATCTCTATATTTATATCAACTTTCAGATGATATTCGTATGTAGTAATACAGACCTGAAGTCACTGAATACTCTATGTCTATCAGCAAGTGTAGGAGAATATGCTGAAAGTCACTTCAGATATATGTAATTTTATGTATTGTATAGATGCATGTTTTTATAATAATTCTAATTAGTTATACCATTCATTTGTGTAAGGTGATATGACAGAATTGCTGTCTTATTTGATGACTGCGTCTGTGTTGTATTTCTACATCTGAACTTATGTAATATAGCCTGTTATGACATCATAAAAATTATTATAAAATATCATCACAACAGACCTGTTTACCCTTTTGTTTGTTAGTGTTGTTTTACTTGGTCCTTTGTAGTTGTTGGCACAGGCAGCATGTGAGCTGCACAGTGGTGAGTCAGGAAACAGCAGCAGATGCCCTGTACTGCTGAGGATGGATGGGGAGAGGTGGGGGGAGTAGGTTAGGAATGGAGGAGGGAGGGGTTGTTTGGTTGGTGAATCCTAGAGGAGTTTTATTCCTCTTTAACAAGCAATAGAATAATCAGGTCTGCCTGACATGTTTAACAAGTAATAGAATAATCAGGTCTGCCTGACATGTTTAACAAGTAATAGAATAATCAGGTCTGCCTGACATGTTTAACAAGTAATAGAATAATCAGGTCTGCCTGACATGTTTAACAAGTAATAGAATAATCAGGTCTGCCTGACATGTTTAACAAGTAATAGAATAATCAGGTCTGCCTGACATGTTTAACAAGTAATAGAATAATCAGGTCTGCCTGACATGTTTAACAAGTAATAGAATAATCAGGTCTGCCTGACATGTTTAACAAGTAATAGAATAATCAGGTCTGCCTGACATGTTTAACAAGTAATAGAATAATCAGGTCTGCCTGACATGTTTAACAAGTAATAGAATAATCAGGTCTGCCTGACATGTTTAACAAGTAATAGAATAATCAGGTCTGCCTGACATGTTTAACAAGTAATAGAATAATCAGGTCTGCCTGACATGTAACAAGCATAGAATAATCAGGTCTGCCTGACATGTTTAACCAGCAATAGAATAATCAGGTCTGCCTGACATGTTTAACAAGTAATAGAATAATCAGGTCTGCCTGACATGTTTAACAAGCAATAGAATAATCAGGTCTGCCTGACATGTTTAACCAGCAATAGAATAATCAGGTCTGCCTGACATGTTTAACAAGTAATAGAATAATCAGGTCTGCCTGACATGTTTAACAAGCAATAGAATAATCAGGTCTGCCTGACATGTTTAACCAGCAATAGAATAATCAGGTCTACCTGACATGTTTAACAAGCAATAGAATAATCAGGTCTACCTGACATGTTTAACAAGCAATAGAATAATCAGGTCTGCCTGACATGTTTAACAAGTAATAGAATAATCAGGTCTGCCTGACATGTTTAACAAGTAATAGAATAATCAGGTCTGCCTGACATGTTTAACAAGTAATAGAATAATCAGGTCTGCCTGACATGTTTAACAAGTAATAGAATAATCAGGTCTGCCTGACATGTTTAACAAGTAATAGAATAATCAGGTCTGCCTGACATGTTTAACAAGTAATAGAATAATCAGGTCTGCCTGACATGTTTAACAAGTAATAGAATAATCAGGTCTCTGCCTGACATGTTTAACAAGTAATAGAATAATCAGGTCTGCCTGACATGTTTAACAAGTAATAGAATAATCAGGTCTGCCTGACATGTTTAACAAGTAATAGAATAGTCAGGTCTGCCTGACATGTTTAACCAGCAATAGAATAATCAGGTCTGCCTGACATGTTTAACAAGTAATAGAATAATCAGGTCTGCCTGACATGTTTAACAAGTAATAGAATAATCAGGTCTGCCTGACATGTTTAACAAGTAATAGAATAATCAGGTCTGCCTGACATGTTTAACAATCAATAGAATAATCAGGTCTGTCTGACATGCTTGCAGATTATATAATTGTATATCACAATGACGATACATCCTTGTGTATTTACAACACTGATGAGTACAATTCATATACATATATACATATACAATGTCATCCAGATGTTCATATCCTGTGACAAACAATTTGCCAGTATGATGATGTCGAGAATCTCTAGCCCATATCATTCCAGCTTCTAAACATACACTTTTGAGGATGTTGTAGGGGTGTTACGGTTAGGTATTTATAGAATTTCTTGGTAAGCCAAGCTGGTGTTTAAGATAGTTTGAGTCCGTGATAGGGCACATGTCAAAAATTGTCGTCCTATGTTGGTGATGTTTCTGTGTCTAAATACAGTGTAAGGGTAAACAAAACGAAATGCATGAACTACAGTATATGTTGATTCGTTGGTTTCAGATTTTATTTACTTGTTGTAATGGTATCGAGGTTGATGAAAATGGAGATATGAAACATGACTTATCACAAACTGATCCTCCATATGTTTATATAGCAAATACTTTTGAATAGGTTTCAAGTTACCTGTTCATAATATGAAGAAAGAAAAATGTGAATATAGTTTGCCAATCAACTTTCATAAAACCGAGGGCTACTTACCAATTTTTTTTTTTTTTTTTTATGATCCCGATACACAAAATTATTTAAAACATAAGGTTTTCTCATACTATAAGTTTGTTAAACATTGTAAAAAAACCTATGTTAGGTATATAATTTCATGCATTATTTTTTAGGGGGAACTGGCTCAGCTCAGCTTAGAAAACGATAAGAAACACTTTTGTTAAACATGAATTTTTCACTACTTGTTCATGTCCTTTAAGCTCTGGCAAGTCTGGTGACCTTGACATTTCTTGTTTATGTGCATGTTGTTACTGTCCTGCAGGCTCCAACATTTACCTGCGACGAGAACTGGTGGCCTGGGGAGACAGTGCTAAGCTGAGGTATGGAAAAAAGGAATCAGACTGCCCATACTTGTGGCAGTATATGAAGGAATATACAGAAAAGACTGTGAGGATATTCCATGGTGTCCGACTTGACAACTGCCACAGTACACCACTACATGTAGCTGAGGTATTCGCCATCACATCTATGGTCTAGCTTTTCATTCACGACTGTTTTGTTAGATAACTTTTCATATTCTATGGATAGTAAATACAGACTTAATCAAGCTGCTTAATTATAGATTTTTTTTAATTTAATTATTTTTTGCTTTGTTCAATGCTGAGTTCTAGCCCAAGTAACAAGCAATGTTTCGTGACTATTTTCCTCAGTATATGCTTGATGCTGCAAGGAAGATTCGGCCTGATTTGTATGTGGTAGCTGAACTGTTCACAGGCAATGAGGGTCTGGATAACTACTTCCTCAACAAACTAGGAATCAACTCTCTCATCAGAGGTATCCTTGATACAGGGACATTCTTTTTTTTAAATGAAGTAGATTTATGTTCATAAATGAAGTGTTTGTATAATGTTACAAGGTTACTAGGGACAAGCCTTTTCAGTTCTCCACAAGCTGCTTTCAATGAGCTGCTCTTTGATGTGTAACAATAATACACACAGGCTTTTATTTTTTGTTCTTTAGAAAATAAAGAAAAAATTGTTAAATTAGACTTTGAGATACAGAATTATTTTTAGATTCAATTAAAATTTTAAAAGTGTTCAGATACATAAGAGTATGTCTATTGATGAAAATGAGTTTAACTCCACATACATATGTGTTTTCCTGATGAAACAAGCTTAGGGGACATAAGTTGTACAGATGATGAACACAGGCAAATTTTGCTGGTTAAGCAATTCTATCTAAGTCACTATGGTAACAATATGCGCAAATAGTGCAGCAGGATTGTAAGTGGGAAAAATTTCCAGAAAGTATATTGTAACCATAGTAACAGTCAGTACAGTATGTACCTATCTGTTTGTAGGGGTCCAGAAATATGTATGTTTTTATCTGCTTGTAGAGGCCCTGAGTGCCAAAACTGGTCGTGAGTTGGGAGGATTGGTGTACAGGTATGGTGGCCAAGCTGTTGGCTCATTCATACAACCCAGAGTACGCCCTATGATACCCACAGTGGCACATGCTCTTTTTTTTGACCAAACGCATGACAACCAGGGTCCTGTTCAGGTTAGTTATGACACACGGAATCAAGTAGCATTACTAAAAATGTTTCTCTTTGATTACATTCTCTGAAAACTTAGGTTAAATTTCAGCTAGGCAAATTTTCTACTTTCAAAACAAATATTTAGAAGACTACAGGTATTATCATCAATTTTGTATACTTTGATGTCATCTTTCTGTTCACTGTGATGTTTATTCAAGGGAATCCTTCCTTTCATAGAAGAAGTCTTTGTTATATTTCATTTTAGACTTTAGCACTTTTATAAAGATGGTAAATTCAACATGACACAAAAATAAAGTTAGAATTTGTTTTTAGTTTTAAAACCTGCCTTAAAGCATAGAATACTGTAAAGTATTTTTTTTCTCAAAACTATTGCTTTTTGTCAACTTTCTCCCAAAATTATTGCTTTGTATCGACTTATTCTCAAAACTATTGCTTTATGTCAACTTAATCATTTATTCTAATTTTCCAATATGTTTGTGTGTTCTAAAATGTACTTAAATCTTCTTTTATCTAACATGTAACACATGTGGAATATCTAATTCTGTATGTTCATGAAAGGCCAACTTTAAGATTACACCTCATATCTTAAAATGTGGATATAATTTACAACTGATGAGAGGAAACTCCTACAGTTTGTTTGAATTATTATTATTTTTCCTTGCTTTCACAGCTGAGATCAGCGTATGATCTTTTTCCAAACGCAGCTCTTGTAGCTATTTCCTGCTGTGCGTCAGGAAGTAACCGTGGATATGACCAGATCATTCCTCATCACGTGAGTAACATTGATGCGACTGTTATCATTGTCATAAGGACATTATCCCTTTGGTAAGGAAGCATTACACAAAACAAAAAATGACACATGTAATTATCACCGCCACCAGCCTGAAGTGTTGTAACAACTTAAAGTACTTGAACAGTGGAGTGAATAAATTATAGCTAAATATCCAATCAAAATACTGATAGAATTAGATACTGGTACAAAGTGCATTGTGCTGTAAAATGGTGTAATGTTAATATCAGGACTCATTATTGAAATAATGTTTTAATTCTGTATACCAGATTCATGTGGTTAAGGAAAAGAGATTGTATACATCTTGGAGTGACAGTCCAACACCTGATCGTGCCCACATCAATCAGATGTCTGGCATCACCGCAGGGAAGACCGTGCTCAACAAACTACATGGGGAGCTGGGCAGGAGAGGCTTCTCTGAGGCAAGTGTGATCCTGTAAACAATAAAACATGTTGTTTATAGAGAAGAAAAGGACCAAAGATAAAACAGAATTCACTGCTTCTGTAAGAAAAATTGGGGGAAAATGGTGTATTGAAAATGTGACCTGACTCTGTGAATAATTAACAATAGACCTCCATCATCTGAATAAACAAATTATCCCAGAAAAAGGTACGTTGCACTATAGGAAAAAAAAATTAATTCAAATTGAACTTGAGTTTATGTATAAAAGTGAATGAACTGTATGTTTTTAGGTTTTTGTAGACCATGTGAGAGACGATGTGATATCTATCACCAGACACAACCCCCATACACATGACTCTGTAGTGCTGATAGCCAGGACTGCCTTTCATCATCCAAATCATCCCCACGACACTGGTTTTATTCCACCTGTTACCATTCAGGGTATATTGATCATCATTTTAATACAAGTTCTTATAATACAACCAGTAGCAGATTTGAGTGTGATGTTTTTCGATGACTCCGTGGTCACCTTCATCAGAAAAATATCAACTTCAATACAGTGTTAATGTCTTGTGTACTTTTTACTATGATCCGTTTACCATCTCCTCACACTTTTTTTGCCCTTAGTGTACAATGGATTATAATACAGGGAGAAAAAAAGCTGGACGATTCCCTACTATCTTCTACACTATGTATGTCAATGCTAGTACAGTTCACACTGGACATTTGTCTGATGAAGATGACTGTGCATACCTAAAAACATCACACTTAAAAGACATCACACTATGTATGTAAAACTTCACACTGGACATTTGTCTGATAAAGATGACTGTGCATACCTCAAAACATCACACTTAAAACTTCTTCTGGTTGTGTTATAAGAACTTCTATTCCATTGACATGACCAACCCGAAGAAAATGTTTCAAGAACTTTTATTCTATTTGCACTACCAATCTGGAGAAAATGTTCTGAAATATTGTTTACAAATCATATGTATGTTTGAAGGGTCAACTTTTGAAATATCAGATTCTTCCAGTTAACAGCTTTCTTTCTCTTTTTAAGATTTGTAAAATAATTTTCCTAAATTTAGACAAGTGTTAAATATTGTTTAGGATAAAATGGCCTTCAGTATAACTTAGTGCTAGGTATGTAGATACCTGTAGAGTTTCATTGTGAAAGGTCTGTGATATTAATACCAGAAATAATTTGAATTTTAAATCTAAAAATAACATTTTTGTGCATCATTAAAATTATCATGATTTTCAAGGGCTATTCCTTAATGTTGGGATCTGTTGATAGGCATTGTCACCCGGATCTTGTTCGAGGGGCGTCCTGTCCACACAGGTGATTCACAATATAACAAGGATGAGGATTACATCAATGGACTGCCTGACTACATCTTAGAGCTGCAGAAAGACATCGACGTAGGGGAAAGTCGTATGGCCAGGGTAGTGGTCTCAAATGACACGCCTACCTCTGAGGTTCATCTTCACATGTTTACACCTGGAAGTGTCATAGCATTCAGGTAGGCTAAAGTTTTTTACAATACTTTTTTTATGTGAAATCTGGAATCCTGAGTTTGTGATGCAACTCTCATGTAGAACAAGCACTGATATGCATTTATTCTGATTCTTTTACTGCAGATGTGAATTTCCTACACAACCCAAAAATGCTATTCTAGAGATACGACGTGGAATTGGTCAGTTTGGTTACCTCATGAGATCCTATAGTGGACGCACTATGTTTGATGAGACGTGGGATAAGTCCAACTTTCAGGCAATTGTTGGACAGCTGACCTTGTCTGATCTAAACAGAATTCTATATCGATGTGACCCTGAGGAGAGGGATGATGGGAAGGGCTTTGGGGCCTATGATATCCCTCAATATGGACCTATGGTGTATTGTGGTCTCAGAGGTAAATGTTTATATTGCTTTAGATTAAATAATTAAAAAAAGAACATATTATGTTCTCTTATTTCCAGTCAACAGACTATTGCATGTTGGAAAATATTTCTGTAGTTTAGGTCACCCTGGATTGTGTTTACTCTTTCATCCATTCATTTTAGGTCTTCTCAAATTTTATTACATTTTAGCAGTGAAATATAGGGATATCTCAAACTGATAAAAGTGATAACTTTCACTAGAGAAAAATATCACTTTTTTTTTATATTTTTCACTAGTGAAAAATATCACTTTGAGCATTGACCACTCAGAGAGCCCGATACAAATCTACTCCAATTCCAGGGGCCAAATCAGCAGCCATTCCCATCTGTCGGGGGTTTGTTCACTGAGAACACAACCTTCAACTCCACGGTAAATTTCCATTTTCATGGCAGTCAGCAGACGATGCAAGCCAGTAACTCTATGTTATCAGTGGTCAAACCCATCCCCGTTCTGAGTGTCTTGAGTGTCGACCAAGGCATTTTAAAAGAATCCGTGTCATTGATAGTGACAGCGGCTAGGATGGCGCCATACTTTTTCATGCTCGAAAGAATTTAGCAAACATTTTATTGTGTATAAGTGACATCAATAAATTACAAAATCCATGTCCAAACACAAACAAACATTCATTATGATTTATTTACGAGTCTGTATATTTTTACCGATTTTTCATAAAATGGACTATTTTTTGCCGGGCACAATATCGTTGTATAATGAGTGAGTAGTGTCTGGAAAAAGCATGGTCAACTTACCCATTTTATAGTTATCGTAAGTTTGCCATTGTTTTGGTTTATTGTTGCAATGAAAATGTAATAAACAGAATATTTAATAGTGTCTTTAGTAAAATAACAAAGATACCAAAATATAAGCCACACTAGTGAAATAGATTTGTTATTACTATTACACTAGAGGCACACTTTTTTGGGGTCAGATTAAATAAATGCCCCGATTTTCTATAGTAATTGCGCTTTGTTCTTTTTAGCTTTTTGATCTTGTCTGTAGATCTTCTCTCACAGTTACAAACTGATTTTTTGTCAAACTTTGTTGACTTCAATATACTGGCACAAAATTGTGCTTTCTTAGTGAGGTTTTGATAAGACAATTACTGTTTTATTTTCATGTTGGTATACAATATGAAACAATAATGTATTGTTGTTCAACCCAGCACTGCTCTGTTACAAACAATGTTTGGGTTGTAATTGTAGTATTATCTATTTGTCTAAAATTTTGGGAGTACAAAAGTGAAAAGCATTTCTAGAGAGTTTATCCAAGACCAGACAAGCCATGACCAATACATTTCTGAAATGTCCTGTGACAGAACCCTTACTAATCATGCTGTTTAACATTAAAAAACAGAGATTTTTGTATCAGTGCATTTTGTCTTTATTCAATTTCAAATATGATTTCAGGTTTAATGGCAGTACTGTCTTCCATACGCTCCCAGAATGATTTGGGTCATCCTTTGTGCAACAACCTACGTAATGGGGACTGGCTCCCTAGCTACGTGGCCTCTAGACTCCTTCTTCACAAAAGTACATATGATGTAGGTATTTTGTCCCCACCATTAGTCAGCCAGTCTTGTAGTCATTGTTTAGTTACTAGGAATGTGAATTGAATTTTTTTACTCACCAAAGGAAGAGCATATAGTCACACTTTGCCAGTCTGTTTGTTCGTCTTTCTGTCTGTCCGTCTGTCTGTTTGTCTGTCCATCATGATTTTGTCCAGAGCATATCACAAACACTATAAGAGGTATCAACATGAAACTTCATAGGTAGATAGATCTCATTAAGGAGAAAAGCAATGTTCAAGAACCATAACTCTTGTTACATAATTATCCCTTTTGGAACTAGGGTTTATTCCGGGAGCATCCATAGGTTCTACCGATTCTCTTTGTTATAATATTTGTAATTGTTAATCTGTGTAATGATGAAGTATGGATAGTACACATCAACTTAATCAGGAAAGACAAGGAAATAAATCAGCATTCAATTTTATCATTTTTTTAACTCTGATGAAACTTTTATCAATCAACACATATTTCTTTCTTTTTAGTTATATTTTGGTGTGATCATGCTGACTTTATTCCATATTTTTATTCATTTGAGTGCGAGAATGTATGTGACTTTGACATAGGATATATGTTATTCTGGAGTGAAGCCCTCCTGATCTCTTTAATTCACTGATTAGTGCTGTATGCTGTTCTGTGACTATAAAATGGTATTGAATTGGAAGTTTTGAGGTATACTTTTCATAAAAAAAGCATTGTCTTTAGATCTTAATCATTCAGTTTATAAGTCCTGATTAACTTTAGATCTTAATCATTCAGTTTATAAGTCCTGATTAACTTTAGATCTTAATCATTCAGTGTATAAGTCCTGATTAAGCTAAGATGATTGAACTGTGTTGCATTGCAGCTTGGTAACTGGTTCATGGGAATATTCCATCATCTCAGTGAGATACCCCGTTTTCTCATCCCATGTTATTTTGATGCAGTGATCACTGGAGCATATGTTGTTTTGCGGGACCTCACTGTCAAAATCATGTCTGAGTAAGTTATTATAATGTTTCTTCACTGACAACACATTATTGTTAAATATCTATTTTTGTTGTCTATTTTTCAAAGAATTAAATGTGGTTCAACTTCAGAAATTAAGAAAATAAGAGAAAAGATACTTATGCTTGCTGCCTCTGTTAAGTTATCAGTGTGTGATTGGTTTGTTATTGGTTATATTCCATACAGCCTAATTTGTAAATATTACAAATCCATGTTAATAAATAGCATATTTTAACTACAATAGTGTACACTGGCTTATTTTGCATTCAAGGAAAAGTTATCATATTTTTGTTGTAGTTTTGTTAAGGATGGGTCTACATTTGTTCAAGCACTGGCCTTAGGGTCAGTTCAGTTCTGTGGATTTGTCTTGACAGCCAAGTTGCCTCCATTGTCACCAAATCTGGCACAGCCAACGCCGCCTAACTACACAGACGAAAACAGTGGCAAAATCATCCAAACAACTCTGTCACTTGCTGCAGGTAAATTTCTCACAGTGACCTCCAACATTACCAGACTGATGTCCAGTTTGATATAATGTAATTATATTAAATTTAATTAATTGATTCCAAGTACGGTTCACAGTGGTTAGACATTTTGTTGTTTATCAAAAGTAGGTTACTGTGACATACATTTCTTTCTTTGACCTACATCTAAGAAAAGAAATGTTTGGGGTCTATCTCCTACACCACTAGTCGTTAGAACTTCACACTGAAGGTATGGAATCACTTAAATGAGACAGTGTGTCAGTGGGGAATGTAATTTGCCTCATCGTTTTGCTAGTTTTTTCCTAGTACGTGTATTGTTACAAGACTATCTGTTAAGATTATTGAAAGGTGTTATTAATTGAAGGTTTCAGATTTCTGATGTTGTTTGCAGGTTTTTCCCACTTTGCCAGTGGTTACATGAGGAACTGGGGAAGAGACACGTTCATTGCTTTACGAGGCCTCTTACTGCTGACTGGTAGATTCTCCGAAGCAAGGTCATTTTTACTTTGGCATTATATAGACAAGTTTGCCTTAGAGAACACTTGTAATAAGTTCAGTTCTGTCTATAATCAATTAAAGATCTAAAATATATGTTGTCTTATAAAGATGTTTACATTCTTGAGTTTATACAGGTTTATAATCAATGTAGTTTTTATGAAGGTTAAAAAATTACTATTATTGGTCCATACACCCTTATAACTATGGTTGGTCTATACACCCAAATAAGTGTTGTTGGCCCATACACTCAAACTACTATTGTGGGTCCATACACCAGTATTACTATGGTTGGTCCATACACTCATATTACTATGGTTGGTCTATACACCCTTATAACTATGGTTGGTCTATACACCCAAATTAGTGTTGTCAGTCCATACACTCAAACTACTATTGTTGGTCCATACACCCTTATAACTATGGTTGGTCTATACACCCTTATAACTATGGTTGGTCTATACACCCTTACAACTATGGTTGGTCCATACACCCTTATAACTATGGTTGGTCTATACACCCTTACAACTATGGTTGGTTTATACACCCTTATAACTATGATTGGTCTATACACCCAAATTAGTGTTGTCAGTCCATACACTCAAACTACTATTGTTGGTCCATACACCCTTATAACTATGGTTGGTCTATACACCCTTACAACTATGGTTGGTCTATACACCCTTTTAACTATGATTGGTCTATACACCCAAATTAGTGTTGTCAGTCCATACACTCAAACTACTATTGTTGGTCCATACACCCATATTACTATTGTTGGTCTGTGCACCTCTATTTAACAAAAACCTGGCTAGATACACCTCTTTTCAGGTCATTGTGTAGTAATTCATAGTAATTGAACATCTCCATAAAGATCATAGTCTCTCTGCTACCTTGTGTACCTGTAAACAATATATTTGTATAGGTACATCATCCTGTCCTTTGGTGGCTGTTTACGTCATGGCCTCATCCCAAACCTGCTGAATGAGGGAAGTGGTGCACGCTATAACTGCAGAGATGCTGTGTGGTGGTGGCTACAATCCATCCAGGACTACTGCAATATAGTTAAGGGAGGTCATGCCATTCTTCAAGACAAGGTGTCAAGGTTGTACCCTACTGATGACTCTCCCTGTCAACAGGCAGGAGCTTATGTAAGTCATTCATCCAAGTTTTAATTTTGTAAACTTTTTAGATATTCATAGATTGTCTCATATGTAGTTTTGCCTTAGTCTGTAGTTATGCATATTCCATTTTGGGACTGACTGGAAAAACAAAATGGCCGACAAGTGGCCATCTTGGATTTTGACATCAGAGATCGTTATCAGTGTTGGATGGATCTTTCTCAGTTTCATATGTAGGTCTCCTTTGGTTATTAGTTGTGCCCTTTTGATTTTGGGACTGATGAAAAACACAAAATCACTGAGGGTCAGCCATCTTGGATTTGGTAGTTAAAGATTATTGTCACTGTTTTTTGAGAGGAATAGGATTGGGGGCATTATATCGAATGTCTAAATTACATATTCTAGTTTTTGCAAAAGTTTTAATGCGTTTAGTTGGAGAATCTTTAGAGTTATCTGCCTTAATTTTACTTGAAGTGTCCTTTATTTTATTATTTAGAAGCTTTTATTTTCATGAACCATTCGAAAAATCCTTTTAGCTATTAAGTATCAATTACTCGTTAAAATTTATTAAAGAGTTTTTTGTGATTTTAACAGTTGAAGTGTTTTTGTGCAGTGTCTCTAGGAAGGATTTCAATGAAAGTTTCATCATATATATCTAACTCAAACTGTTCAATCTGAGCTTGAGTTATATCCTGTTTACATATCAGTCCTATGAAGTAAAACCTGCAGAAATATTTGTTATTGATGTTTTATGATACATGTGCTACATCGGTTCACCATCAAAATCAAATGGTCCTATCAGTGATAGAGATTGTGCTCATCTCTGAATGTAAAAAAGCATGCGTTTTGGTACAAAGTACAAAAGACACCACTTAAATTTTTACACTAGCATTCCTTTTATTAGAATGAATTTGCCCAAAACTTCAAAAACTATACACCCTACAGTAGTCCCTGTTTTTACTACTACACAGGACCAAAGCTTATGTGATGTGATTCAGGAAGCTCTCCAACGACATGCAGAGGGCCTCAAATACCGTGAGAGGGATGCAGGCAAAAGCATCGACGATAACATGTCTGATGAAGGTTAATTATTTATGAGACATTTTTATTTAAATTTTTACTTCAAGAACGGTCCACTTGAGGTAAAAGTTGCAATTATCTTACCATGTATGAAACTGATGATAAGTTTTGCTTATTTCAACAAGGAGTATAAGAGACCAAATAATCTGAGGTCTTTATCCTTTGTGTTTAGTTGACTTACCAGTCGGTAAGTGTTTTTGATTTTACTGTATCTGCCTTCAATCTTGATATACCAATGAAATTGAATGCCATTTGTATTTTGAACATCTAGGTTTCAACAATGAAATTGGAGTGAGGTGGGATGAAGGTTTTGTGTTTGGGGGCAATGAGTGGAATTGTGGTACATGGATGGATAAAATGGGAGGATCTGACAAGGCAGGCAACCGTGGCAAACCTGCCACACCTAGGTATGCCTTTTTCCCTAGTTAACATACACAAGGTAGGCAACCGTGGCAAACCTGCCACACCTAGGTATGCCTTTTTCCCTAGTTAACATACACAAGGTAGGCAACCGTGGCAAACCTGCCACACCTAGGTATGCCTTTTTCCCTAGTTCACATACACAAGGCAGGCAAACAGTGGCAAGCCCCTAAACCCTACGTATGTCTCCTCCTAGTTAACAAACACAAGACAGGCAAACGTGGCCACACATAAATCATGATATGCACAATTCATTTCACTGTATTATGATAAGCTTGCCACACCTAGTTTCGCCTCCTCCCCTTTGTAATCACACAACACTTTTTGATGTGAAGCTGAAATACAACGCATAAATGTAAATAATGGTTTTCATTAGGGTTATTTCTCCTGTTATGTTGAGGTTTAATTATGTTTAATATAGAAATAGTGTGTCTGTGTTAATGGCCATCAACCATTGTTAGTAGTTTGTAGAAAGGGGTACTATAGAGATGAGTCTGTGCATAGTGTACTGTTTTGTCTTGTAGGAATGGGTCAGCTGTAGAGATGGTGGGTCTGTGTAAGTCGACTGTGCGTTGGCTGGAGGAAATGAATTCAAAAGATCTTTACCCATACAACTCTGTCAGTGCAACTATAAATGGTAAGTTTACTTTCTTTCAGAATTCCTTATGATCTAATTTATAACAAGTGTTTGTTGGGTCAAGTTATGCATGTCAAACTGTATTCAACATGATCAGGATCACAGAATGAAGTTGAAATTCTTTGAACGTTTGTTATCCAAATTTCTCTATAGGTTTGCAGTTAAGGGATATTTAAAACAATTTAGAGATTGGTTCCCATTGCCCCTTAATAGAGGATGTTCAAAGAACAGGACGGTTTTCAAGGTGCCAAAGTCAGAGACCTCTGTCAAGGTACAGAGCAGTCTTTCTTGAAGTTCATTTCCTTTGGTCCATTGTTTTGCATGTTAAATGTTAGAATGAAGGGGACTTTATTATCATCAAAAGCTGGAAAAAAGATTGACCCGATAAGCATTTTGTGTTGGACTATTCTGGTTTGTAATCACAATTGTCGAAACTATTTACTGTTATGTAATGGATTTCTGGAATGAATGAAAGTCTTCGGACAGAAAATTGTTTTTTTTTAGGTGAGGTAAAGCAGGTGACATTCCAGGAGTGGAACAGTTTAATACAGGCCAATTTTGAGAAATATTTCTGGATTAACTCCACTCCCATCCCTGAGAATGAGCCTCATCCTGAGCTGATCAACAGGAGAGGGATGTATAAAGACACTTACCTTGCCAAGCCATTCTGGACAGACTTTCAGCTCCGACCCAACTTTCCAGTGGCCATGGTTGTTGTAAGTACAGAGAACAAAGGGTTAGATATGTCGGTTTCTATTGTTGTCAGATTTGACGTTCAAGTCCTGGTTCATTTCACTGTTTCTGTAATTTGATCCGTATACAGGATTTCAAATCAGAAAAAATTCCTTGTAAACTTGATGCTAATTTACATATCAAAATGTGCCATGTGATGCACGAAAACACGCAGAATCTCTATGGAAACTTCTTGTAAAGTACAGATATGAAAAGCATATATGACATGGTTTATGTGATGTACTTATTTATTCCTAGCAATATGTATATCAAATGTGTCCTTAAACTTACTTGAAATTGGTTTAATGTTCGGTCATGGAAAAAACCCCAGTATATGTCAGAGTGTTTGATTGCCATTTTCGCTTTGATGGGCGGAGCATTGAGAATAGAACACAAGGCATTCGAGTAAACAATTCACATGATCTACAACAATTTTTCATGCTGGAAATATCCAATGTGGTCATCCAGGTCTTTTACAATAAAACTAAAAGGCAATGAAATGGAATTTTCATTATAAACATTTCCTTCAGATTGGTTATAGATATGTTGATAGTGTGTTGATATCACAACCAGTTACAAAATTTGTGTATCATCATACAAAGCATACTGACTTTCTAAAGGTATCACAAATAGAAGAATAAAGAAAGGGACATAATTAAGTACCAGGCCCCACTTGTATAAAACATCTCAACTTGAGATTTCCTCAAGTCGAGATTTTCCTCAGCTGATATCTCCTCAAAAACGGCTTGTATAAAATTTTCTCAAGGAATAGGAGGAAGGCATCGGCTAGGATGTCCTGAAATTCCTTGAGGAATTTTCATACAAGATATTTTCAAGGAGATATTAGCTGAGGAAAATCTCGACTTGAGGAAATCTCAAGTTGAGATGTTTTATACAAGTGGGGCCTGGTGTATAATAATTTATGTGTAACAGGCCCCAGAACTGTTTACTCCGGAAAATGCTTGGACAGCCCTGCTGGAGGCTGATGATGTACTGGTTGGCCCGCTTGGTATGAAGACATTGGACCCTAGGTAAAATGCAATATATATTCCTTCATCTTTTTCATTGTTTTTAAAGTAAATGCTTAGACTGTTCTTCTGAAGTAATGTAAACATCCAGTGTAGTAGTCTTACCTACTTGTTTGCGACTTTTTCAGTGACTGGAGCTATGTTGGTGACTATGACAACTCCAATGATTCCTCTGATCCTAAGGTGGCAAATGGCTTTAACTACCATCAGGGGCCAGTATGTACACTTATTGTAATTAATAATAAAAATATGTCATACCAACTGGTCATACTGTTTGAATAAAAACACTCCAAAGTAACATATACTTGAACAAATATATTTGTTATACACTAAATTACATTGAGCTACTTCAGTTGTTAGTATTAGAGTTCTTATTTCATGGTTCCATGGTCAAATTCTAGGTCACCGTTTCTAATTACAGAAAATCTTCAACCATTTTACCATAGTTACTTTATTCCTTAAAGGATTTTGATAAAACTTACATAAAAAGTTAAATAATATTAAGAGATTCCCTCAAATGACTTTCAATGTTACTGTTACTTTTTGTGAAAAATTGTCGAACAATGATAGTTATGAACGTGGGAGTGGAAGCGTTCATGTCTTAAAAGACATTTTCTAATATTTGCAGGTTGCTGTATTATTTGTGGTCCGATGTTAACAATAAATATTTTGACAATATATGAATAGTAAATGTTTCTTGTTTGAAGACGACAGAAGCATTTAATTAATTTCTTTTAATCAGGAATGGGTGTGGCCACTTGGCTACTACCTACGTGCCAGACTGCATTTTGCCCGTATTCTGAACAAAAGAATACCAGGACTGCTGAAAACAACAGTCAGCTATGTCAAGTCCAAACTGACAACTCATTACCAGGAAGTGATGTCCTCTCCTTGGCAGTCATTACCAGAACTCACCAACTCCAATGGCAAGGTAAGGTCATAGGTCACATAAACCAGAGGTCACCAACTCCAATAGCAAGGTAAGGTCATAGGTCACACAAACCAGAGGTCACCAACTCCAATAGCAAGGTAAGGTCATAGGTCACATATATCAGACCTCACCAATTCAAAGGGCAAGGTAAGGTCATAGGTCACATATATCAGAGGTATCCAACTTTACCCCTAATGTGAACTCATCAACTTTAGTGGCAAGGCGAGGTCATAGGTCACAGATAATACACAAACATCACATGAACAACAAAATCTCTACATATATGAATAAACAACTAACAATTTGTTTGTATTTATAAGAAAACAAAAGTCATATTGGTATAGGTACCAACAAAATATGTGTGTTGTATGGTATAGAAACTTGTGACTAAAGTTTACTGAAAAAACTGGTTTTTGTTGTAGTACTGTCGGGACAGTTGTCGAGCCCAGGCATGGAGTGTAGGATGTATACTGGAAGTCCTGTATGACCTCGAACAGCTCGAGGACAGTGATGAGATTGCTGATACAACAAAAATTGTTGCCCAAGATATGAGGACAATCACAGTCTAGTGAGTGAGAAGAAATCCAACCCCTGAATCAGGACAATTACAGTCACCCTCAAGTGACATCAAGGCATAATCATGGTTACAATTTTATGACTGGGCTTGCATCCCAGCATTCAATCAGTTGATCGATATACAGGCCCTGCATCAGGAAATTGATAACTGCAGTCAAACATTTGTGAAATATCAAATGAAATTTTTATTTTCTGAATCAGAGTTACTGTAAATGTACAGTGTATTATTTTAGGGCCTTTTTTTAATACTGAAAGAATTAATGTGATAAAATATTAGCGGTCAGGTGGTGCAGTGATAATGCTCTCACCTTTCACTAAGGTATCCGGGGTTCAGTTCCCGGAACAGACGTGGAAAGATATTTTATCATCTACCAGACCACATTGGTTTTACTCCAATTTCCTCCCATAGTTTAAGACCCCTTGTGCACTTCCATCCGTGCCAACAAGAGTGAATAGTATAAATTGTAATAACCTGATTCGCAATTGTTTTTATTTTTTGAAATATGGAATGTGCTAATTGCTGTTTTTGTGTATTGTTTGTATACCAGTATCAATTTCGTGGATATACAAATTCATCTTTGTGCTAATTTGCCAAAAAGTGATTATAATCAGAAATATGATTGCAGTTAAAGTGTATTTACAATTATTATTTTTTTATAGTATTAATCATTAAGCGATGAAAGGTCGTGTAATGAAGCATAATGGACGGTGGTCACACAGCTTATCAAGCTGAGGTGGTCAAGATTTACATTAGAGATCAAAACATGATGGCCTACATCTTGTTGAAGTCCCTCAATGTACAGGTTATGAATTCATATTTTTATCAAAGAACTGAGCTTTTAGTTTTTGGGGCTTTTGTAACCTTAGGTTATCACTAAATTGTGTCTGGAGATGTCTAGTTAGTGTAGATAGTGTCTGGAGATGTCTAGTTAGTGTAGATAGTGTCTGGAGATGTCACTAGTGTAGATAGTGTCTGGAGTTGTCACTAGTTAGTGTAGTTAATGTCTGGAGATGTCACTAGTTAGTGTAGATAGCGTCTGGAGATGTCACTAGTTAGTGTAGTTAATGTCTGGAGATGTCTCTAGTTAGTGTAGTTAGTGTCTGGAGATGTCACTAATTAGTGAAGTTAGTGTCTGGAGATGTCACTAGTTAATACAGTCTGTGGATGTCTCTTGGTTGTACGGTTAAGTATTTGGGAAAAGTTCTAACATGCTGATATTGTGGTCTCACTTTTCCCCTGACCAGCACAAGCTGTTAACCACTCACTTAAATGGCACTAAATCAAATCACTGTGCACCCATGTTGTGGGCAAACACGACTGTGCTGGTGAGAAACCTCTTTGCTCTCATCATAAGTCACTAATGCAATAGAGTTGTGTTTTGGGGATCTCATTGTTACAAAATACTGTTACCTTGTATATACATATGTTCCTATATGTATGTCAGCAATATATAATGTATATATTAAATATAATGATATTAGAATTAAATGTTATAGTAATAAAATGTAACTAGAAATCAATTAACAGTTCACTAATGTATCAATGTAGGGAGATCTCTGTTTCTTCATAAGGCTTGTGTTGATAGTCTTTTGACAAATAAAATGTATGATGATAATACTTACAAGATATTACCCCATAGAATTTATTTTTCTGTTAGAATTATACACATCACATAACAATGATATGTTTAAGTTGGGTAAATTTATTCTCTAGTGCTGGCTTACATGTACTTAACATCGTTTATTTGTTATTCTGCTTGTTACTGTATATTTCTTTTCTGCCGGTGCTATTTATATAGTCTGTGGTCTGTATGCATATTCGTCATTCCTAAATCCAGCTTATAGTAATATTTCTGTGATATCTAGCTATAAATGAGCCTGTGTTGTCCGTACTGGGATACCCAGGGTAAGACTGAAGTTAGAAAGTTGTCATGTTTAATTATGTGGGTGTCATGCGAGCTTCATCATCTTTCAACATTTATCCTTTGACCTATTTTTGTGTTTTCCTGTAAAAATGATTTTTTACCTAAGAATGTAACCCACCACTCTGTTCAAGTGTTTACCTGAATACAGTGAAATCCAAATAATTCACAGTTCTTGTGTTTCTCTATTTTCTTTTCATCACCAGTAATGTTACTTGAAGTAAACCCATATAATTTTGCCTCTGCTTACTTGCAATTTTAAACTGTTTCGAAGCGAAATTGACTCGTCCAATTATTCCTAGCCAATTTAACATCCTGTTGCCTGTTACAACATTGTCCAGCTGCTTTAAAAGGTAAACTTCTTAAGTGTTGTTACCTCAGAATCTCTGGTTCAATCAAAAATATGGCTTTGTCTCTTAGGTCTTGCAGATATACTTGTTTGGGTTTGAAAATGCTATCACTTCATATGCCTTTGAACTCGGACACCAGCAGGTGTTCAATAATAAACACATTCTAGGCACAACTATTGAAATTTTTAGTATTATCATTGTCTTAACACTGCAGTTAATTTCAATTACTGATGATAATGTAAATTTGTCACCTCAATCCAGAAGTTTGTGGCACCATAATGCATGAGTGACATGTTTGTAACTTCACAATGCATGGCTGATATTTTTGTGGCATCATAATACATGGGTGGTGTGTGGCATCACAATAAATAGATGACATGTTTGTGGCATATAAATTAAATGAAATAGAAGTGGAATAAATGAAGTACTGTTAAGAAACTCATTAGGGTATTTCAGTTTTATTTTCTTATCACTAACTTTAATTTTCATTATGTATTCAACATTCTTACAATTTATCAAGTATGCGTATAGACCTCAATAGATATTTCTTTATTTTCTTAGAAGCTACACACTTAAGCCTTTACTAACATCAAAGGAATAAAGGTAAACAGGAGTTGCTATTTAACTCTGTTTACCAAAGTTTGCTGTGCCAATAACAAATGTGTAACTATTGATTTGCAAGAGGAACGGTGCATCAGTTGATAAGTTCTCTGAATGAAAGAAAAAATCTAAATGCAAGCATCTGATGTACTAGATGTTTATCTACAATCATATTACATTTACAAAGTGTTTACAGTAACTACCACCATGTCAGGGCATATCTTATAGTATTGTTTTAACCTACTGCTTTCAAAGTCCAAATCCAAGTACCTTTGTATGAAAGTGTTGGTTATTAAAATCAATTTATGTACCTCACCATTTACAAATGTATTGCCCTTTTGTTAACCCATGGCTCATATTGATATAAACATGTCATAAATGCGATATTTTACTTGTGAAGAGGTGTTGGAATCCTTTTATGTGTAGTTTGAAAATCCAATCTACAGAAAAGAATGGTTATTATGGCTAGGATGAACATTAAATGTCACAGATCTTGCCTCGTTTTTATTATGTTAATTACCTATAATCCATAATGAGATGTTGGTGTCTGAATTTTTTTTTACACATTTTATATTGTTATATTTACAATTCTTTAATCCAGAGGCTTTAGTTGTAGCCACCTAACATCCTCAGTGTACCCAATAACCTGTAATCTTATCTCATTATTTTGGCATTCCCTCCCTTTTTTCCACATGAAATAGATGGTAAATGTATAGTGGAGGTGTTCAGAACTCATGATCTGAGATTTAGCAATGTGATGGGAATGAATGTTATTAAAGAATATTAAACATTGTTATCAATTATAAAAGATTTTGAGTTATCTTTCTTGACACTTACATGGTGTCATTTGTTAGAATCAGAAACATACTTTACTTAACCTCCACATTTTACTAGGTTGTCTCCCCTTGCTTTGGGGATTGCGACATTAACTGGCTTTGCTGATCAAAACATACCAGGAATCTGTTTACATGGAACAACAACCACACCTGAAAGCTTGCTTAATAATTTTAATAACAAAGTGATATAGTGTTAATTGCTACACAATGGTGTGTAATAATCCCACAGCAGCCTTAGGCTTGGTGATAAACACATCTTAGCTATTCAATAAATATCTACGTGACATACAATATCAACCAAGTACATGTAAAAACCAAAACATGTTTTCTGAATTAATGTATTTCCATTTTCTATTCGGTAATTAATCCCCTTGTTCAGAAAGTTGCACCTACAACTGATTTCTGTAACTCAAACTGCGACTAAAATGAAACTGCTCTATAATGAATGATTTTTGAAGAAATCTGAATGAAATTATTATGGCTCAAATTTAAGAAATGGGATGAAGGAATGTTTCAAAATGTATAATATGCAGCAATTAATAGTGACAATAAATATGAGTTCCAAGTAGAGATTTCTAATTCCCAACAAAATGGAACTACAATCAGAACTGAGTGACTTTTGTCACCATTTTACAAAAGTAATGAAATTTTAGTTTTAACTCTTCTATTTCAAGGATCAAAAGTTATGGTTTTATTGTCATTTAATGATTAATGAACAGATCAATTTTTCTTGTGAGACTGAAATAATGACACATAATTCTGACTCAAGATATTCCAGGGACGTAAAACTGGTCACTATTGGATCTCAAATGAGTTTTCATTTTCTATAAGGCTTTATGAAACAATTTTTTTTGTGAGCCTTGGCAAGCAAAAATTAAAACGCTTTCAAAAATTTAAACTTATTAAAGATGAGTTTCATAAAATCTCATATGACATGAAATTAACTGAAGATATATTTCACCGCATAACTCATGAAGTTATATTTGTACAGGTTTTGACAAAACAAAATCAAACTGAGGCAGCCATTTTGTTGTGTCTTTTCAAATTATGGCAAAATGTCATTGTCATGTATATTGAGGCATCACAATCTATTTCTATCACAATGGTGATGTATAAACAAAATACATGGGCAAATTCACTGGATAACATTAAATTTCATGTATATCCCTGAATGCACTTTCATACAAGTGAATTTGTTGTGTCACCATTGGTCTTAAGCCATGATATATTTATATAAAAAAATCAATTAAACTAGAATTAATGCTGGCCCCTTAAAGAAACAAAATTACTACTGCGGACATACTAGCGATATTTATTTAGTAGTCGTCCAATTTAAAATTTGTAAATTGAATAAACTGTCCTTTTCACTGAAGTTTTTCTGATGAATAAATGGCATCTTGAGAAAAGCTTAGATATTGATGCAGTATAACACCAATGACAATACACCTTCACTACATTAATCAATAAGATCACACAACCTTCAATCACTTGTTGATGATTGCTAGATGTTGACAGAGCCCGAATTACACAACAACATCAGGTAGGAGTAATCATTTCTCAAGCTTGGTCCCATATTAATTGATAAATGGCTGCTAAATTTTAAAATAAAACGAGATATAACCCTTAATGTGGATTCTACCTTTGGTGTGACATAACAGATAATAAAGGAGGGTTCTAATACAGGTTTGAACCAAAACATATTGATACCTGTCACATTCATTTATTCTATGAATTTTTAAAACTGTTGAAAGGTAAAAGTGAATATCTAGATATAGAAAATTACCAATAACAATATGTGGTATTTCAAGAAATATGGAAAAAAAAAAAAGATGTGTACTCATGTATCTGTAAATAACAACGACTTACGATATATACCCCTGACACTAACTACTCTACCTACAGAACTAGGTACATATTCTATCACAACCACTGGCGATTTATTTCAGTTATATCATTTGGACATTTAAACATATTTCCTCTATAATTACACTGATGTACAAAATCACAATGAATATGGTCCAAAAACTTTTCATATCAACACTTTAATGCCAGATTCACACATTGGTCTTTATTTAAGACCACAAGCTATGCAATGATCACATGTTCATTTATTCTTACCTATTCTCACTCTGATTTTCGCAATTAGGAGAACTGGCCATGTCAAACAGAACAATGCGAAACCCTTGATAAAGAAGTTTCATCTTTACAGGAAACAACATTTGGCTGTTCCTTGTTATAATGCACATTCTAGGATATTTTTGAAACATAATTCAGCCATTTCTGAAGCATAAAAAGTGTGAAACCGTTTTGGGTGTAAAACAGCAGTACTTAAACTACCTATATATATTTTTTACTAACGACCTACTTATAAGATACAAGTGATGTGTCAATTTCACATCAAAAATGTATGATAAAGAAGGAGAAAAATTATGCTTAAAAATAAAAAATAGGGAGATTTTTAAAAAATAACTGATACTCTAGTGTCACCAGGAAAAACAGTCAACAAAAGAATGGATTTCACCATTGTAACAACAAGGAATAAACAATAGACAGACACTTATTACAGTACATAAAACAGTGCATAAGTTATGAATATCACAGATTAGTTGTACAAAGTTCACAAGAAGAAAATCATTTGTGATTACACAGTCATGTACTTTAGAATGGTAAATTACCTAAGAACAGTTCACATCATTACAACATGTACTGAAAAGTGCTTCTTGTGTTTCTATTACACATACAAATACATTTAACAATACATCTTTGAGAGGAGTAATGTTAAAAAAGAACAGTTCTAATTTCAAAATTACAGAATTTACCAGTACAGTAATTAGTCTATAAATAGTAAAACAATGGCCTCATTTTTGTAAAAATTTTCAATCTCTGTATCTAGTTTGTATATGATTTTTTTTTTCAAATTTAATTTCATGGAATGATGTCATGAAGATACTTAAAGAACAGAATTGGTCAATATTAAAAATGTTATGCACTATGGAATAAAACTGTCATATAAGCTCCAAATATAATCACAGAGGCATCAAAGAGTTGTCTCTGTAGTACAACCTGGTTCCAGTGGTTAGTGAAAAATTCAAATTGCTGCCATTTAACAAACAGAGTGTTATAGACAAAATTAACACTCAAAATATATCTGTCTGATGTGTCTCAACAGATCTACACATGACATGATACAGAACGTTTCCAATTTTTGTTAAATTTACATTAGAAATTATCACTAACCAATGGTTATCTCTAACCAGCCTTTGAACATCTGGGGCCTAATGTCTCAATAAAACACTTGTTGTAAAAAATCTCCCATAAGAAATAGCTATCACACAACAGACAACATTGATAAAGTGGTGCATTTCAATGAAGGCATCAACAAGCAGTTATGCTGGCACAACACACTGCCTAATCCAATTGTCTCAACTATGGGATAATCCCTTAACATAAAATCATAAGTTTCATCAACTGTAGGATAACCCCTTAACATAAAATCTTAAGTTTCATCAACTGTAGGATAACCCCTTAACATAAAGTCATAAGTTTCATCAACTGTAGGATAACCCCTTAACATAAAATCTTAAGTTTCATCAACTGTAGGATAACCCCTTAACATAAAATCATAAGTTTCATCAACTGTAGGATAACCCCTTAACATAAAATCATAAGTTTCATCAACTGTAGGATAACCCCTTAACATAAAATCATAAGTTTCATCAACTGTAGGATAACCCCTTAACATAAAAGCAAAACAGTGTTATCAACTGTAGGATAACCCCTTAACATAAAATCTGAACAGTGTTATCAACTGAAGGATAACCCCTTAACATAAAATCTAAACTGTCATCACAGTAACTCTATATGATGTCACAACACCAGGTTACAACACAACAAATTAACATAGCAGTGATGGAGGAGGGAAATAACACAAAAGATTAACACAGAGTGATGGAGGAGGGCAATAACACAAAAGATTAACACAGAGTGATGGAGGAGGGAAATAACACAAAAGATTAACACAGAATGATGGAGGAGGGAAATAATACAAAAGATTAACACAGAGTGATGGAGAAGGGAAATAACACAAAAGTGACGGATGAGAACCACTCAATGAAAATTCTATACACCAACATTTCATCCTTGCCTTTTACAATTGTTCCTTTTCTATCTCCCATTTATCTCATCGTATTTACGTCTTGAAATTTTACAGTGTATATAACACCAAGATGAAGGTGTATTGTCTTCATGGACTATCGAACAGATACAGATACTCAACTGATTCACTTGTCTTTTCTTTTTCAAATTTTGGAGCACACTAAGAAAGAATGCTACATGCAAATATTATAAGCTTCCTCTGTTTTTCAGCAGATATTGCTTGAGCATAGTAGCAAATATTATTCTGGTGACACAGAATTCAGACTGAGGCTTGTTTCCATTGATAAACTATCATAACTACATACTAAATCTTATAAGTCAATTCTATACTTTTTATCTGTAACCTCTAAACTATACTGTGTCAGTTCCTTAACATTGCAGAACTCCATGTGAACAAATAAGGATTCTGGATTTTTTTTTGTGTGTATGATCATTTCTTTTTTGAAGTTTGAATAAATCCCAATGTAATTTCTTTTTTGCAAACTTTTGAAGCAAGATGTTTTGATTTGGTCAGTCAGATGTCACCAAGAAAAAGTTGTTTAAAGGAAAAGTAGGCTGGCGAAAGAAATTTGCAAGTAACAGGTTACATCTCATCTAGTGCATGGCTAGCTGTACATCTCATCTAGTGCATGGTTAGCTGCACACCTAATCTAGAGCATGGCTAGCTGTACATCTCATCTAGTGCATGGCTAGCTGCACATCTCATCTAGTGCATGGCTAGCTGCACATCTCATCTAGTGCATGGCTATCTGCACATCTCATCTAGTGCATGGCTAGCTGTACATCTCATCTAGTGCATGGCTAGCTGTACATCTCATCTAGTGCATGGCTAGCTGTACATCTCATCTAGTGCATGGCTAGCTGTACATCTCATCTAGTGCATGGCTAGCTGTACATCTCATCTAGTGCATGGCTTGCTGTACATCTCATCTAGTGCATGGCTAGCTGTACATCTCACCTAGTGCATGGCTAGCTGCACTTCTCATCTAGTGTATGGCTAGCTGTACATCTCATCTAGTGCATGGCTAGCTACACTTCAAATCACCTAGCACATAGCTAGCTACATCATATTGACTGTATGGTTAGCTAGATCACATTGACTGTATGGTTAGCTACATCTCATTGACTGTATGGTTAGCTACATCACACTTTATGGTTAGCTACATCATATCTAGACCATAGCTGTAGCTACATTAATTAAACTCAGTCTATACATCGCACACATTTTTGATAAGATAGAGAATTACAGATGAGACATAAATATTGATAGGTAAGGCTTCTTGTTAATCAGAAACACACTCCCTAATAAATGTGACACAATTTTGATTATGTACAGCTTACAGCATCTAGTGATATCAGGCTATCCAAGAAACAAAATAATGATTTGTTTTGCAATAATCCAAAAGGTTTTCATAAACAAAATGACCTTATTTTTCTGAGAAAAAAAATGAATTTTTTGTCCATCACATTTGGTTCATTAGAATTACATGTATGGATATCATAAGACTGTCTTGTCTATTCAATCCTTCTTGCCTATTTTCAAATCCTTTATTGATAAAGAAAAAAAAGTGTACTTCATAGAATACTTCATGTGTGTCATCCCAAATTACACAGTGTATGTATGTCATACATTCTATAAATGACAATAGATACTAGGCATGAAAAATTGATAAAACTTACTAAAAAATGTAAACTTAAAGCCCATATGTTTTAATAGAATAAGTTTAGAAAATATCATGCAAAGCACAGTTGATTTCAAAAGTTATACACTACAGTTGATGTAATGGGTTGGTCTACATGGAATGTACACAAAAAAAAGTCATGACAACTTTGAGTATCAATTGAATATACCATAATGGAAAGCATACAAAATATGTCACTGGTATGGTATGTGTACAATGCATATATGGTATATCTACAATATATTGTTACCTGTACAGAATCTAAAGTAAAGCAGCTGTACAGAAATGGAACTTCACATGTAAGGTACCTGTACAGAAACAGAACTTCACATGTAAGGTAGCTGTACAGAAACAGAACTTCACATGTAAGGTAGCTGTACAGAAACAGAACTTCACATGTAAGGTAGCTGTACAGAAACGGAACTTCACATGTAAGGTACCTGTACAGAAACAGAACTTCACATGTAAGGTAGCTGTACAGAAACAGAACTTCACATGTAAGGTAGCTGTACAGAAACAGAACTTCACATGTAAGGTAGCTGTACAGAAACAGAACTTCACATGTAAGGTAGCTGTACAGAAACAGAACTTCACATGTAAGGTAGCTGTACAGAAACAGAACTTCACATGTAAGGTAGCTGTACAGAAACAGAACTTCACATGTAAGGTAGCTGTACAGAAACAGAACTTCACATGTAAGGTAGCTGTACAGAAACAGAACTTCACATGTAAGGTAGCTGTACAGAAACAGAACTTCACATGTAAGGTAGCTGTACAGAAACAGAACTTCACATGTAAGGTAGCTGTACAGAAACAGAACTTCACATGTAAGGTAGCTGTACAGAAACAGAACTTCACATGTAAGGTAGCTGTACAGAAACAGAACTGAACTTCACATGTAAGGTACCTGTACAGAAACAGAACTTCACATGTAAGGTAGCTGTACAGAAACAGAACTTCACATGTAAGGTACCTGTACAGAAATGGAACATGACATGTAAAATAGATGTGCAATATCAGATGTTTAATGTTTTCAGTTAGCAGCATATTATATACTTGATGAATGCATGTTGAACAATACAATATTCTTCACAGCATGGGTCATACCTGAACTTGTATGTTACATACATATAATTTACATACATGTACCATTATTCTTCGCAGTCTGGGCCATACCTTAACTTGTATGTTACATACATATAATTTCCATACATGTACCATTATTCTTCACAGTCTGGGCCATACCTTAACTTGTATGTTACATACATATAATTTACAGTCTGGGCCATACCCTAACTTGTATGTTACATACATATAATTTACATACATGTACCATTATTCTCCCTCTATATGCTGTGTACCTTACACATTTCTTGTACTTTTATATCACTAGTGAATGCATACAAATAATTCTACGCAGTACAATTTACTTTGAGCACATTAAAAGTACATAAAATCACCATTGTTTCTAATTGTAACTCAAACCACAATATAGCAATTTTATGTCCATCACAACCAAAACTTCTCCCTGCCATCTAAACACTCTCATAATCTTACCTAGAGTACAATCACTTACACACTCACGTCACTTTTCCTCAAGTAAATTCACCTAAACATCTCATCATCCTTTCTATAGTAAATTCAACCTTATACTCACATCTTCTAGAGCAAAATTAGCAAACACTCACATAATCTTCCCTAGAACAAAATCATTTCAACACTCACATCACCTTTCTTGATGAAAAATCACCTAAACCTTCAAATCACCTTTCCTGAGTTCAAATCACCTAAATATTCTCATTACCCTTTTTCTGGTAAATTCACCTAAACACTCATGTGTTGCAATGACAAAACTGTCTCAACACACTCAACACCTTTTTCCTCAGGTAAAATCACCTCAACACACTCATCACCTTTCCTAGGACAAAACCGTCTCATCTTTCTCATCACTTTACCAAGGGCAAAATCACCTGAACTTTCTCATCATCTTGCTAAGGGCATAATCACCTGAACTTTCTCATCACCTTGCTAAGGGCATGATCACCTCAACATATTCATCACCTTTCCAAGGACAAAACTGTCTCATCTTTCCCATCACTTTACCAAGGGCAAAATCACCTGAACTTTCTCATCACCTTGCTAAGGGCATAATCACCTCAACACATTCATCACCTTTCCTACGACAAAACTGTCTCATCTTTCCCATCACTTTACCAAGGGCAAAATCACCTGAACTTTCTCATCACCTTGCTAAGGGCATAATCACCTCAACACATTCATCACCTTTCCAAGGACAAAACTGTCTCATCTTTCCCATCACTTTACCAAGGGCAAAATCACCTGTACTTTCTAATCACCTTACCAAGGGCAAATCACCTGAACTTTCTCATCACCTTACCAAGGGCAAATCACCTGAACTTTCTCATCACCTTACCAAGGGCAAAATCGTCTCAACACACTCATAACCTTTCTAAGGGCACATTCGAGGTGACTTAAACACTGAAGCATTGGAAGTCTTGACAAATAATCATTGTTTGAGGTTATAATAATACATACAGACTTCCTGTTGGGTTCTATAATACCCTTCAAGCATGATAAATTTTGTTTTAAGTTCTATACAAACTCTATTATGATTTCTGGTGAAACAGCTTAACACAAATGTCATCAGTATTGCCTCTCTAGTAGAAATGTCAACAGAATAGTGACATGTTAAATAGCCACTACAACACAAAGGAATTATACATCATCAAATATTCCCTTAGGAGGTCGTGAGAATGACCTCTGTGTGCCAAACCGACTAGAAGGTCCTGTGGGCTGGGATTGGTATGATTGATGCATGGGATCGCTGCCCCGCCAGTCATCAAGTACATCAGATGTCTCCCCTGTATAGTCTATTGGTTCAGCCTGTCGCAGAAGTTCTGTGCGATCATTTTCATCAGGGCTCCTTGGGACAGTCTGCTTAGCTAAAAAACAAAACAGAATATACTGATTTACAATTGTACTGAACATGTATGACAAATCATTATATTTGTAAATCAATGTAGATATTGCCTTTGTCCCACGACCTTCTCACTGACATTTACCTGTACTTTTCGTTTTCACTTTCACTGATAATTTATGTCACTTTGATCACCCGTAATACTGTTGCAAGTTCTTACAATTAAGTCCTTCATTCAATTATTTTTGACAAACAAAATGACACGTTAACTTACAAAAGATTAAAAATCATCCGAAATATTTTTCTATTTTTCAATACCAGATCTTAAAATCTTAAACTGATGATCTTCAGTGTACGCTGCCTATCTTAATTGGTGTTGTATACTTTGTGTATGAATACATATATACAGCAATATATGATATATCTATGATGCATGAAAGCATTTACAAAAAAATATATATCTAATGAAATTTCATATAGCTCATTCAGCCAGTGATAATTTTATATATCTGAATACTGTGGCTCGTATACATGTCAATGTCATTCATCGTAACATACACAACAATCCACTCACTGAGCAAGCAAGATAAGACATCTCCAGTAGATAAATTTCTTCAAACAGCAAGTAATTTTTTGGCCTAGTTTTGTAACTGTTTGTCCAAGTGAAAGTGTTTTATTTTCCAAAAATGATAACAAAATGAGTAGAGTATGTAGTTCCTTGAGATCTGTTCTTATATTTCCCTAGTTTATACAAACACAGGCTGTTTTAAACAGGTTAAAAGAAAACCCAGACCTTGTCAACTCGCTCAATGTATTCCAATTCCCGACCATTTAATAATGTTTCTTCACTATGGCAAAAATTTTAAATGAAATGTAGCATTGTATTATGTGAAATTAATACGACTTGAAAACAAATATTTTGATGGGAAGACAAAATTAACATTTGGCGACTGTTACCCTGTGTAAAATACATAATAAAAAACCTGATGGTGAAGTCCTTCCTTTCTTGTACAATTGTCTAGGGAAGGAGAGTTATATCATTTGTATTTTAATACTTCTTAAATTAGCCAGTTTTCATAAAATATCAGAAATATTAAGTGATGTACAGACATTCCTGAATAGACATTCACAAATAGCTGAACATTCTGGGATTGATTTGTTGGCTCCTGGAAATCAATTTTAACTGAATTTTTGAATGAGCACATTACGCAAGTAGAAGTATTTTTTACCATTTTCAGTCCAAAAAAGTACCTGTGCACACCAAGTATGTGTGCACATTACACAGGTTTTTATGGTATACAGTACTTAAAACTGATTGAAAATATATACTGATTATGTATGTAAATTTTATATTCATGTACAAAAGCCTACAGATTATATTGGCGTATACGCTGCATAATAACAATGAAGATAAAGCATTACTTTAATGTTTTTATGTGAAAACTAGCTTAATCTAATTATCTATGAGCAAAATAACAAGCATTGTCTACGGATCAAGTGTAGGTAATGGAAAGCATGTATACTGGAGTATACACAAGTAATATTGTTAGTTTGTGTAAAATTGTTTACGGGGAGAAGCAGAGGCATTCTGGGTAATTGGTTATGATAGAGAGGTCGTCATACTAAACAAAAGAAATAGGTCTGGTATTAAAAGCATTTGTAGGTAATGTTGATAATACATGTATCACATGTTGAATATCTTATAATAATTGAAAATGTCCATGTCATATAAAAAAAATTGATTATTTGTTACAAAACTTTAGCTGTTAACTGATAAATTTGCGAGTTTAATGTTCTATTTAACTCGGACATAATCGTGTGATGTTACATAGGAATATCCTGATATTTACCTGGAATTGATGTCCGAGAATAATGACCACATCTTACATGATGTATATCAGATCTTTTATGTAGTCCATGATATGGATATCAATCAATTTTATTGGTCATCTTACAATGGAATAACTTTCATGAACTATCAGATCCACATTTGAATAAAAAAATTGGCCTTTAATTTTCAGATCTCCAAATTGACAAAACTTCTTTCATAATACTTCCATCTCATTTAATTCCTTAAAACAACATACTGGATGCAATCTCAAAAACCAAGACAGTTACAACATGAATGAAGATTATGAATAAGCTGATTTGAAAAGTGACTCAGCATATATCAACAGAGGATATTAAAACTTTTAAACATTTGCTGTTGAATATATATGTGAGATACAGGTATTACTTTGGCACCAGAAAACAATCATTATAACACAGTACATCAAGTATGTAAGCATCAAATAACTTTGGAGTGAATCCCTGTCTTTGGTATTGGGAATTCTGGTCTCTACAGGTTCTGTTTCACTTAAACAGGTTTCTCACTAAAGGTATGAGTGTGTGTGGACACTGAAGCAAAGTTATTGTGTTTGTAAAGCATGGGAGTTAGGTTTCTGTCCACAAACCTTCCACCTCCAAATCTAGACGCAACATTTCCACATCTAGATCTAAAAATTAAAATGGAACTCATTTATAACTCATTCTTCATGACAATAGAAAAAACAAAGGTAAAACTGCTTTGAGAATTTTATCAGGAATTTAGGATTGACACCCATGTCTGGGAAAGGATACAATATGAATGATATTGTATCAGCGATAATACCTTACCAATGTGCTCAGGAATGACAAAGTGCGAGAAAGAGAGTTGAGAAAATTGTCGACTAATTTGACTTGAGGATTAAGAGGTAAACCAAGGATGATCTGATACATTACAACAGATTTAGTACATAAAGGTCACAGTTAGCTTTGTCAATCAGAAAGGTATCAGATGTTAAATTCAAGGACCTGAACTGAGTTAAAGGGACTACATGGTTAGATATTCAATTCATAACTGATAAAAAGCATCATAACATTTAAATATCTGTTAAAAGTTGTCTACCTTCTGTTAATTATAATATTTCAAAGTTTGCATAACCATTTTATTAACATCATCAAAAAATTGAAATAAAATAGGAGTGACCCCACACTAATTCATATCATTATCGTTCCGATAGTGTAAACAATGTCTTTGCGCATGTAATTTTAGTTTCAGATCAATTCAAATTCATTTATCTCGCTCTGTCACATGTATAGTGTGAAACAAGAGGTCATTTTACAAAGTAAGAATTGAAACATGGCAGGCAAATTAAGCTTCGGCTAAGTACATAGTTATACATAGTAAGAAATCATTTCAAAACAGCGGGTTAAAACGAGGCTCCGAAAGGTCATGTGATGAACTGGGCTATCTCCAATCAAAACAGCGATAGGTGGTGGACACAATAGCGAGTGTCGATTAGCGTTAGTTTGAAGCTGATCACCTTTATCAATGTCTCTCAGAGAGTGTTATAAATTTGTGAAGAGTCTACCTTTAAGTATCAAGTGCTCGCCCAAAATCAAATGCATGGGGGAAAATAACGAAATTTAACCATCTAGTCCCTTTGAGGTCCACTGGATATATTGATCTCTGAATCACTAATACGATATCACAACAACAGAGGTTTACATGACCAGTCCATGTAATACACTAAACAATTCAAATATCAAGCAAAGCACACACAAAAATGCGAACAGCTTCAGATACATTTTATTCTAATTTTGTCCTGATCTTGACCTTCAATGAAATGTCGCGACAACCATTTGTATGAAGACACCAAACACTGTGCATCTTCACTAATAGGAGAACAACAATGTATTAGGTAACCATGGCACTATGATTACCTAATTAGCATGCGGTGAGAAAAACTACCTAAAACTGCTGATCAACTTAGTATGTGTGAGATCGATAAATATTACATCAAATCCCTCTCCTTACCTTCATCCTTCTCTGTAGGATCAGTTACTGAAATTTTACGGTTTTATGATCATGCAAACATTTTTATATAACTATTAGGTCAAGAGTGATGACAAATGGATTATCAGTAAAACTAGTTCACAACATACACCTACATAGATAATATTTGACAATGTCCTGTTTAATATCACACATATATATACTTCAAGAGTGTTACAGAATATTTACTTTTCTTGTTAGTGAAATATGTATGACATTTAACGAGAGGCAATTGAACTTTCTTCCTATTACATCTTAAAGGGAAAACAAATAAAAACAAAATACAGTGTTCAAAACAGTTTGGAAATGATCAGTTTATTCTTTGATGTCAGAGAGTTTGATGTTAACATAAGAGTACCATTTGGAGTAGACAGTTTTAGGTGATATTCTGCCATTTAAACTGTTATCTGGTAAGAATCATTTAACAAAATTACTTTTATCTTCTAAATATCAGTCAAAACCTAAAATGAACGCGCGAAAGATTTGATGAAACAAAATCATTCAACCTTCATTTCATTTGCATCTGAGCCAGAAAATCTGCTGATTTCAATTTGATAAATTCCATACAATCTTATAGCAAAATTATAGTAGAAGTAGTTGTTTTATACATAAAACACTGCTTTCATCTGTTGTGTACATATATCTACACTACAGCCAAATCTATCATAATAACTGGTAAGTTCAGCAGTACTAAGGGAGTCTGTTATACTAGAAAATTAAAAGTTAATCAAAACAAACAAAAAAACTAGAATCTAACGAAACATATTGACATGCACAAAACCAAATCAAACTATCTAAAATACAATCTGACAACACCTATTCCATTCTAATAGTCATTACAATTCTATCTATACGTACCTCGTCGTGAGTATCCATCCTGTTCCACACCATTACCCCGCTGCATGACCCGATCATTGGTCCCGTCACCAAACTTTTCTGTCCACTGGCGTCGTCGTGCTTCACCCTCAGCCTTCCTCTCGATGCGCCGTCGCTCTGTACAGAAGAATTGGACACTTAGAACATATGTAATTATTCTTTATATCTTAACAAAAGCCTTCAATGATTCCAGAAAATTCCTTTACAATCAAAGCTAGTCTAGGTATTCAAATTGCATATGGGGGGAGGGAATAAAATGGCATCAAAACAAAGTCCCCATATTTTACACACAATATGTATTTACTGAGTAGGCTATCAGGATAATATGGGTTTTTCTGTATTTATCTATGACTTGTAAGTATTACACACTGAAAACATATAACAGCATAGAGAATTATCATAAAATGTCATTGCATAGATTTGACCTCCTGCAATTAATATAAATCTTAAAACGAGTATAACTTATTGTACCTCTGCGGATAATCTCTCGTCCCTCATCGACAAACTCCTGGGTCATGTCGTCATCCCCAATAAACTGGGAGAATCCCAGAAACTGTAGAATACGTGACCCCAGGCTGAAGTATGTACAGATACACAGTAATACAATGGCAATGGGAAAGTAAATGTTGAATCCATCAGACACGAATGATATCACATCCATATGTCCCATGATCTGAAAAAAATATATCTGACAGTTATATATAGTCACTGCAAACCAAAACATTTATCAAAGTCAGACAGAGGACAGAAAGGTTCAATATAACACGAACATAACATAGATTGTTGTTGGGATGAAGACTATAAGCAAGAACGATAACTCTGGACAGTCTAAGGTACCAAAACTAAAGAAAGGACCATAACTCTGTAAATCGTGAATGTACATGAGGACAAAATTCCTTCTTTACAAAAACAGAAAGTATCCAAAGTTTGGTGTACCTAGTTGAAATAACAACAAAATATGGCTGGTCAACAATTCTGTTTGGCAAACCATGCTGTGCATCCCAAATATGAAATACTTCGAAAATATGGTATTAATTCATGGATGTTTTAGCTTGATGATCTAATCAACCCAAGAGGACATGAAGCAAGCTTGTACCTCAGTGTAAGATGTCTCCTCCAGGTTTCCCCTGTAGGTGATATGACTGTCCAGGTGAATGAGTCCCAGGAAGTTGAGACACAAAGGAGGTGTAAGACGGCACAGCATCCTGTTGACAAAATTCTAACTATAAGTCAGCAGTGAAAAATGTCCAACAAACACATTGCATTTCAAATCAGAAACTTAAATCTTTTTAATTTTTTCTTTATCCAGAAAAATGAGTCATGTTAGTTTTTTTTCAATGTGTTTGAAGATCCCCGCCAAAATATAATTGTGCTCCACTATGACTTTAAACCATCAGTTTCCTAAGTAGAGAGTAGTCTTGAAAATGTTTGTGTGGTATCCTTTTTTTTTTATTTATTTATAGAAACATCAGCTATTTGTCACATTCATATTTTGATAATTTTTCACAAGACTTTTAAACACAATCAATAGTTCCATGAGCAGGTAGATATAACTGAAGGCTTGACTAGTAAACTTACATGCCAGTAAACACAAGGCTATACTCATCAGTCTGATGATGGGGAGCTATGTAGTAAAAGTTTAGGATGCGAATCTGGAACACACTGTAGTACGCACAGAAACACAAGTAGGCTATAGTAATGATGGATGCTAACTGAAATAGATATGAAATAAAATACAATATATGTATTAAAAATATGTTTCAACCTGCAACATCTTATATTTCTACATTTATTTTTTCAATTTCATCCTACTATCAAAAAAAACATGATAATATTGCACAAATAACATAAATTATACATTATTTCATTTCTTTTGAATGGTGTACTACAAAGGCTTCCTGACCAGTGAAGAGATTCTATCATGCTAGATGAAAAAAATTATCTTGACATAGAAATCTTAAATGTAAAATTGGATTAACATTATCCAAAGAATTCAAATCTCGTCTCTGTAAACACATTATCTTAATTGTATTAATAATATCCATTCCAAGCAATTCAAATCTCACCTCTATATACACATAATCATAATTTTGTTTGGCAAGATCAATGAAAACAGCAAATAAGGACAAGACAGGCTCTTTGATGAAGAAGAGACACTCTGACCAGACAACCATGAATGACAAGACAGTAAGGAGCACGGCAAGGATCCTCCGGAACCATGGTCGTAGCAGACACTTCCAGTACCACTCTGGATCAAAACAGGTAAAAAATATATATCATCAACTTCATGTTTGTATATGGAAAATGTACAGACAACCTTATCAATCAATTTGGTATTAAGTACCACTGTTTGCTTGCTTGTCCATACCATTATTTACCTATATTTAATATCAGTCCTCTAAATTAGTCTCGCTAATGAAAGTTGTAGTTGCAAGTGTAATATTACACTTGCATACCAAATTTGATTGAAAAAGATACTATCTTCACTTGAACATGCTTAGTTGCCTCCCAATGTTGGCCATTTTTTTCAAATTAAGAAACAGAAGTTGCAACTATGTAGTTCGAGTGAAATCTGACAATCATTAATTTTCGACCAATCAGAAGGGTTCATTTACTTTCCATGGTATAAGTAATTGATCACAGAGGAGTACACAGTAGAACTTAATCATGTAAAAGTTTGTTTTCTACTTACCAACAGTAGGTGTGTAGAGACTGGTCAACAGACCACCAGTTTTGTGACCATGAGAACTGTGGAAAATGTGGTCCGTCTTTCCTTCATTATTACAGATGTCCTCAAGTTCATAAGCCTTTGACATAAGGTTGTTCCACTGGGCCTGTGTTCTGTGGTTGGTCTGTGTTGCCTGGATCACACGCTTGTGGAGCCGGACCAGGGATTTCTCACTTGGCACATCCTGTGGCTTGTTAAAGTCCTCATAGTCATCATTGTTTGACCTGACATTCTGTCTCAGGGACTCTGGACACTGGAAATAAAACAATATCACTGTTAGACTGTACATTGTTAGAATGTAAAATACCATTGCCAGACTGTCTCAGAGACTCTGGACACTGGCAAACAATACACAGACCGGAATGAAACTTCGTTACATATTTACATTTGTTTTGTCATACGTAAAATACCTATTGAAATTGCGCCTTTCCACATTACAACTGTGTCAGTAAAATCAATACGTTCATGTCTTTGAAAACTGTCGCATAAAGCCTGAATAGCTCACTGCATTGGAACTAGACAAGCAACAAGAAATATAATTCCTATCAGTTTGTCGTATCTAATACAGCATGGACTGCTTTCAAACATTTTTATCCTATTTCTGGTTTTCCATGATGTTGAACCCCTAGGAAATTAGAACACATTCATCTGTACATTCTACATCTACGTCCACAGTAACCCGACATTCCGAAATATTAACAAATAGTTGTTGTTGTAAATTTATGAGAAAAATATGCAATCGTCTATTAATTTCAGCTGATACCAAAACAATGAATTAGTATTTCTGTTATGTTACATATTTGGTGCATCCTAAAACACATACATTTAATGAAATACAATGTACCAGCTTTGACAACATGCATCGGGAGAAAATTTCACTGAAGCTATAATATTATAATGTAGGTGTGGCATTGTATTGCAAAATTGTGACTCCATATGATTTGGAAGATATCACAAAATGAAATCTTAAAATATACAGTAGATATAGGATATATATTGATGAATTATGGATTAAATATAGAATTATGCAGCACTACCCAATCCCAAGCCTTATAGTATACCTCGCGTAAGCTACGACTTACAATAAGGGTGTTCCCTGAATCATGCACATTAACTAAATATCTGCATCAGGTGTACATAGTTTCATATATCTACCTGGTTACTTATATTCATAGTAAAAATCATACAATAAATTTTGTGTTTTTTATTACAAATTCATTATTGTAATATTAATGAAAGATTTGAATGAACCACTGACATTATAAACATTTTTGTAAACAAATCCAATTCCGGTCTTGACTTGATCTAATCAGACAAAGATCTACACGGATCTTGATCTAATAAGTCAAAGATTTACACTGACTATTCCCTAACAAGAACAAGATCTTCACTGATCATGATCTAATAAAACCAAGATCCAAAAAGACTAAGATCTATTGCTGGCAACTTAACGCCCACTAAAACCATGAGCACCACAGACACCAAACCACCACTATAGTATAGTTGTTACCGGTAGGTTTCCCTGTGAACAGAATGTAAGATGGTTAGTAGATCCTAACACTGACTCATTTATTTTCCTCCGAGATCATACTCTACCGAATAGAAGTTTCTCATGCTACTACAGTTTCTGTAAGAAGATATATATGTGATATTATACAATACACAGGGATATTTTCTTCACAATTTAACTTCCAACCATTTTGCATTTTTACAATATGAGGTAAAACTTGGACTAAATTTTTAGGTTAAACTTAAAATATGTGCTTTTAACCAATGTTTAAAAATGAACAGTTTTGATGTGAAGGCACAAAACACTGAATAGATGTTTGCCTGTTTACAATACATATAATACTATATATATTAATTACCAAAATGTATTTTATATGTGTATTTTACAGACAGTAAATTAACTGAGACATGTAATTACCGGTAAACATATTTGTTACTACACATTACCTAGTCACAATATTTTCATGTTTTTATATAGTAATTCTCTGCAATATATCTATACATGTGTATCAATGTATATAGTTCCAAAAGATGCTGAAATCACTACGTGATGTTATTTGGTTTATATGATATTTCAATATATTTAAGTTTTCTTTTTATTCACAAATCATTAGATTTATTGAATTTTCAAAAACTGACTAGTTATAATTAAATTAAATCACTTTATTACTTTCTTGGTCTGATTAATACATGTGCTGTTCATAGTATCCCTAGCTTAAGTTTTGTTGTTAACAGAAGATGAGGAACAAAAGCTGGAAAATTAGAGAAGAGTTGATATTCCTTACTCAATGCTTTAGCATTGTTCAATTATTGACTTAATATCAAAACTGTGTAATGAATTTTAAACTTTGCTCATTTTCATATTGTTACCCTTTACAGCCTTTGGATGGGAACACCTTTAGAATTTGAATGCAAATTATCTATCACCACAACTGTACAGCTGGTAATTTTCAAAAGTCAAATTGTTTTGTATTTCTCTTTTAAAAATGATCAAATTATATTTCAACGAATTAAAGTTTTGCTTTCTGGACGTAAAAGGAACTTTCAAACACAATTTTCTCATTATTTCACGGATTAAACTTTTTGCAGTCACTTTAATGTACCGGAAAATAGTGAAAATGTCATCGCCACGAAAGTAACCATCTATATGGTATTTAACCGTGTTGTAATCTCTACAACATTAACTTCAGAAGGCTGGTGACACTCCCTTAATAGTCTCCAGGCCATTCAACATCATGTGCTGATACAGCTTGGAAGTAATCGGCTCCATTTAATTCTCTATATTTGTTGATTCAATTGCTCATGTGAATGTTAATGTACTGTCATTATGTTAAAAGTATAAGTATCTAACAGGAAAAGTGATTTGAAACATGAGAATAAAAATATCCAATCAGAGAGCCCAAGACTGCAAGAATTATGCTTGAAGCATAATGTTTGAGAATTTGATATACTCACCTTTAAGAGAATGGTGTCCATATGTTTCCTCAGTGGATGGTTGTACCGAATTTTTTCAGACACCTGCTTGATTTCCTTGAAAAACACCAAACATGTTGATAATCTAGTGGAGAGCCCTTCAGTGTTTTTCAAATTTGCTGATGTTTTTATGCATTTTTGTTAGAAGTAAGGGTCAATCTGTCAAGAATTTGTGACAACAGTTTGCAATTGCAAATGATGTTAATGAAATATATATATTTATAAATGTCACAAATCATTTTCAAATGTCATGTTACATCACAATTGAATAAGAATATCTAATTCAGTTCTTAAATATCATCATCAGAAATACACATTTAAATTTTGAATTCTTAACACAAGGATATCAATGCATCTTTTCAATAATTCTGTTTTTCTTTTCTATCCTCAGACTTTCTATCAACCTTTAAACTGCAACTAGAAACTTTAACAGTGTTGATGAAAATGGCCTTCACTACAAATATCACCAAGTGTTTGTTTACCAGTACAGTTATTGTTACATTTGTGTAAAACAAAAGCTGCAAAAAAAAAAAAATAATCCCCTTACAGTGTTGTTTAATTTTATCTTCCCTTGCATTTTGAACAGTCGTTTATAATGTACACTTTTAGATAAAATGCATCTGTGAACCTGATGACGTTGTGTTGAATTTTGACCATCATGTCACCAACATTTTCATCTTTTGAAGTTACTTGGTGTAACTCAACGACATTAATGAGTATCAAATGTACAGTGACATTAAAAGTAGTTAAAAACAGTGGACAACAGTGTATTTTTCAGAAAAGCGTTATGAAAATTTTATCATGTTTCATGTCCATGTTTGTTCCTTGCTTACATATTTTGAAATCAAATCCTGTGCGGTAAATGAACTTACATCTAAAACATCCTCAAGGTTTTCTTCGGCCTCAGTTTTCTCGGTACTTAGTTTGGCTATCTTGAACTGTGTCCGCTGTAAAGTGTAAACTGTTTTACCACTGTTCCAGATAGTTCTTGGAACCTCCACCAGTCCATAACCCAACAACAGTACAAGGAGGAAGAGTCCCCAGGTGTTGCTGGCTGTAACACCAATCACCTTCAGCTTTTCTCTGGACAACAGTGAAACGGTTACAGGCATAACAACAGAAAATCATTGTAAAACATTCTCTGTATCACAGGTATACCAGCAAATGACTTCAGCACTACAAACATTTTTATCATTTCGACATCATTATTTTTAGATACAAAATAAATATTGCTGAATGCTTACGCGTCAATGTGAAGGTCTGGTCTCACTGCAACATAAATGAGGCACACACCAAAGATGAGAAGATAGGTGGCATAGTATATGATGTTCTCTATGATGGCCGTTTTGATTTTTCCTGCAACACTGAAGTCCCCAGCTGTTGAGTAGGACTGCATCATTGGCAAGAGTAACCTGAAAAATAAGTCATTGCCATATAATTCAATGTTCCCAATGGGTTGCAAATTTGGAAAAATATACCAGTAGTTTTTGAATTTACAGAAATCCTGATTATGTTCAATAAAACTGGGCACAAGTGCCTGTTTTGGAGGGTTGAAACCCTCATTTAGGGATTTCTAGAAATAATAATATTTGGAGAAAAATGACTTGATTAGCAAGAAAACAAGTCAATTTCTTACTGATTATAGTAAGAACCTGTTATAATAAAATCTTACCAAGTCAGAAACTGTGATGTCCAGTAAACAACATGCCACAGAGCTGGGAGGACATTATCAGGGACATGACTAACAGGCTGCTGACATGGGTTAACGATAGATAGATGAAGGGCTTCAGCACCTGTCAGTGCGACCTGAGTTGTAGAGTTTTCACCTGCTGTCGGACTAATAGGTATCTCTGTCACATTGCCTGTGCCACTACTGTTTGGAGATCTTGCTGTTGTTGTGGACAACTGGGGTAACCGGTTATCTCTCAGGCATTGACGATAGAAAGTCTGAAAGTTACGACATTACTCAACATGTAATATACAATAGCAGTAGTATGTATGTCAGAAAAATTAAGCTTTATATGATTACAAATGGCTTAAGCAGAAAACAATACACTGTATATATACTGTATCAATATACACTGTAGCAATGTATCTAGGCAATTCATGTAGTTAAGCATCATAAAGATTCTGAAAAGAAAGTGTTAATGCTTAATCTATGTGTTCCTCAAGTTTTTTTTTTTTATATTGCATATATATATATATATATATAAAAATATATATTTTTTAAAAAGGTAAAATCAAAAATCATTTAAACCAATATCTAAATCACTTTATCTGTCATTACAATCAACTGTACAATCAAGAGCTGATATAGATATTATAACAGACTTAATTTAAAAACACACACTCCCCCCTCCCCCACACCATCAAAAAAAAATTGAGATGCTTCCACAACAATGAAAATATCTCAGGAATAAAGGTGAGAAGCAAAAATAAAAAGTCAATATTTATCAGTGATAATGTGTTAAAAGTTTATAGAGTAATAAAGAATACACCATCAGAAGTGCTAAAAAAATTACAACCGAAGTTAGCTGAGTCAAAATTTTCTTGATAATAGCCAGTAAGGATACACAAATGTTACTTTCATGTAGGCAACAAACTCCATTCAGAATATTTTTAATTACATGTAAATTGTATGAAAATCTCACCTGAAGTTTTATTTCAAAGCTTAAATGTGACAAACTTTTTCTGGTTAAAATCTATGAAAAATCTCACAAACAAAGTAAATATTACATATGAATTATCAAAAAATAGATATACTCACTGAAGAAACATCCAAAGGAAGGACGAAGATTATCATAAACGAAAAATACCAAGCAACAAAAGTAGCTAATGTTACCAGGACATGTTGCTTTCTCAAATCTCCATAGCGATGAAGGAGAAATGCAGCTAAACAACATGTACAGATAATCTCAACAACTAGTGGTCCAGCACTCATGTTGTAACTTCAGGAATCTGGGTCACATGTGCTCTTCAGATTGATCTTTCATCGAAATTACCTGGAAGAAAAGAAAATAATGTAATCTATGAAATGGTAATTATGTCATGCTTTCTCATGCTAGCCCATCATATACAATATCACCATTAAACATTTTATATTGGACTGCATTGACCTTCTGTCTATTGGAAAAAAAATTTATCGTAACGTTACAAGTCTAAAGAAAGACCCTTTTTGAAACTGTTGAGATTTATAAAATTCTTGGACATCTGATGTTGGTCTATATTATAGATTATGACTCAACATCTTAATCTTTTGAGATAATATAAACAGTTAAGATTTTATTAATTTGTCTTTTACCTTTTAATTTGTTTAATATTATTTCCTATATTGATTGCTGTGTTTTTCACCAGTTGATGGCCCTAATGACCTTTTATGTGTTGACAGGCTGTTACGATTGAAATAATAATGATAATAATCACATATAGTAAGTAATTCCTCAATTCCTCCAGAATAAATCCATTGCTGATAAGAAACTGTACTTTTTTGAAAATTGAAACTAAACTTAAGCAGTGACAGTACGTCCTGAAACTTGAAATAGTTTGGCAATCTAAAAATATCATCTTCTAACATCAGTGAAAAAGCCTATATAGAGAATACATGGTCAGTGTCTTAAATACAAGCTGTATTTTGGTGTGGGTGAAGAAAGACAAAAGTGGCAAGCCTCTGGCATCTTTAGTTCACCTTCAATTTGAATATGCCATTTCAGTTTGTGACACATATCTGAAAAAAGACACTGACAAGATGGTTCAGTGCAGGGCTGCCCATTATGTTACCAACAGACATCATAACACCTCAAGTGTTGGTAACATGTTAGACCTTCTTAAATGGCGCAGCCTTCTTGATCACAGAAAAGATGCAGTCGACCATATTGTATATGTCATAGCAAAGTTGCCATTAACCCATAACACCTGGTTCCCACTACAAGACCTACAAGATGCTGTCTTCAAAATTCTTTCTGCACTATCTCTTGCAGATTGTCCGTGAGGAAAGAATCCTTCTTTCCCCGGACAATCAATAATTGCAATACACTTCTGCCTGGAATTTCATCAGCAGACACATTATCATCCTTCAAATCAGCAATCTCCTCATGCCATTATCAATTCCATTTCTCTCTATTTCTTGCAGCAGTTAAAATTTGTCATTATCTGGTAGAATGTTGACATGTGGGTCAGGATTCAAGGTTATCTTTTGAACAGGGGTTTATAAAATAAATGCAGGGTGCCTATTAGGCCAATATTACTATTCATTTTATTTTAGCCAAGTTGTCAATGATTTCTATAAATCTAGGTTTGCTTAAAGTGAATTGGTGTTTGTGCACATGGTAATTAGCCCATTGTTCCATGCCACCAATCGATTCGGAAGGGTTTTTGCTTCTGTTTTTTTCAATACACTGCATTTGGCAATTTGGTGTAATGTACAACATTAATCATTTTCATTACTTGAAAAGTCACATGCAGGATTTCAAAAATATCATTCATAACATCTAGATCTGCTTCAGTGCTTTGTGTCACTTCTTCTTACCAAAAACACTGCTTTAATATAGAAAAATGGTATTGTATATAATTACACTAAAATAATTTTCTCTGTGTATGTATTCTACGATTACGTTATTGTGAACATAGGAGTGTGAGGTTTTGTTAATAATAATACACAGTAATCGCTATTAAAAACTACGTTCTCTAAGTATTACCTATAGTCCTTCATCATAGGTATATTTCTGCAGCACAGACTATTTTTATTGTGACTATCATATGTTTTTGTTGACAGAATCCTGCAATATGTCACACGCAAATCGAAAGAATCATAGCTAATGCGTTGTTCTAAAATCTGCAATATTAGATGAATCGATTGATATAAAGAAAATATAATCAAACAGTATACTCCTAATTTTAGATATATCCCCTCTCCTCCCCAAATTTCGATATATATATGATGTTTTCAAGTGCAATACTGGGGCGTTTGTGTTGTGTTCATGTTGAAAACATACCACAATAGAAACTCTGACGTTTTCACACGTATTTGATCCGTTTGCAAGAAACCCAGAGCCGTGTTTTTTCTTCAAAATTCATAATGAAATTCGCTGACAATTGCCACATCTGTGCCAAACATTAATCTGACACTGACGTCATAATTATTGATCCACGTGCACAAGACCTTTCAAAACTTCGTCACACAGACGTTTGCATTTTACGGGTTATTATGAGATTTTTCTAATAAAATAACAGGAAGACGGTATAAACAAGATTATCAAAATGATAAAAAAATCTATTCAAACATAACGCTTGTTCTTCTATTGTGATCAGCATTAATAAGAATGACTAATCCCTTTTGAAGATAACAATTTATTCTCTGATAGTGCAGGATCCGGCTGCTATCAACGTATTCTTCTTCCAATATATAGGTTCACAGACTACAACTGAAAATAAATTATGACCGGCTACTGTGTGTGAATATTTGGCTTTTGTTTTTTTCTTCTCTTAATTGTAATACATAGATATCAAAATATTACCATAAACTATGAAAAGTTAGATTAATCTGTATCTTTAAGGAATTCACTATTGTCATTTTAACCAATTAGCGCAAAATATTCTTTCTGTGTAAACCAGGGTGTTTGTTGTAAAAGGGGGAATGTCATGCTTTCAGTTATTTTAATGAATACGGTTATTTTAAATGCAAACAATTTCGAAACACAACGAAGTGAAAATTCTTAACACGTTTTGTGTAATATTCAACAGTCTATCATGGTGGTAGATTAGAACAATAGGTTGAAATCTTTTCAGAAAATTACATTTTATAATGCTGGCAAAAATAAAAATCATATACACTTTTTAGGAATAAACGAAAATCTCGGCTTTTAAGCAAATAATTGAACCAATCAATTAATGTTGATTGTAAAGATATTCCGGAAATATTTTCCGTCTCTGATTCATACAATTTTATTAGATGCAAAAAGCCTTTTCCTGTGAAAGAGTTTTGAGCAAGAGGGAACATATGATGGATAATTTGTTGGCTAGGATCTGTTTTTCCTGACCTCGTCCATCATGTACATCGTTAGCAAGAAGACTTTAACGAGGGTGCTAAATTTTGTAAGAGACAAATATTGTTAGTCACTGATTCAATCACAATAATATAAGAACGGATTATCATCACCGTTCGTTGAACGTGTTGTGACACATTCGTTTAACTTGACCATTTACTGTCAACATTGTGTCATACCATGTTCAAAAGTGGTAAAGTTCAATTAATGCATTTTGTAGAGCAGCAAATAAGTATTATTTCAATAAACAAAAATATTTTTTATCATATATGAAAGAAGGAATTTGAAGATTTCCCACTCTTGGTTTGGGGATCTGTTCATGGGAGTTGGACTCTTTTACATAAATTTGATTCCCCTTAACCCTTTGATACTGAGGACTAAATCTGATCTGAAGTAAAACTTTAAAGATTGACCACAAATCTGGATTTACTCAAGTGCCTTATTCCACAACCCAAAGGGAATGTGGCAGCTCTTGATAAGCAGTTAAATTATTAAAAAGATATGGAATCACATTAAATTAAAAAGTTTTTCATTTCCATTTTAACCACACTATTCATTTGCTAAGTTCTGAATGAGCCAATCTAGCAATTAACATTCAAATTCATTTGACATTTATGTATTTCTTTGAACAAAATACAAAAAGAAAAAAACTGAAATATGTTTATAGACCTGTTACCACAACACTAATATAATGATAGACAAGTTGTGCAATGTTTCAAGGATATACTGTGCTTCGAAAAGTTTTAAATTCAGTCATGATCCATGTAGCTTTACTAACATTTAACTTCACATTCAATTTTAAACTCTCCCGAAGGGCCGTGTGAGCCTATGGCATACTGCAGTGTCTGTTATCCATCCATCTGCCCATCAATTTTTTCATACAAAAAATTAGTCTGTAGCAGGTTTTGGTGAGGGGTAATCAATTTTGTATAAAAGATTGGTCTAGGGTAGGAGGGGAGGAACTCTCAGTTCCCTAGGGGCCTTTAAGAATAAATGGATATTGCCCCAAACTTTGTCAGAAGTATTCTTGAGTGAAGGGAAACAATTTATTTTAAGGATTGGTTCTCAGTTCCTAGGGGCTTAATGTATGGGGCCCAATAGGGGAAATTTTGCAAGTGCTTTAAAATTTTACTCCACTCATAAGAGATTATGGATATTGCCCAAATTTGGTCTGAAGTATTCTTGGGTGAAGGAAACTTAGTTCTGTATAAATGGCGCATCCCTGCCCCCAAGGGCGGGAGGGATGGGCCCAATTTGGGAAAAGTAAGTTCTTAAAATCCTTCTTCTATACTAGGAAATTGTCCAACTTTGGTCATAAGAAATTTTTATGACTTGTGAAGCTAACCTCTCTTTGACTACAAGGGACCAAATATGGAAATTATATCGGAAAGTGTCTGTCATGTTTGAAAAAAAGCCAGTTAAGCATTGCATGCTCCTTGGGCCACTTGTTTCTGTAACTTTCAAAGAAGCAGTAATTTGTGTCAAGCGCTAACATGTATAATTATAGGTTTATATGTTATATTAATTTACTTATTAGCCATGATTCTTGCTGTTACAGATTCTGTTGGTCATCGTTCTACTCTCCTGGGTATATGTGATAGTGGCAGGACGCTATGCTGGTCTATTGTACCTAGACCAGAACTATTCCTGATATAATGGAGATCATAAATGACAATGCCGCAATGCTTACCAACTATGAAGTGCTCACATTGTTGTCTGATATCCAGGCTGGACGGGGACAGAAAAAGCCGGACAAAAGTTTACAACAGCTAGCAACAATAACTTATGAAGCTGTCAAATATTTAGAGGACAAACCTTGTAAAACACAGACTCCAGAAATTATTGAACAGTTCATGACAGATGTTCAATCATTTAACTTAACAAAATCAGAAAAGGTTCAGTTACTTAATCAGTATCCGTCCACTGCTGTTGAAATCCAGTTAATTGTAGAAGAAAGTGAGGAACGATTAACAGAAGATCAGATTTATGAACTTTTAGAGGTGATAGGAAAATACAGGCCAAGTAAGCCTGAAGAGGAGGAAGAGGAAGAGGATGGTGAAAATGAAGACTTCAAGGAAGGAGAGGAAGAAATGTTAGAGCAGGAATAGATTTCTAGATTCTAAACAAATTGTTTAATGTTATATTAGCAACTAAATGAAGTTCTGCATTTCATACTGTAGATAAATTGTATTTAAGAATCATTTTTTATATTTCACTGATCATGTAGATGCAAACAGACTCAAATAAATGCCTTTCATAGTGTAAAATGTTTATGTGGTGTTACATGCAATTATTTAGGCATCCATATGTCATGACCTACCTATGTCAAGGTCATTCGTTTAAACAAACTGGCCTTTTCAGTCTTATCATTTAGCATGCTTTATACCAATGCAAGTATTTTGACCATAGTCAAGAGTACCGTAGGGAAGAATGCCCACTCTACGACAAAAATATTAATGATTTATTGAATCAATCTCATGTTGCAGTTTTAAAGTCTACCACGTTTCAAAGAAATTTATTGAAAACTGAGGGTGAAGGAAAAAATGAAGGGCACTATTGCAAATTAACAGTACTATTAAGTAAAACATAAATGTCATGTAATGGTTATAAAGTCTACTACGTTTCAGAGAATTTGGTGAGAAACAATATAACAATAGGAAAATAAATAAGTGGCAGTAACATTTCAAATCTAACTGCTGTCATGGAAACAATTTTAAAAGATTACAATGAAATGATGCATGGACAACCACAAACTACAATAGGTCCTGTCAAATTTTTTGACAAGCATATAAAATTTAAGTGAGCAAGGGCTCTAATAGATCTATCCCCTGTCTACCCCTTATCTTTTTCATCTGATCTAATTTCTTAATCTACTGAGGAATTCATGAGATATCTTTTACACAGGTACCTATGACCTTTAACCTTCATTGATGACCACCAAAATTTAATCTAGTATAGGCTTTGGTAGGGGATAGTATGTTTTAAATATAAGATACGGTAAATTTGGGGGTATAGTGCGCACTCGGGTATAATGCGCAGGTAGTTTTTTGGGGTCAGATTAAAAGAAAAAAAAATTTCTACAGAAAGATTAATTGATTACTGGTTACCACGATGAAACAGTTGTGGTTTGATCCATTGATAATAACTGACCAGAAGAGCTGACATAGGTGCGACAGCGAAACACCCAGAGATGGAGAGAGAGCTGTTCAACTTTGTATGCGATCACCGAGATGCCGGCATCGCTGTCAGTACAACAGAACTGCGCGTGCGGGCCATGCAGATCAAGAGAGGTCATAGGGTCACCAATTTGTGGGAAGGGCTGTCCGATTTATGAACAGAACGACAATCGTCCAAAAACTTCCGGACTCGTTGAATTCCAGAGATACATCGTCAAAATGAGGCGGAAATTCAGACACTACTATAGCCCTGACCAATATTAAGACTGTAACTATTTGAAAGATGGGAAACGAAAAAAAATAGATTCAACATAATGCTAGCGTGAATGGCCGATGATTAAAACATTAGAATTTTATTTATTTATTTGTTGTTTTTATCTCGAAACTATCATATATGACCGACGACTTTTACATATAACTATGTGAAGGGAGGTAATCCAATATGGCAGACGCAGACCTCGGGAATGATAACCCAAAGAATGGCATGTTCCTGCGTATAATGCGCACCCCCTTTTTGACATGATAGTTTTAGCTTGAAAAAGTGCGCACTATACGCGGAAATTTACGGTAATTCTGTCCATTGATTCATAGAATATCTTTTACACAAGATTTTTATTTCAAAAGTGGTGACCTTTGACCCTTTCACTTTAACTGGTGACCATCAAAATCTGATCGGGTGTAAACCTTAGTGGGGTGATGCAGTGGTGTGAATACAAACTAAATCTCTGTATAGGTTAATGAGATAACTTATACATATGTTTATCACAGATGCTAAGTGATTACTACAAAAAACCCCACCCTCTTACCTAAAAAAGGAAGTATAATTAAAAGTATTACACCTTTAGTTGAGCGATTCATTCTATAACTTTCAATGTTGGTCAAGATCAAATATATTTTATAAAGACAAGCAAGCAAACACTATATGTAAGATGTTCTTTCACCTTATGGACATCAACAGAAGATCTTGATGTTAATTTGTCAAGACCAACACACATGACTTCCCAGATCAAGAAAGTTAGCTAAATGTCACTGCTGCTAGACTGTGGGTCTCAAAAACTTGATACATTTGATCTTAACAACCTTGAATCTAAGTAATACCTGCTTGCTATTTACATTTATACCATGAACATAAGTCTACTTGTTATTCAGAAGGTGCTCAAAAGACAATGAACAAGGCTGATAAACATAATACAGACTTTATTTTCTGTAAGATCGTGCTATTTAGCAATCAATTCCACATAAATCACACAGATCACTGAATGCACATCTAAGGACAAATCATAATAGGTATGTCTCAAAGTCAACATGCCACTTGTGTCTCGAAATGTTGGCAACAGTTTCTAGTCAGTTTCTCTTTAATTTAATGCAGAGGTAAAATTGTCTTCATGCCCATTCAGGTCCACTTGTTTTTATGTCCATCAAAACTTTTCTTTTGCCGAAGTCCGTGTTAGCATACTCCTGGGGTTCTTTTGACTTAGTCACATTCTGCAAAAAAAAAAAAAAAATAATAAAAATATGTGTATGAAAGTTCATCATTTGGAAATCATTGTAAATCTTTTAAAACTAAGTTTAGCCTTTCATATTAAATGGATCATTAATGTATCTCTTCACACCTTACTAACAAAAACACATCCTTTGAACTGCTGAGGTATACCATATCTAATCTACACTGACTGTGTAGACCGTATAACACTTGTTTGACATCTGAGGGTAGTAAAGAGCATAACACTTGTTTTGTACCTTTGAGGAACACAATACTTAATCTACTATACAGTGTAAAAAGTATAACATCTGGTCTGTACCTCCCAGGAATACCATATTTAATTTATCAAAGGAACACCATATTTAATTTATCAAAGGAACACCATATTTAATTTATCAAAGGACAGTGTGCTGAATGAATAACACCTGATCTGTACATCCATTGAACACCATAACTAGTCTACCATACTCACAGGTTGCTGATGGTATCATACCTGTTCTGTATCTCTGAGGAAAACCATATATTATCTACTATACTCACAGTGTGTTAATGGTATAACACCTATTCTGTATCTCAAAGGAACACCAAATCTATTTTATCATAATCACGGTTTGTTGATGGCATCACATCTGTTCTTTTTCCCAGAGGAACACTATATCCAGCACATTGTGCTAACAAAGAGTGGACAGTATAACACCTGTTCTGTATCTCAGAGGAAAACCATATCTAGTCATCATACTCACAGTGTGTTGATGGTATCATACCTGTTCTGTATCTCAGAGGAAAACCATATCTAGTAATCATACAGTGTGCAGACAGTATAACACCTGTTCTGTATCTCAGAGTAAACCATATCTAGTCATCATACAGTGTGCAGACAGTATAACACCTGTTCTGTATCTCAGAGGAAAACCATATCTAGTCATCATACTCACAGTGTGTTGATGGTATCATACCTGTTCTGTATCTCAGAGGAAAGCAATATCTAGTCATCATACAGTGTGCAGACAGTATAACACCTGTTCTGGATCTCAGAGGAAAACCATATCTAGTCATCATACAGTGTGCAGACAGTATAACACCTGTTCTGTATCTCAGAGGAAAACCATATCTAGTCATCATGCAGTGTGCAGACAGTATAACACCTGTTCTGTATCTCAGAGGAAAACCATATCTAGTCATCATGCAGTGTGCAGACAGTATAACTCCTGTTCTGTATCTCAGAGGAAAACCATATCTAGTCATCATACAGTGTGCAGACAGTATAACACCTGTTCTGTATCTCAGAGGAAAACCATATCTAGTCATCATACTCACAGTGTGTTGATGGTATCATACCTGTTCTGTATCTCAGAGGAAAACAATATCTAGTCATCATACAGTGTGCAGACAGTATAACACCTGTTCTGTATCTCAGAGGAAAACCATATCTAGTCATCATACAGTGTGCAGACAGTATAACACCTGTTCTGTATCTCAGAGGAAAACCATATCTAGTCATCATGCAGTGTGCAGACAGTATAACACCTGTTCTGTATCTCAGAGGAAAACCATATCTAGTCATCATGCAGTGTGCAGACAGTATAACTCCTGTTCTGTATCTCAGAGGAAAACCATATCTAGTCATCATGCAGTGTGCAGACAGTATAACTCCTGTTCTGTATCTCAGAGGAAAACCATATCTAGTCATCATGCAGTGTGCAGACAGTATAACACCTGTTCTGTATCTCAGAGGAAAACAATATCTAGTCATCATGCAGTGTGCAGACAGTATAACTCATGTTCTGTATCTCAGAGGAAAACCATATCTAGTCATCATACAGTGTGCAGACAGTATAACTCCTGTTCTGTATCTCAGAGGAAAACCATATCTAGTCATCATACAGTGTGCAGACAGTATAACTCCTGTTCTGTATCTCAGAGGAAAACAATATCTAGTCATCATACAGTGTGCAGACAGTATAACACCTGTTCTGTATCTCAGAGGAAAACCATATCTAGTCATCATACTCACAGTGTGCAGACAGTATAACTCCTGTTCTGTATCTCAGAGGAAAATCATATCTAGTCATCATACAGTGTGCAGACAGTATAACTCCTGTTCAGTACCACTGTTGACCACCATATCTAGTCTATCATACTCATAGTGTGCTGATAAAAACACACATGTTCTGTATCGCCGAGGACACTATATCTAGTCCATCATACTCAGTGTGTTGATGGTATAACACCTGTTCTAGATCTCCACTGGACACCATGTCTAAACTACCATACTCACAGTGTGCAGACAGTATAGTAACTTTTTTGTACCTCCAAAGAACTAAATATCTAGTTTATCATTGATAAGTTTTACTTATCTTGTATCTACTGCGTTTGTGATCAGTAAAATTCATTATCATTACTTGAGATACTCACCGTGTAGTCTGGTGATAGTACATGTAAAAAATTTGTTCCTACACCATGGTTTTCCCAACTCTGAAAAATACAAAATATCAATTAATACGCACTATATAATGGTTATCATCTTGACAATCAAAGAATACCATCCAAATATATGGCACCTATTTGTACATGCAGAACATCTGACCATTTTGTTTCTTAATTACATAATATGTTAGATGGCTTCAAATGTTTAAAGGCATCATCGTAAACCTGAAGGTATGGTAACTTTATATATTGACATGCCTCTATGTAGCCTATAATACATAAATAAAACATCAACCTTAGAATGGTATTTTGATTATGACAAATTGACCTAAAAGTCATACTTGCTTTGGAATAGTACTTATGACAGTGACCTATATAAATCATGGCTACCTTGGGATGGCACTTGATGTGACACAGCAACCTTTAAATCACATTTACCTTGGATGGTTCTGGATGTGATAAAGTGACCTACAAATTACATGAACCTTAAGATGTGCTTGACACAGTGACCTATATAAATTACTCTTTCCAATGGTTGGTATGTATACTTCTCTGTCACAGTAACCTAACACCTATGAATCACACTTACGTTTGAATGGTACTTGGCTTTATAATAGACTGCCACAGCAATACCCCAAAAGAGGAGTCCAAACGGAATAATTTTTCTTTCTGCAGGTGGAGGGAGACTCTGAACAGAAATGGAAACACAGTTTAATATTATTAAGCAAACGTATACAAAAAAGGAGTAGGATAAGAATTGTAATTATCACACATCTAGGAACTAGCTACCCACCAGTGCAGTAAAAACAAGATACATAAATGTAATATGATGATATTTCAGTGGCAGACAGCGACCAACATGAAAAGCACATAATGCCAGCAAGAATGATTAGTACTTTATAGGGTTGGTTATAATTTTATCAAAGCATTTGATAGGAATATTTTTTCAGTTTTATCTTGATATGAATGAAAAATTGATTTGAAAACTAGAGTGGAGATATGAGTTATAGCTATCACATTGTTGTAAACTATATAAAACATTGCCTGAATGGCAACTCTTGCAAGGGTCGCTAAACTTTGGTGTTTTTATATTGGAAGAAATTCTATCTGGCCGCAATCACGACAAAATCGCAATAGATACTCAGAACCCTGTGCGTGTACTGTTTTAATTATGTGATTCAAAATGTAATAAAATTGTTATGCATTTTAATAAGTACCTTTGGTGGTGTCCAAAACATGAGCGCGTTACGTATGCTAGTTTTGGCAGTGTATATGGCCGTCATCGGCTTCCCGTATACCCTCCTGAAGAAGTTCCTGGGCATTGGGACATATACTGGTTCGTGGGGAGCCAATTGTTGATCCCTTAACCAGCGTGCACGCCGTTCACGTTGTTCCGGTGTCATCCCTTTACCATCTTCACCTAATAGCCTTTCCCGACTATCTTTGAAAGGTTCGATATTGAACGGAGGGTATTGACTTTTAAAATTGTTATTTTCTTTAGTCATTCTTCTTTCAAACTCCCATGGTTTCTCTCCAGGTCTCAAATCATAGCCATCTCCTGGTTTTCGCAAGACAATACCAGCCAACATGTCATCGAACTTCGATGATGGTGGTGGCATCCATGGCAACCTTTTCGCTTTCCGAACAGGCGGTCCTACCTCTGCCTCCGCCATTTCTGCTCTGTCCTTGAAAACAATCGAGGTCGGTTATACGCTTACAAATATTCGATACACTAAATACTGAGTCGGAACATTTTATCGGACCGGATAAAATTTGGTAAAAAAAAAAACCTTTTATTTGCGAAAAATATATATAGTTTAGATATGGTCATGGAATGTCGGTTTCCAGTGTTCAGTCAGTTATATATAAATCACCGTGTACAGCTCCCATCGCGGGTCGATAAGATGTGAGGAGCACGTTTAATACCCAATACTAAATTATTATTACATGGAACTACACAATGCTACTTTAGTTTCAACAAACATCAATAAATAAATACATATTTCGACTTTGGTAATGATATTTTAGCAGATGGTGCGTTTTGTTGAAAAATCTTGCACAACACTAACCGCAAGTCTAAGTTGAACCAATACTAACCGACCAATACTAGTTCAAAACACTTAGTTTGTTTTAAGGTCTGCACGGAATTGACAATGACACTGTTAGCTGCGTGTGGATAATCGTCACTGCTCGCTGATTTTTTTTCCGCACAGAAGAGAAAACCACATCTCGTATAGATTGATTGGACAAAATAGTGGACAAAATTGTTCTGGTTGTATCCTTCAGAATACATTGGCTTATCTTGTCAGAAGCAATATAAGTTTGATAACTTATGTCCAATTCCTTTGTATATATTTGGTGCAAATAAAATATGTTTAAACTTAGGAGCAACGGCCTTTTCAAGAATAGATAAAATGTCAGAAACATATTTTTCTTCTGTAGCAATATTAGTAAGAGAGTTTGGAAAGAAAACGGATGGAGTGGCATTGGTAGACCCATTACACGAAAATAAAGTGAAATAGTTATTGAGTATTTCAGTGTTTTTCCTGTTACTTAAGTAATCAAGGGTAGTGATAGACCGCGATTAAATTTGTTGAAATAAAGTCTAGTCTTAGCTTTCTATTTCATAATGATAACTTGATTTCTCTTACATTTGAACTCAGACCAATCATCTGGGCGCTTTGAACTAAGTGCTATTTGCTTTAGTACGTTACGTATATGACCGCGTTTTCGTAGGACTATTAAACTTTGTTTATCTGAGGGGCTTGAGCAGTTGAAGGTATGTTTCCTGAATTTCCTACACAAAATCTCCCTTTTCCCCTTAAGTTGCCCATTTCTTTTTGAGACTGATTGGACGCCGGAAACATGCTGTAATATCAGGGTAATATCAAAAGAAAACGATGTGAGGGTTAGGGTTCGTATGTCATATGATTTTTTCTAACTGTTTAACTGTTTGGCCAGCATCCATTATCACTGATATTGATTAAACGTGTGTAATTTTAAAAAATAATGGATTCACTTCATAATAATTAGTTTTGAAATGGCAAAATATGCCTAATAAAACGATTCCCGATGGGTTGACGCATTGTTCGAGTAGTGACGTGCGCATCGTAATGAAATTCCCATAATACTACGCGATGACAATATATTATGACGTCACAATGATTTGACGTCATATTCATTGTACCACGGTGATTTTCCCTACACAACGCGGTGGACAAACTGGTGAGCTGCATTTCATTTTTCTAATTAAGGGTGGTTTATGTTAATTACTGAAAAGTATCTCTTAAATCTCGGCGAGAGAGAGAGCGAGAGAGAGAGCATGTTACTGACGAATCATGTTATTGGTGAAGGTTTTAAAGTTCCGTTGATTTCGTGTGATGGCACGAGTGGAATGTGGGGCTACTGTTTATCTACAAAATAAAATAACAACGATTTTTTGCTTGAAAACCACTAAATTTGAGCTCCACGAAAACGTACTTGTATTATCAGTTGGGGAAATAGTCACGCAATTAAATGAAGTTCCTCTATTTCAGATTTTTGGTTGTACGATCTGGTTACATTGCATTCACGTCATGACTCAGCGACGCCACATTGTAGTAGATCCTTCTTCTATAGATCCAAAGGTATGTTGTCTTCACAATCATTGTTGAATAATTTGCATAAAATACCAAAACAGAAATGTTTGTGTTGTAAATTTGCTTGTTGATGCTCCCGATATTGAATGACATAGCGCAATATGAAACGACAACAATAAAATATATTTGTATTTTGAATTGTGCTTCACAAAGACATACATTTCATTGTTGACTGTACTGCTTCCTGCAGCTTTTCACAATAAGACAGAACTACGTAGTTTTTAAGTGAATATACTCATAAAATGAAAGTGTTAAATGTGTAGTTTCAAGGGGAATTAAATAAGCATTTCGTACACTTGAGTAAAAGAGATGGCATAGATTAAACTGCATTGAGGTATAAGAAATCCTTACATTATTCTTATTCACAGGATCCTGTGGATGTGGCCAGTCTGGATGGTACAGAAGGGTGCCCAGCTCCACTGTTGGGAAGGTGTTTGTTGGGATGTTACTATTTTTTCAGACCGAGTAAACGACCCATTATTTACGAGATTGACCCAACATTATTCGTAGAGCCCGTTTGGACTGGCACTCATTCGACTGACGTTCGATCAGACGACGAAGTGGTAATCGACACATTAGTGGAATCTAGGCCACTGCGACTTATGTCTTCGGTATTCTCCAGCACCCTGGCGCCATCTACCAGCTATCCAAGGGCTGCGGTCGAACTGCCAGGCCAGCTACCCGACGAATCGGAATCCCCAGCCGAACTAATTTCGAGGCAGATGTCAGGATCACAAGGTCCAATTTATGAACATGCCAAAGGTTCCATACTACCAAGTTCAGAGAAAAGTGTACAGGAAACCATGGGACTGCCCGACGTGTTGGCAGCCGATGGCAACGGGGTTAACCAACAATCAGTTAAAAAGACCCCGGATGTGTTTGTACACCGATATGAATGGTTCCGATCCATTCTCGGATGGACCAGCTCTGTGTAACTTTCGCGACGATGGTGATAAATAGTTACAATCAGAATAAAATGTTTAAATCGTCTCACGACATTACCAATACTGGCCAGTGTAATTTCTATTTTCTGTACCCACAATGCAACGGGTTGTTTGATAGCTTGATCAAGTACATGTGCATTGCCAACAATCTTGTTTGTGTTTTGTGAATTTTGAAGAATGTGTTTGTCAAATAACTGACCAGATGATGTGGTCATCTGGTCAAGTGTGATCAGTTGATAATAAATTTTATTATGTACACAAACCATGACAGCTATTTCCCAATAAAATATTGATAATTGATGGATTCTTTTTCTTATTTTTTTAATAAATAACAGAGAAAATAGAGATTGTTTTGAAAAGAGGACAACTTTATATAATTCTTGTCAACTCCAAAACACATCACGCAACAGACACGTTTATGATTGAAAATAGGAAACTGTCAATGAAAGACTTGGTTACATGAAGATTTAAATTTGTTGGCGAGGTAGTATCGCATTTGGTGCATTGTATATCATTACATTGACTTGCAAAAAATCACGGACTTGTTGCTTGAAAATTAAGAACATGATGTTGCAACAACCACGCAAATGGATGACATGAAGGAATTGACTTGTTGAGAGCTGTCTAATTTGGAAATAAAAGGTACGAGTTCAGTGGGTTTGAGATTTGCTCTGTACTATGTATTTGTATTGGAAAGAAGTAAGTAAGGCGTAAGTGAAAAGAAATCACTGATCCATGACTGGCCCCATTCTATTTGTGGGCTCACGTGCCTACGACTGGGATAAGCGCTAATGGGACGTAACCCATGGTATCCTGTAGAAATAGCTGCAATTGCTACCCAATACTCAAAAAAATACAAAATTTTAAAATATCCCTTCGGATAGTTTCGAACTCTTCCCTGTTACAGACATAGCCTCAGGTGATATTTCAATACGGGCGTGAAATAATCTCAAAACCTCGATCAGGTCCCATGTAACTAAAAAGGTTGAACAAAAATAATTTAGGAGCGATACGGAAACTGTATCCTCGTTTTCAAGGACTTCAACTTGCAGCCGTCGGTGCTCACACAATAGTCGGGATTGAGGTTTGTACACCGTGTAAATGAAAACCGGTTGGCAGATATACTTCCGAACTGGGTATGGTGTATCACGTCAAGAAAATAGCCGCCTAATTCCAAAAGGGTGGCGGATGGCTTCCACATAAATGTTTATGATATTTTAATTCCCGGTAAACTTTGTTCTCATGAGGTGGAGTCGTTAATAAGTTTGTAGGAGTTGCCTCCCCTAGTTTACCGTTTCGAGGGGGAAAAACTGATAAAGTGAATAGAACACCAGATCTGAATTTTAAGTGAAATGTCGAGCGGGCTAAACACGATAAATTGTAGTCCGGGACAAAGGAAAACTGTGCGAGGTCAATTTACAAGACGAAGAATCACCTAGGTGACCAGGCTTTGGGAATTTGATGAAGCAAAACCCGAAGAAGTGATGACAAAAGAAACATTTTACAAATGCACAAAAAGAGGATGAATTCAAAGCAGAGAAGATTGCCAACAATACAGAGGAACAACAAGACAAAATTATGAATGATTCGGGGAAAGATACTGTTACTAAAAAGCAAACTTCGAGGCTATAGAACAGAAACTGGAGAACAAACAGCGCCTTCTTGTTATCTTGTCATTGTTTTGTATCAGGAAATCCTCCGCGACAGCCCTATCATATCCTCCATGTGTTTGTATACTTGAATTATATCTCCTCTCAATCTTCTGTGCCTCAATGTCGGTAATTTAAGGATCGTTAGCCTGCTCTCATACTTAGGTCTTTCGTCCCCGGTATTTGTTTCGTTGCTCTTCTTTGCGCATTTTCCGACTCATTTATGTCTTTTTGCAGATAGGGATTCAAAACGCAGGCCCCATATTCCAGGTGCGGACGTACAAGCGCTTTATATAAAAGACAGAACGACTTTTTGTCTAAGTACGTGTATGTTCTTCGGATGGTTCCCATTATTCTATTAGCTTTATTGACTGCATCGTGAATATGTTCGTTGAAATTAAGGTTGTTGTCTGTTATAATTCCAAGGTCCTTTTCTTTTGTAA